AAAAAGGTTTTACTTCATATTTGTTCTGTGTGACTTTATATAGTATGGAAATTCGAGATGTTAGTTTGAAAAATGTGATAATAAACCACAAAATCTAATCCAATAAATTTGTTAGATAGTATCTATAAAACTACTAAAAGCCTAGCAATCACTAGCAAACAACACCAACGGCGTCCTTCTTGATAGCAAATGCTTCCCAGTGGCTTTTATTTATCATGAGAAAATTATCCGTTATATTTTGGGTTTTTGTTTTTGTTTTATATCTTTAGTCTATTCGATAGCTTATACTTTTACTACTGCAATTATTGGATGAAAATAAAACGAAACGATTTAATTAATAACATTTGTCATATTTAGGTGCACAATGATTAAAGCACTTACTTCTGAAAGTGTACAGGGGTAAACATCATTTAGACTGTACATTGCGGATTGGCATTCATCAATGTTCAAGTTCCCCCACGTAGCAGGTCTTCAATGCAGATGGTAAATATAGAATCATAATCTCCTTGCCAAATTTTGTTAAGACAATTTGCGTTGGACGAGGTAAAAACTTAGAGGGGGCCTATAGCTTGCAAGAACTTCTTTTTAATATTGATAACGTTACTAAAATATCATGTAATTACCCCCTTAAACGTCTCCAGAAACAAAGAAATACAAACAAGAGAAAGATATATTCTTTCACATCAATCTTTTCAATTTTACTTTTTGAAAGCAGTTTAGGAAAATCTGTCGCCCTCTAACATTTCCTGCATTATCATGGTCGGCTCAGGAGGAGAGGTGGTGGGATTGCCAGGAAACAACCCTAACTTGAAATCTGAGTGGCTTTACTTTCTTGGCGTTTGTCCTGTTTAGATAGGCCTAGAGTGCTCTTACTTTTTGTTTCGTATTTGCATGTTATATAAACATTAATATCAATGTTTATTAAAGACTTATGACTTGCAGAAATTTTCTAAATCATTTTACCCACCATCATCTCCTCCATTCTTGCACCTAGCCTTTATTAATTTCCTTACGTCTCTCAATGGAGGAAAAGAGCAAAAGATGAGAAGCTCTATAAAAGATACAGAGTATTAAGAAATATGGTCCAAAGAGAGGTGAAAAAGGCTAAACTCGTTTACTTACAAAACAAGATAGAAGAAAATAAACAAGATTCGAAAAAACTTTGGCAGAATCTAAAAAGCTTAGGATTGAAAAATAAGAAGCGAAAAGAACAAGAATCTGTCATTAAAATTGATGGGGAATTATGTCATGATAAGATGGCCATCGCTGATGAATTCAATTCTCATTTCACAAATGTGGCTGCCAAATTAGTAGACAAACTCCCCCCTTCCAAAGACTTTTTCAGCGCAGACAATGATTGTATTCGTGACTTTTACGAAAGAAAAGGTGTACATGAAAACAGCTTCGAGTTATTACCAATCAGTGAACAATTTGTTTTCAAAGAGTTACGTAAGTTGAATGTATCAAAAAGTACTGGGTTAGACTTGATTCCAGCTAAATTTCTAAAAGATGGTGCGAAGGTTTTATTTAAGCCTCTAAGTTACTTAATGAACCTATCTATCTTGACGAGTACTTTTCCAGAGGATATGAAAATAGCAAAAGTGACTCCACTTTATAAAAAGAAAGATAAAACTGATGTTAGCAACTATAGACCTATTAGTGTTTTAAGCGTAGCATCAAAGATTCTAGAAAAATCGGTCTGTGTTCAAATTGAAAGATACTTCAAAGAAAATGATATAATTTATGAATTTCAATCTGGTTTTCGACATGATTATTCGACTGAAACATGTCTAATTCATTTGACTGATTATTTGAGGAGAGAAACTTCCCAAGGGCGCTTTGTTGATGGTGCTCCTTGATCTGCAAAAAGCTTTTGATACAGTTAATCATTGCGTCTTATTGAAGAAGTTACAACTAATGGGTTTTGATAAGGCAAGTTTAGATTGGTTTAGATCCTACTTATCTAATCGGCACCAAGTAGTGGCCATTCATGATATTCGTTCCAAACTAATGCCTATAACCTGCGGTGTTCCTCAGGGAAGCATTTTAGGCCCAATTCTATTTTCAAGTTATATAAATGATATGTGTATTTGTATAAAAGACTTCAAACTATTATTGTACGCAGATGACAGCGTACTACTCTATTCAAATCCTGATCCTAAATATATTGAGGAAAAGCTCAGTGAACAGCTGTCTACGTGTGTCGATTGGATGACTGATAATAAGCTTTCTTTACACTTGGGAAAAACAGAAAGCATTTTATTTTGTTCTAAAAGTAGTTCTAAAAAGTCATTTGAATTCAAAGTGACACACAATAATCAAGCAATCAAGAGAAAAGAGTCTGTGAAGTATTTAGGCATTGAGTTGGCTAGCGCAATTTCATTTTCATCTTTAGTAGAATCAGTTGTAAAAAAAGCAAATTCTCGTCTGAAATTTTTGTACAGATATCAAAGTTGTATGGATTTAAAAGCAAGACGTACACTCTGTTTTGCTCTTATTCAATGTTTATTTGACTATGCTAACCCTGCATGGTATAGTAACATAAACAAGTCAGATCAAAAGAAGTTGAAGATTATACAGAACAAAATGGTGAGATTTATCAACTGTTCTGGTCCAAGAACTCATGTTGGCTACAGCGAACTTTCTAAAGCTGGTTGTCTTGAAGTCGACCAAAGATCAAAACAACTCGTATTGCATCATGTGCATAAAATATATCATACTAGGTCGAATCATTATATTCGATCCAACTTCGATCTTGTTACTGACGTACATGATTATAATACAAGAAATAGACGATTCAACTTTAACTTACCTGAAAGAGTAGGTAGTATTGGAAATTCGTTTTATTACAATGCCATAAAACATTGGAATTCCCTTCCCAATGGTGTAAAAGAAATAGGAAACTATGATCATTTTAAGAGGAAATTAAAGGAATACCTAATACTTGACAGTCAGAGAAGAGAAGTGAATGACATGTTATATGATTGAAATTTTTGTTCTTCTGTCGGTTCATACTTTTTCATGTTGTATATACTTATGTTTTCGTACGTTATAGAAATTCTACAAATTCATCATTATTTTCCTCTTCTTCCTTCTCCTCTTTTTCTTCTTCTCCTTCTTCTTTTTCTTCTTGTACTTAATATCATTTCTATCATCAGTTTAATGTTGTTATTATTATTATATTTAATAAGTAGCTTTTAATTTTCTTATCTGTCTGTAAATATTACTATTTTAACTTATTAATTTTATACATGTCTGTAAGGGACCCCACTGGAAATAAGCTCTCGAGCTTTCGTGGGTTATCCTGTTCAAGCTGACTTTTTTTGACCTGTTATTATTGTATATTGTTGTATGTTGGAAGCTTGTCGAATAAAAATCAATCAATCAATCAATCAATCTATTAAGTTTAACATAAGAAATAAATACTCAGAGGACATCCAGAACATGACTTTTTCCACCTTACCCACACAACCACACGCACACACACATGCCCCCTAACCCACCAACATACACTTTCCCTCATTTGTGCACCTTACCTAAGTATATATAGTTACCAATGAACAAACTGTGAGGAAGTTCATGCAGAACTCGACTACTTAACAGCCTCCAGAAACACACACTCACACACGCGCACACACGCGCGCACACACACACACACACCGACAGACCCTACGCCCATCCACACACAAAATACAACGTGTAAAACATGAATTGTTATTTTGTGAAGTGTCTCACTTCTTTTTAACCAGTGTATACATTCCATTAAGTAAAATGCACGTCGATTTCACATATTGTGTGCATGAATTCTTTTTTATACAACTGAAAATCAGTAATCAGCCCCTTTGGTAGAAACATGCGCAAAATTTACAACCGAAAATCCCTTATTTAACATCCCACATATTTTCCACATATACAACGTGTAAAACATGAATTGTTATTTTGTGAAGTGTCTCACTTCTATTTAACCAGTGTATACATTCCATTAAGTAAAATGCACGTCGATTTCACATATTGTGTGCGTGAATTCTTTTTTATACAACTGAAAATCAGTAATCAGCCTGTTTGGTAGAAACATGCGCAAAATTTACAACCGAAAATCCCTTATTTAACATCCCACATATTAACTTGTTTACAACTGTAGGAAAGAACCCAAAGAAAATTGTTTAAGGTAGTGAAGGTTTTGAAGAAAATGGCCAAATAAAAAGAATGTTATGATAATTAAAGTTGAAATTACTCATTCTATGTGTATTTTACTAAGCTGTTCATTAGCAATGCATGTGTCATTATATGTACACATTCATTAATTGATTTTTTTTTATTTTTATATATATTAACCCCACCCCCCCCCCCCCCAAAAAAAAAAATAAATAAATAAATAAATACATAAATAAATGAATAAATTTAAAAAAAAATAATAATAAATAAATAAATAAATAAAAAAATATGGAGAATAATATTGGTTTACTTTGAATGGATAGAACTAAATTGACTTCATAAATAATGGACTGCCTCAAGGCGAGATCCTGTAGTTGGTTACAAAACATCATGTGACAACATTGAACAAAATAGCCAAAACATGAATCAAGGTCAAGTGAAAGCTCAGATAATTAAAATTACTTTTAAAATTAATGAGTCCTTGTAGCACGAATTAAGATTTGACTTGTTAAAGAATTTTAGACTAAAGAATACGATACCACGGTATTTGTTGTTGAATCTCTCTCTCTCTCTCTCTCTCTAATTCGTCTATAATTGGAATCTTTTAAAATTTACATCTCAATTGTATTATGTAATGTCGAGGGTAGTTCATCTTACTTTGTGGCTCATTATTCCCCCCCCCCCCCCCCCCCCCGAGATCCACAGCTGGTATATTTCTTGTAGGTAAACTATTCCCTACAGTACCATTTTTTGGATACACTAATCAATATGTACCTGTACAATGACGAGTAAAGTCATCCACAATTCACAGAAATTAATTGAAAGCAAAAATAAGAAGTTTCATTTCACTTTTCCTTGCACCTTAGGATATTCAAGGAAGCTGGGATGTTGCCATAGCGACAGCGGATGATGCACCCCATCACCTCGCGGAAGGCGGGCATGGTCCCAGCATAGATCAATGGATTAATGCAGTTGCTGAGAAAGAAGATGGGGAATGTCCACGGAACTACTGGTCGCAGAGGTGTCACAAGAATGCTGATACCGAATGGCATGGAACAAAAGAAGAAAGCCAAAATGATGACGGCGAGTCGCTTGGTGACCACGACCGTCTGATTCTTGATCACACGGTCCTCCTTCTTCTTACCTCTATACTCTTGATTTCTCGTCACAGAAGCAGATACACTGCCTTCGCTTTGCGAGTGCTGGGTTATTTGTGTCGCCTGGTCTTCGGCCTTTGGTGATGAAGTGGATGCCCTTTCTTCGGAAGCATCATTGGGTTGTTGTGCTGTTCGGATGTGTCTCTTCCTGACTGCTTCCATTTTCCTGCCGTGTCTGATCACAAAACGATAAATCAGGGTGTAGTTGATGACAACAATTACAAACATGAAAAACACACCGACACCACACAGAAGACTGTAGCCATCCTTAAAAGGATCCATCGAGGCTTCCCACTGGCAAATCTTAAACTGGACGGAGAACCCAAGCGCACCCAGTCCTACAAAGTGCGGAATGACGACACATACAGCGGAGTAAACCCAAGAGAAAGTCATCATAATTGTGATGTTTCGGGGTCTGTAAAGTTTCTTGAATTTGTACAGCGGCTTGGTTATGAGAAACCAACGAGTAAATCCAATCATGACCAGCATGATGAGGTTGACGGACGAGCAAGTGAGATGGACAGCGGCGGTTAAGGTACACAGCCAGTTCGGCAAAGAACGCTCCGTCACATCCAACATAGTCACAACATGGAAAGGAAGAAAGAGGCAAGCCAGGAAGTCAGCACATGCAAGATTGAACACAAACCAGTTCGTGGTCGATCTGAGCTTGTGAGAGAGAATGATTGCGAGGATAACAATTAAGTTTCCAACGAGCCCGACGATGCATATTACAACGAATAGTACAGCGATGATTACCCGTTGGACATAGTCGTCCAAAACAAAAAAGTTTGTTAGTTGTGTTCCATTGAACATGTTGAACGTCCTATTGGTGTAAAGGCCTCGAAATGTAAACTCCTGATCCACAATCGGTTAGTTAGCAATCGACGTGTAGCAATATTATGAAAGCCAAGTGATCATTTGAGTCTTAAAGTATAAATGTTTTCATTTGTGCTATTTTTTATTTTATCTCAACCTTTCCTTCTGGAGCAAAACGAAACCAAAAGCGATCCAAATTTCATAATTGCCCATTCAGACTTGTAAATGTGTAAACACTAAGGAGGCTCCTAAAGAGAAGCATGGTCATCCCGTAAACAAACTGTTTTACTTCATATTTATCGTTCATGTTCTGTGTATAGTATAGAAATTCGAGATGTTAGTTTGAAAAATGTGATGAAACCACAAAATCTAATCCAATAAATGTGTTATATACTGTAGTATCTATAAAACTAATAAAAGCCTACCAATCACTGTCTAGCAATCAACATCAACGACGTCCTTCTTGATAGCACGTACATGCTTTCCAGTGGCTTATATTTATTATTAGAAAACTGTCTGTTATATTTGGTTTTGTTTTGTTATTTTGTTAGTATATTCGATAGCTTGTACATAATTATTGATTAAAAGAAAACGAAATAGTTTAAATGACAACATTTGTCATATTCAGGTGCAGTATATGATCAAAGCAATTAATTATGAAAGTGTACAGGGGTGAAAAATCATTTAGACCGTACATCACGGATTGGCATTAAATGTTCCCTACATATCAGTCCTTCAATGCAGATGGTAAATATAGAATCATAATCTCCTTGCCAATTTTGGATTAGACAAATGGCGGTGGACGAGGTGAAAACTTAAAGGAGGCCTATAGCTTGCAAGAACTTCTTTTATGCATGGCAAAGTTACTAAAACATCATGTGATTACCCCCTCAAAAGGCTCCAAAAACAAAGAAATACAAACAAGAGAAAGATATATATTCTTTCACATCAATGTTTTCGATTCACATTTTGAAGTAATTTAAGAAAATGTGGCGCCCTTTAACATTTCTGCATTATTATGGTCGGTTCTTTGAGGAGATGGGGTGGGGTTGCCGGGAATTAACTCTAACTTGAAATCTGAGTGGCTTTACTTTCTTGGCGTATGTCCTGTATAAATAGGCCTAGAGTGGTTTAGGTTTTTGTTTCGTATTTTCATGTTTTATAAACATTAATATGATCTTTATGAATTGCAGAAATTTCCAAATATTTTATAAGATCATTGACAGAAAAAAATGTAATTTTGTAATCTAAATGTGCAGGCAATTAATCCCAGTGCTTTCGACGATTGACTTATAGACTACGACCAACAATCATACTCATCTGTATAGGATGTATTCTATGTTTTGAAACATACAAGGAGCCTGCATGAACCAATGTCAATGTCCAAAAAGATGTCATGGGTTTACAGTAGTATGGCGTCCAAAGGGCGGATAAAGAGTTTAGTAAAAGGATGCAGGAGCACATCTGAAGAAAAAAAAATCAAATTGGAGCATTTCCCCCCTTTTTTATTAGGGTTTTTTTTTTTTAAATATATAAAGGGCATGTGTAGTCTGTTTGTGCTTGTAGCCCCCCCCCCCCCCCCCCCCCGGCCCTCCCGCTATGTTTGACGTTAGACCACTCCTGTATGGTGTTCCACACCGCTCCCCCTGTTCCCCCAGTCCATTAATTGCTTATGCAAGCACTTTTGGGGGACATATACTCTCTATATGCCCCGGCCCCTCGATCCCCCCACCCCCCCCCCCCCCCCGCCCCCCTCCGAATCCCACCATTTAATTCATCTATAGTAGGCTGATTTGATTGCCAGTCTATGTAGGACAAACTAATTCAACCATCCTCCTCCCAATCTCCAAGGCACCTGAATTTAGGAAGTGCTGCATAATAGGATTTCCCGGCCAAATTCGCGAGTTTGTCATTCAAATTAATTTGTCTTGCGTTAAAATTCGACGGTTTTAGTACAGTCAGGTATATCTCGGATTTTATATTCCCTTTTCTAGTTTTCAAATCTATGGAATTTTCGTTAGAATCTACGTATGTTTCTTTCAAATTAATGAACAATGTGCTTCTTTCGCTATTTGGTCATTCGATTTAGCGCAACACGATTTTCTGACATCGCGACGGTGTACTTTTAGCATTCGAATTCATTTTTGTAGCATTCAAATTAGCACTTTGTGTACTTAAATTGATGGTCAATATACATTTCTCGTTTATTACACACTTTTTATAGCTCATTCTTTTTCTTTCAAGATTGTTTTTTCATGTGTATTTCATCATATTTCATTTTCTTGCATTTATACACTTATACTTATTAGATTTATCTGATATTCATCAGCATTTAAGTTTGATTGTTAAGAAGACAAAAACGACTTGCATCTACGGACCTGATGGTCTCAGTATATTTGTAAATGTTCATGTAAGGAAGTTGTTTGTCTTATGTTTCATCCTAAATTTATCATAATTTCATCATAATTTCATTATGGAAGAAGGGTACAATATTGTGACTGGGGTAGGGACTAGAGTCAACAATTTGAACATGATTCATTATTTAGCCATGTCTTTAGCTATCGATCTGCTGGCGGGCAAGTAAACTATGAAACTCTTTAAGGAAAACAGAGGGATGTGCTGGGTATAAGAGACGATGTGAATTACTTTTGTAAAATTCCGAGTCTGTAGTAAAAAGGGGCGTTCGAGGGTACCCCCACCTTTCCCGGGTATATGAACATGTCCGTGCAGAAATGCCATATCCCTTGATTTGCCCCTTCTTTACTTTATGTCTGACTACACCCATCTGCATTGTCCTGAAAATAAATAAATGGGATAACAGATTAGAACCCAATGGCAAATCATGCATTTTAACTGCATTATTTAAAAACTGTAAAAGTTTGTTGCAATTCTTCCCCCTAACATTCCTAACTTGAATAAAAAATATTGCGAATACGAATGACAGGACTGGTGTTAATTTGAATGATAAAAATTACACTTCGACAAGTGAATATTAATTTGAATGCTAGTTGAGCAGTTTCTAAATTGAATGACAGATCTATGAAACCCTTCGACCAAAATCCTAAATTAAATACAAAAACTGGAAAATTGAATAATAATTGGCATGGCAAAGCCGATCTGCGCTAACTTAAATGCAAAGTAAATGAATTCGAATGTCAAACACGCGAATTTGGCCGGGAAATCCTATATTAACACTCAAAAACAGGCCTACAAATCTGTTTTAATTCTGCTGTTGATCTATAAGTAATTTAAATTATACTTGCAATAGGGTATAATTTCCATGTTTGACAGAAAATAAGTGTTTTCTTTATCATAGTTAAGACGTAAAGCTTTTGTTAAAACATAGAGATATATTAAGTATATATCGTCCCTATTTTCACGAAGTGACGGTAGTGAGGAAAATCGTAACGCAAAGTGAAAGCAATTTTTTTTCACTACCGTCATACGGGTTTTTAAAAAAAGGGGGCGGTAAATAAACCTCGCGATTAAAACTCGATCCATTCGAGGGGGCGCGCGCGGCTCCAGTACAGTGCATGTGACGTAATCATTGTTGGGGTTAGCTCTCACTCAGTATGGCGGTTCACCACAGGCAGCCGAGTAATTCTAGACGGAAAGTTCAGGTAATTTATGAGAATCTGTGTTAGTATTAGCATTTCATTATACTATAGACATCAATTATAATGAAATTAATACTTATTGCACTACAAACCTTGTTTAAATTGTAAATTTCCAATGCGTTCAAGTGGTCTCTCTTCCCGATAACTTTCATTATGGTCCCACAAATGCTTTTACGCGTGTGTGAAAATGGAGGTTCGGGCTGCACTGCAATGCTGCGTTTACGTTTGCATGGTTTGTGCCACACAAAGCCTAAACATCATAGGTTGCACAACTCCTCAGGGCGTAACACCAATCACTTGAATTTATAATTTGAAGAAGTCCTCGATGGGAAAAAAAGGGTTATTTGGTTTCCTACACCAACGATTCTTCCATGTTGCAGCGTCGATTCAAAATGGCGAAGAGAAGTTACGCATGCGCGGCAGTGGCGCAGAAAATTTGAAGATTCATGCTACAAAGCGCCGATCGCTCGAAATTGCTGAATACGCATGACTCAAACAAACAGAGCGGCCCCTCGGCCCTTCGCAGCCTCGTGTATATTTATCGTTTCGAGCAAAATTTGTATCGTCGCGTATTAGACCCTAGTCAAAACGTCTTCTTTCAGTTGATTGGCAATAAGAGCTTCCATTTCATGTTTTGAGAGGGGGGTGTTTCCAAAACTGGTCTTTACCTTTAATTATTACATTCATTTACAGCAATAGAATAGTATGATTTTGGAGCACCGCATTCAAAACTTTTCAAAAGTAAGTTTTTTCCACAATGATTTTCATTTTCATTTTTGTACATGTGTGTGAAAAGTCAATATTCTCAGCTGAGAAGCTGGTATGAGGTCCATCCTGTTTACGGTTAGACTTTATGCATTGTAGGAGTGGGTTTGTGTACTAGTTTTACTTCTAAAGACTTTATGTATTTTGTGCAATATTGCCTTCAATGTATTGTGTGTTGTTTGGCACCAAAGAACCTTTCTTTTGTACTATGTTTGTTGTAAAATATGATCTTTTTACCATTAGACACGCATGTATTTCTTTCAAATTCAAGGTGTTATGCCCCAAAATGGCCAAACGAACCTTTGAGTAAAGGATAACCGTTTTCTGTCTTGTCATTTTTAAAGTTTTATTCACTTATTTTCCTTCTATGCTTCTTTCTGCAAAACATAGGTCTAAGAAAAAGATTACCGTACCACTTACGAGTGACTTGTCTAATTTATGCGCTATAGCTCCAAATAATCGTTTCCTATCGAGACATGCCCACTGACACTTACATGTGTACCCCTTCCCTTTTTAAAATGCCATCTTGCCGTTTGTGATGGAGCTAGCCTTAACGAAGGGCTTGGAAGCCTTTGTGATGATTAGACAGAGTTTACCGTGTGGTTTGGGGAATTTTTTTATGAAAAATGATTTTGTCAACCATCCCATACACAGACAGTAACCTTGCCACCAAGCCTTTTATTAACCGGGCGCCGGGCGATTTTTACCCAACGGTCCCTGACTTTTGGCGGCCGGTAAGACGGGGAAAATGAGTACCGGGCGCCGGTAATTTTTTATTTTTGGCGCCCGGTGTGGGAGAATAAAATTTTCCTGTTTCAGAAACTTCCACATGTCTAGCACTAAATGCTCACCAATGTGACAAAAACTTACTTAATACGAGTTAAAAGTGGACTGAATGAACCCTAACAAATCATTTTATGATGAGAGTCCTAATTGAAATCGCCCCGAAATAATTGCAGCACGACTACAAAGCAGCCGCTAACGTATATCTGCTACTCCTAGCGCCACCGCTAGGGTTAGGGCGGCTAGCAGCTAGCTGGCGTGCAGATCTAGAGCGGAGATCGAGAGTGGGCGGGCAACACTCTCACTCCGTCTAAACGTTTGATTTCGTTGTGAAAATCTTACTTTGAAAAACGATTCTCAAAATTCAGTATACATGGCCTGAATAATCACAATCCAAACTTCGATTTCACAACTCTTTTCCTGGAAACTATATACAAATCGTGGCAATCATGATCGAAATAGATCACAATTTCGGAATTTCGCCACCAAGTCCGATCGCCGCTCAATGAAAAGGATCGTAAAAAAATCGGTAGAAAACAAATATTTTAATATTAAAAAAAAAAAAAATATGCCGACAATTTTTAAGTTTGGGGCTATCAAATACTTTTAAAAAAATGCATAGCTGGGATTAGTTTGTCATTCAGAGTTATTGTAGACCGTGTTCGTAGATATTTAGTGTTTTTCATGACTTTGAAATTAATGACATTAGTCTAAGAGTAGAGGTATAAAATGCGAGCCGCCACTTTGGATTATAATGTAATTATAAGCACGCATTTTGTTTTCCATTGTCATTATAATCCAAGATGGCGGCTCGCGCATGTTTTGCCTCTTCTCTTAGACTAATATTATTAATTTCTAAGTCATGAAAAGGCACTTCATATAAACAAACATGGTCTACAAAAACTCCAACTGACTAAATGATCCCAGCTTTGCATGTTTATTTAGTATTTGGTAGCCTAAAACTTGACAATTTTTTTTTTTTTTTTTTTTTTTTAATATATATTTTTTTTAAATTTTGTATTTCCCCCTTCCGATCCGATTAAAGCCCCAACTTACAGGGTTAATTTATAGTGTACTGATATAAACTAATGACAATGAATAATGAATAAGTAAAAGGTAACGGTTAACAAATTATTTAAAAGAATTCATATTTTCATCAATTTTGGAAACGGCTCCTGGTCCTGGAAAACGGCTCCCGGTTCTCTAAAAAATTTAAGGACCGGGAGCCGCTTTTTCAGATATTTGGCTCCAGGTCTGCTTTGTCTTAATAAAAGGCTTGCTTGCCACACCTTGCATCTGGTGAAAGAGTTTGTCCCTGGCTTTTCTTTATCTAGATATTTATATAGTCTAATTCCTTAAGCCGACATAAGAATTGTCTAGTTAGTGTTATCTAGACTTTAGATCCCATCTCGGAACCGTTCTGTAAATGTCTTATTATCCTAGTCATTTCTAGCAAATTGGTGCCAATTGAAGGTTGGTGATCTTAATATCATATTTTATATTATCACCAAGCCTTTAAGGCTAAGTGGAGCTCCATGTATAGTTAGTGTTGTTATCTACACTTTAGATCCCGTCTCGGAACCGTTCTGTAAATGTCTTATTATCCTAGTCATTTCTAGCAAATTGGTGCCAATTGGAGGTTGGTGATCTTAATATCATATTTTATGATAAGTGGAGCTCCATGTCTAGTTAGTGTTGTTATCTAGACTTTAGATCCCGTCTTGGAACCGTTCTGTAAATGTCTTATTATCCTAGTCATTTCTAGCAAATTGGTGCCAATTGAAGGTTGGTGATCTTAATATCATATTTTATATTATCACCAAGCCTTTAAGGCTAAGTGGAGCTCCATGTATAGTTAGTGTTGTTATCTACACTTTAGATCCCGTCTCGGAACCGTTCTGTAAATGTCTTATTATCCTAGTCATTTCTAGCAAATTGGTGCCAATTGGAGGTTGGTGATCTATTCTTAATATCATATTTTATGATAAGTGGAGCTCCATGTCTAGTTAGTGTTGTTATCTAGACTTTAGATCCCGTCTTGGAACCGTTCTGTAAATGTCTTATTATCCTAGTCATTTCTAGCAAATTGGTGCCAATTGAAGGTTGGTGATCTTAATATCATATTTTATATTATCACCAAGCCTTTCAGGCTAAGTGGAGCTCCATGTCTTTTGATCTTTGAAAAAATGTAGGTCCAGTAAAATGTCCCCACTGTCATGTTAGATATTAAATCTGTCTTCGAGCTCATCTGTGTCATTTTGGAGGTATTTTGTTTACCAACTTCATTACAATCAACAGGTAGACTGCACCAGAATCTTTAACATGTGGGGCAAAAGAAACATGCTGTCACAAACCACATGTTATAACGAGTCCTAATTAAGTAAGGGAAATTTCTTGACTTACTAAAATGCTTTATTTTTGCTTTCTTTCAAAGGTTTCCTACGTGATTCGCGATGAAGTGGAGAAGAAACACAGGTCAGGGGTCAACGCACTTCAGTTTGACCCTCTTCTCAACAGACTCTACTCAGCCGGGAGAGATTCCATTGTCAGAATATGGAACCTACCTGATGAAAGAGTAAGAACATTTCTAAATACAGTCAAACCTGTCTACAGTGACCGCCCAAGGGAAAAACAAAAAGTGGTCTTTTTAGACAGGTTCCTTTAGTACATGTTTCAACGAGAAACCATTTTCAAGGAAAACAAAAAATGTGGTCCTTGTAGACAGGTGGTCTTTGTAGACAGGTGGTCACTGAAGCAGGTTTGACTGTAGAAAACCGTCTTCTACTTTGTTCATTCTCAAAAGAGATGATCTCTTTACTTTTACAAAATGTGCTATTATTTGCAAATTACACATTTGAGGTGTGTCTACATTGATTAAGACATATAATAGGCCATTTTACAGTACCGGTGTATTTGTTAAGTTCACTACGGAATTTATTTGACACATTTCCAGTCAAACATGCCATACTATTTCATTTGTTTGTAGTCAAAAGGTCTGTATAAAGACGTAATAGAAATGTCCTGAAAATCAAGCGATACTCGTCAATTACAAGAAGGGCCTTGACCCCCTATCCCTGTCAACAAAGAAGAAATATTTTTTGTGTAATTACATTTGATTCTTATGCTTTTACTTTGTACATTCCATGCAATCAAGCCTTCAGGCTGCCATTTTGGATTTTGATAAATGTATTTTCAATTCAGTTCAGTTCGAGACCTGCTTTTTAAATGTTGGACATTAGTTTTGAGTTCTGTTTCATTGTCGTTATGACAGGAGCAGTATGTTCAGTCGATGGAGCATCACACAGACTGGGTGAATGATGTTGTCTTATGTTGCGGAGGAAGAACCTGTGAGTAAATTACGATCACCCATTCCTTGACGGTTTTGACGTCTGTGGTTCAGAAGCCCTCCTCTCTACCATAGACATTAAAATTATCAAAGCTGAATAACTTTGAATTTGAAATTTTTTTACTTTTTGTGTGATTGCGATCAGTCAATTCGACAACTAATGCCTGTTTTGAGGAAATTTCTAAATTAGTATTGTCTTTCAAATGCCGTTTTAAATTTAACCTTTTCATTTTGGGGGCTTGCAAATGGGACATAGTACCTTTAATGTTTACAAATACTTGAAAGAAGCTAATAACTGCAGATGTTTTGCCATTGTGAAATTTATTAACAATATTTTTTTGTAAACAATACCTCTAAATTTTTGATCGTCATTTCATATAAACCAGGTGCATCATTACAACAATCTAAGTTGAAATATAAAAAATATCTTTGCAATTCTAAATAGTCGTTATCAATTTCATAATAATTGTTATTATGTTTCAAATCGCAATTATGTTTTCATCGGGTCCATTTAATCTAATTATAAAACCAGACATTTGAAGGGAGAGTCCACCCTGAGGACGGGTTTACCCCGCCTTTACTTGGCCACACACATTCTCAGGGTGGACTTCCCCTTCATTGCTAACGGGGCTAGACTCGATAAGCTTTGCTTTTTCTAGCCCCATCTACTTTCCTTACCTTTTTATGTTTTAATGTTGATGTTTGTTAATTGATGTAGGTTGTCATTGTTTTTTATGCTTTATTTGTTTTTCATTTGCTCTATGTGTCAAATGTGTACAATGTATTCTCTTACCTTGTATATTTTTCTGGTTTTTAATGTGGAAAATAAATGAAATGAAATGAAATGAAATATTCAGACACTAAATTAAACTTCAATTTGTTCTGATGATTTATACAGTGATATCGGCGTCATCGGACACAACAGTGAAAGTATGGAATGCACACAAAGGTTTCTGTATGTCAACGTTAAGAACACACAAGGTAAGAGATCAAAGTATCATAACGTTTGCATGCTCCAGCACTCAATGAAATCAATTCATCTTTGTGAATCAACAATGTTATTCAGAATTTTCCATGTGGTGGTACATGTATATTTCACCAGGGGGGTGTTTCACAAAGACTAAGATCGACTTTAAGTTGGACTTAACTATGGCAGGCCGTTCATGCCACTGTTTGCTCTCACCATTAACTGGCATTGGTCTCTCAAGGGACGTACAACTCGTGGTCGCAAATATACAGAATTTACTTTTTTTGATAGTTCATTATTGAAGGAAAAATGTTATATAAAGATCATAATTGAGAGACCAACTGCCATAGTTAAGTACAACTTAAAGTCGATCTTTAATAGCCTTTGTGAAACAACCCCAGGCCTGCAGGAAAACCAAAATGTTTTTTTTTGGGGGGGGGGCCGGGAGGGGGCTTGTTTTTAAAATATATTGTTTTTGCAATTCCTAATCTTAAATATGTTTTATTCTCTTGGCCACCCATTGTTATTGATGATTCAAACCTTGGTCAAGATTTCATTTCACCATCTCTTTGAATTAGAGTCAAATAATGGGCAGTTCTTAGTGGTCATTGTTCAAGATCCTTCAAATTAGGATTGACTCTATGGTCAAGAATTGGTTCACAACAGGTTTTTTTTTCTCAATTTAAAAAAATTTCAGGACTACGTGAAAGCGTTAGCATATGCCAAAGACAAAGAATGGGTGGCGTCTGCTGGTCTCGACAAACAAATCTTCCTGTGGGATGTTAACACGTTAACGGCACTCACAGCTACCAATAACACCGTCACAAGTAAGTCTTTATTTAAAATTTCGGCGATCAATCACAAGAATAGACCAGGGCAACGTTTCTGTCATACCTACAAGCTTACCGACATCGCATCAAAACGTGTGTTAAATTTAATACACGCGATGTAGCGGGTTGTCGTGAAACAAAGCCCTGTTTACTAAATTTCAATTGATGCATGTTTCTTTCGCTAACCCATAGTTACCAGCCATTACATTCACCTGCTATGAATAATAGCATCTCTATAGGCGGAATCCACTTTGCATAGAATCGATTTATTGCTATGTCAGGCAATTCCTTGGCAAGCTGTTTAATTTTCATGAGAAACATTTGTTCAAAATGTATGTAAGAAAGTTTTTCTCATGTCTATTGTCTAATGAAGATTACATAGTTGTTGGTTATACACAGTATTGATTTGCAGAAATGCATTTTCCTTTTTACACCGACATGTACGTGGTCTCAAACTAAATTGATGATCATTCATTTCCAATGGCTTTAAGAGTTAATTGGGGATGACATGGGTTAAGTTTGTCTGATCGACCGACAATCTTTTTCTTGTTCAATTACACCGAACATCTGTAGGAATTCCAGGCTGTGCCAGTCAGGTCGCATCAGGTATATGAAAGATTGTTTTACCTCATTTATTTAATCTTCTGCATGAGGATTAAACAAAAAGTTCAAAGCAGCTTAGTATTACTAGTGCTTGTCATTCATCATCTGAAATCATAGAAATCTGACCCCCAAAAAGTTGGGGAAAGTTTCCTAGATTGTGCATCAGCTTAAAGCTAAATTATGTAATGAGAATGCTATAATTCTGTTTTTTATGTAAAAAAATTGCTACTCTAATTATTTTCTGTTAGCATCTTCTTTGAATGGTCAGAAGGACTCCATCTACAGCCTAGCTATGAACCAGTCAGGCTCCGTCATTATCTCTGGCTCAACAGAAAAGGTAAAAAAAAAATACTCCATTGTTTTGATTTATAGTTTAGTAGAGGTTCCACTGGAATGTGGATCACACGGATCATGGTTTAAGTCCCACCGCGGCCCTAATTTCCTTTCCTTGGAAATCTTTAGTTAATGTTCTTTGAAGTAGCTCTACGTTTCTTCAAAAGAAGGCAAGACATTAGTCTACATTTGCCACTCTCCACCCAAGTGTTAAATGGGTACCTGGTAGGATGCGAACGTGAATATTGTTAGATTGGCATGTGTGTGCTTGTAAAATGGCTCCTGGCCGGAATACTCTCCCAAGAGCAGAGAGCATCGACTATCATTAGAACCATTTCCACCAGTATCTAATGCCTCTTTTTAAACTATGGTCAAACCTGCTTTAGTGACCACCTGTCTATAACAAGCACATTTTTTGTTTCCCTTGAAAATGTTTTCTCATTGAAACATGTACTAAAGGAACCTGTCTACAAAGACCACCTGTCTACAACAAGCACATTTTTTGTTTCCCTTGGGCGGTCGCTGTAGACAGGTTTTTTACATGAGTGCGTGGAGAAGCATGTTTAACTCTGTTTGCCTCTATTCTTTACATTCCATCCAAGGTTCTGAGAGTGTGGGATCCAAAGACTTGTGCCAAGATCATGAAGCTCAAAGGCCACACCGACAACGTCAAGGCATTGGTCATCAACAGAGATGGCACACAGGTAAACTCTCGCACTGACCATTTGATTCGAGTCAATTGATACAAATCCGTTCTTAAAGGGATTGGGTAACTTTGCCTCGGATTCTGAAACAAAATCCTTGATGTAGCTCATGCTGCAATGATAATTATAACCTTAAGGTCAGTCAGAAATGCCATGACTTTTACAAGCCGTTTACCTTTATTATTATCAAGATATCTATGTTTGGAAATATATATAATATATGATAGCGTTTTCCTAACAGTTTTCATAACACTACAGTCTATTGGGGAAAACGAGTATTGTAAAACCGGTCACTCAAAGATTTTTACTTTTTTGAGGCATTTCTTGGTCATTTTGAAGCAGAATTTTTTTGGGGGCTTCAATATTACACCATATTACAGACACTGATAACATGTAGGGTCGTGCATCTTAGATTAAACATTGTTAAACGATGCCTTTAAATGTTCCCTTTGATTCCATTCACCAGTGTCTGTCCGGCAGTTCGGATGGGACGATACGCCTGTGGTCTCTGGGGCAGCAGCGGTGCATAGCCACCTACCGTATCCACGAGGAGGGGGTGTGGGCTCTGCAAGCCAACGAATCCTTCACCACGTTCTACTCCGGTGGCCGGGACTGCTACGTCTACCAGACCGAAATCAAGAACCCGGACGCCAGCGAGCTGATCTGCGAGGAGAGTTCCCCGGTCTTGAGGATAGAGCTGGTGCCAGAGGAGGATGCCATCTGGGTGGCGACCACCAGGTCTCATCTCAACCAATGGGTCAGTCAGTCAGTGCGAGGTCCCTAATTTAAAGATAAACTTGAGTTCTGGTAAAAAAAGAAAATTAATTCTCATGGAATCAAACGAAAGTTACACTGAATGTTCAAGATTACATTCAAATATCATTTGCCAAACAATTTTGGTAGAAAATGTATACTGGCTGAGTAATGAGCATAGAAAGATAAGGAAATCAAGGTAAGTAGGCCCGACACCATTTGTGTAGTCCCATATACATCTTTCTGTGTACAGTGCTCGTTATTTTACCAAGACTGGGCCAAATTTATTATGATTGTGATGACTCCAGAACTTTGCAGTACACACCAATTCTTGCACACTACATGATCAACTTTTTCTGATCCATTCCACACCTTTTCTTTCACAATGCAATCGCATGACCAGAACTCAACTTTATCTTTAAACCCAACTTGTCCAAATGTTTGTTGCAGAACCCTTTTTAAAGAGCAGTTGTTTTACAAATAACATCTTCTGTCTTACCAATCTTTTGTCATTCTTTATTCATTGCATTAAAGCAATATCATTTATAATCTGTATAACAGGTAATGCTCTGTGGTCACAATAAAGTTTATTTTTGTCTAAACTGGACTTGTATGCTTATTAAACAATTGTACAAACTCTGCCATTGTGTAAGGCACAAAGCGTGACTCGTTCATATTGAATTTACCCTCTAGCCTTGTACCAAAAAATATGTAAATGCATTTACATGATAATAATCTAAATCCATATATCTCGTCTGTTTTAATCGCAGAGCCTTTCAAGTAGAGGAGGGAGGAATGTTGATGATTATGACAACGTGGGCATGGAAAGTGATTGCCCTAAACCAAAGATGACAGTAGAGGGCGGTTCCAGCATCCGACAGTACCACATACTCAACGACAAAAGGCACATCATAACGAAAGACACCGACAATAGAGTGGCGCTATGGGATGTATTGATGGTAAGTTTAGAGGTGCAGTTTAGAAAAATAACTCCCAAAGCTGATGGAGGTTCTCAGCGATTATCTCTTGTTCTCCTATTGAAAATAATGCCTCCACTTATCATCTCTTGTGTATCATAGAATGCACAATTGATGCAAAGAGTGATACTGAATTCATGACTTTTAGAAGATTGTTTATGTTTTACGAGCCTGTAAATACTTCTAATGCCAAAGCAGTTATCTCTAATTGCTTTCTTTCAGTCTCTCTATCCACCCCATCTTTATTCTGCTTACTTCCTTATTGCAATTCTTGCAGTCTTTACTCTTATCATATATCACTTTTCTGTTTTATATTTTCCTTCTCTCTCTTTCTTCAATTCTTTCTCTTTTTTTTCTCTCTCCCTTCCATATTTCTTATTCTTACTCACAGTCTCACTCTCTCTCTCTCACTCTCTCTCTCTTACTCTCTCTCTTTCATTTTCTGTCCTATTATTTCTCATGTTCCTCTCTCTCTCTCTCTCTCTCTCCCACTTTCTCTCTCTCTCTTTCTCTTTCATATACTGTCCCACTACCTCTCATGTTTCTCTGTCTCACTCTCTTTCTCTTTCACGCCATCTTCCATCTTCTTTCATTAAGTTTCCATGGTGTACTAACAATTATTTAAAGAATCAACCGTTATGCCTTTCTGTTCATTTGTGTACCACACCATTTCTCCTTTTATCTCACGTGTATTCATAACTTCCCCCTTCTTTGTACAGGCAAAGAAAGTGGAAGATCTGGGCCATGCAGATTTTGAAGTGGAAATAAAGAACAGATTCCAGATGATATACGTTCCCAACTGGTTTGCAGTCGACCTTAAGATAGGGGTAAGTCTTTACAATTTGGGGCATAGCATGAGTTCAAGATCAACGTTAATCTCATGATAGCTTTTCTTTTTAGAGGAGCCATATTTTTAGAGCTTATGGCATTCTGAATACTTTATATTTTTTTTAAATATCATTTTTAGGGGGGACCCTTTTCCGCTATGCCACCCCCTTATTTTGAAGTAGTCACCCGAAGAATCAAAAGTATTTAGAAATGATGCAAAATTCATATCATTGCGAAGGGGAAGCCTTCCTAATCAAATATAACAACTTCCCTCTTCAAAATATGTTGGGGGCCTGCAGTAATCATCTCTCAAAAATGTTAATTTTTTAGATCCAGATTTTCTGCCTTTAGCGGTCCTCCATAGAGCGTCAAAATTTGTGACGTCACATGCGAGTCACCACTAGCCGTAAAATGGCATTTTACGCTTTTCCATGATATCTTTAAGAATTTCAGCAAATTGTTCGTGTATTTCAAGAGAAAATCTTTCCATCCATATATAATTTTTCCATAATTATCAGTTGTCGTGACTTTTCTCCGGGTGACTACTTTAACCCATTAAAAGGTATGAATCAAGCACTTATTAAATCTATTTTGGTTTTGCTTTTATACAGATGTTGTGCATACATTTAGAAGAGTCCGACTGTTTTGCTGCCTGGGTTTCTTCAAAGGATAGTGGTTTAGGACCGGCTGATGCACCTGATATTAAAGGTATACATCAAAGAGATTGTTTGAAGAGTAGAAAGTGGGTCCATAGTCATCATAGCCCTTCACAACAGTTGCCCGATTCTTGTGGCTTGAGCCAATAATTTCATATATAAACCCCTACAAAAACTTGATGCTCCTGATATCAAAAGTAAGCATTATCAAATGGGTTTTTGAAGAGTTGAGAGTGTATCCCTATTACAATTTTCCTGGTTGTGCACATTATTTGTTATTCATAGTGCTAACGTTAACTAGATGCATTTGATATTGAAAGAAAAGACTATAAAACAGCTTCTCAGAAAAAAAGGAAAAAAAGAAGACAGTTAATAGTCTCGATCTGTACACTATTTAAGCTAAACTTAATTGAAATAATGGGACATGTTTGTGGCATGGTTAGCAAAGCAACTTTTTCATCTAAAGCTCTTTGATGCTTGGTTATATATAATTAATAGTTCAGATAGGTATGTAAAGGAATTGGCTATGGATATAAAAACAGGTGGATTTTACAAAATTAATTTTGAGGCATAGACATGTTTAAATCTTTCCCCCAGCTCTTTCTGTTAAGAAAATGATGAACAATATTTGGTTCATTATAAGTTCACTTTTGTTCTGCCAGTGGTACCTTTTTATTCATAACACAATCTGTAATTTTAATCTATTTTACATTATAGCAGAAAAAGAAACATCAACCAGAAAGTACTTACCGTACATGAATGGGTGTGCATACCATATTGATGTATGCATTGTGGTCATACATTTTCATGCATAAATTTTGTGTAGGAATATGTGATTATTTGTATCCTATTGTCTAACACAATCTGTAATTTTAATCTATTTTACATTATAGTTGAAAAAGAAACATCAACCAGAAAGTACTTACCGTACATGAATGGGTTTGCATGCCATATTGATGTATGCATTGTGGTCATACATTTTCATGCATAGATTTTGTGCAGGAATATGTGATTTGTTGTATCCTATTGTCATCCCTTGCATAGTGAACTATGGAGGACTTGTTCTACAAGCTTTGCTGGAACACTGGCCCAGGACACACGCGTATGATCCAGAAGGCATCAATGGCCAAAGTAAGATCAGTATTTAAAGAGAAGGTTGAGTTCTGGGAAGAGGTGAAAAATAATTTGTGAGCATTATCATTGTACTATGCAAGTGTGGAAGAACATCAGAGAAAAATGTTCCCTGAAAAGCATGTCTCTTCAAATGCCTTAATATTCTAAATATGGCATGTAACACCATAAAAATCTGAATGGATTTTTAAGCCACATGTTCCTGTAGTCCCATATACATCTTTCTGTGTACAGTGCTTGTAACTTTACCAAGACTGGGCCAAATTTCCAAACATTTAGATGATTCCAGAACCTTGCAGTACACACCAATACTTATATGCTAGATGATCAAACTTTTCTGATCGATTCCACAACAGAACTCAACTTTATCTTTAATTTGACTTTTTTAGTTGCTCTTCCATTGTATGAGAAGAAAGGAATATGGTCTAGTGTCATTCAAAATGTAGGCACACAATTGTTTTCAAGAAATTTAGGGGTTGCGTCAAGTAGATAAAGATTGTGTGCTTGATCTTGTAATTGAAAACAATTCAGAACAAAATTGTGGAACCAGCAGGATTTGAACCCGCCATCTACCACAAGGTCCATGGCACAGTCACAATGAACTGGAAACAACAAATACCTTAACGTTCCTGACTCATTCTCACTTATAATATTCATCAGTTCGCCATTGGGACAATATTATTCATAGCCACACAATACCGGCTTTAATTCCACCTCACCACTCAAAGGATATTAAAGCTATCGACTATTCATAGTGCTAGTGTTCTTTTTGCAGAAAGCTGACAATGGTTCACTTAGGGGTTGGGGACCATTCTATCTTTCTGAAAAAGTCCATTAGATTGTCATCGTTTTCTTCCTGTACATATCCATCATCTTTAATTTTTAAGATGATATTGCATTTGCATTTGCACTTCCTTTTCTTAAAAAATCATTCATCCAAATATGTATCTTGATAGTATCAGTTATCTGAACTGAAATTTTGTAAAGCATAAGAAGTGGTTTAATGGGCTCACTTTTTAACCTTCTTAATATGAAAAGACAATTGATATTTTGTCATATCTTAGCGGTTCTCAAAATTGAAGATATGAAATGAATGAATGAATGAAGCGAATGTTAATTTTACCTGTGCTCAGTAATGAAAGAAATGGTGTTCTTGATTTCACAGTGAATGGCATCGACACAAGCACCGATGACATCAACTTGACAGTGAACTCCTCCTCTCCGACCTCGCCCCATCCCCCGCATACCGTCATCAACAAGGGTAACAGCTACTTCAGCGTCCCGCCCCACACGCCCGTCATCTTCAGTGAGGTCGGAGGTCGAACCCTCTTCCGCTTCCTGTGCCGAGACGCCAGCGGGGATTCAGAGAGGATGCTGCTGAACGAGAACGTACCCCAGTGGGTGGTCTCTGTCACCGTCGAGGTAGACTCTCCTCTCCTCTCCATTATTATTATTATTATTATTATAAAATATATTTGGCACTTTCAAAAGAAACAAGACATTTTATTATAATCCATTTCTTGAATAGCAAACTTAATATAGGTGTATAAAGTAATCATTTCAAAACATATTTCTCTCAGTTCTTCCGGTCCTAGAAGGCTTCAAGTTATTTTCAGAATTTCTTTCTTGAGGACACATAGAACATGTTCAATATTACCTGAGACAAGCTTCACCCTGGATTGAGAAGGCAAGCCTTCCCAGTCTATTGGAAACCTATGGACTTTTCTACTTCTCTGTTTTAATCTGTTTGTTATTCAGCTCTAGTAGCCTATTCTTGTGTGTCCGGTTCTCTGCGCACTTACTGTATATGCTTGAGAAAATGATCTGTTTTATGTCAGTGAAGCAAGAGGATCTCTGCAAGTAAATTTCTGATGAGAACATATTAGTTTTCTATTTAATTAGAAAGTTTTAACAAATATTTGATTTTTACATTTAACAGCAGTTTTCTTGTCATTCTTCTCTAAAGTAGAAAAGCAGCATCGTTTGATTTCCGCAAGTGAAAGAAAGTTTCTTCTGATTCAATTGAATTTCTCCTTTTCTTTTTCATTGCAGCATAGTCAACCAAAGTTCAACAAGATTTCATTCTTTCTCCAACCTCACAACCCATCGGGAAATAGAACCTTGAAAAAGTAAGTTGAGAAACTTCAATATACTTTGTGAAGAAATGAAAATCGCAAGCATGTAGTAAAGTCCCAAGACAAACCAAAATTCTGATTGATAAAAAAGAAAAATATTGTGTTTATTATTATACAGAGCATATCACATGGTGATTAAAAATCCCCTATGCTGTTTCTTTTCTTCCACTGTTCTGTAGTTGTATGAATTTGATTAAAAAAACTGATATTCCACAAGACATGCAGGGCCAAATGCTGACTCCTGTGTTTTACAGGCATTTTGACAATTTTAAGAGTTTAAAGTGTACCACACCAGTGTAAGGTAATATTGTACAGAACAATAGCTTCCTAATTTTGTTACTGAAGATACAAAGAAAAGCATAATGCAAAAAGAAAATAAAAAATTATAATAACAAAAGCTAGGTTTCCAAGCACTTTACATTGTAATAAATTGTTATTACCCCGGTCGTTGGATTTAGTTGCTTAACCACACATGATAGTGCACACGCTCCGCTTCCTGGGGAATATGAAATGGGTATATGTATCTTCTTGTTATGGCAGTATGACTTTATCATAACAAATTTTATTACAGAACAAGCTGGAATGTAGTGATGCCTCTATATAATGTAGTTTTTATAACATGTATCATTTCTTCAACACAGGGACAGACTGTCAGCCAGTGACATGCTGCAAGCCAGAAAGGTCTTAGAGCACGTCTATGAGAAGGTGATGGGCGCGTACACGTCGCCGTCATCGCCCTCCTCAGCGGGGGCAGCAAACGGGTACGGGACGGGAGAGGGAGCTGACAGGGACTCTGAACTGAGCAGTATCTCGGAGGAGAAAGTAGAGTTGTTATGTCAAGACCAAGTAAGTTTCAGTTCACTTTCTTTAATCCTTAAAGCCCTTCTGCACTAGTTTGGCCAGGAGGGATTAGACCTCCCTACAAGGTCACTGACAGGTGGTTATCTCATCAAATCAGCTCTCAATTAATATAAGAAAAAGGGGATCATGGGGGAGCAACAGGCACCGATTAGGCATTGTTTGCTATATAGAGGGCGCAAGTAACAACAAGTAGTGCAGTGGGGCTTTAAAAAGACTTGGAGGGGGATGGGGCATCATGGCAATCGAAGAAAGTATTACTGGATGCATTTGTTACTTTTTTTCTTTCTAGACTTGCATCTTTCTACACCAAGTTTATGTAATTGGGATGCGAAAGATATTTGTGTCCTCACGTCAACTTGAAAATTGAGAACTTTAGGATCATTTGTATCAAACAAATGTAAACTGTACAGTCATTGTCATCATACTCATATGATAATCAATTTTAAATCCAAATATAGATCATTGCATCAAAAGTTTTTATTTCATTTCCTTTAATTGTATAGGAGGTCTTCAACAGGTTTGTCTTCTGCACACCATTCTATTTTATTATTCATCAGTTTGAACTTGCAAAACTTTTAAAAGAAAACCTCTCCCTAAAGAATAAGTGTAGGTATGCTGAAAGATGAGATTTATTCCTGCCTATTGATGTACAATATGTACAAGAGATATATAAATGAAGATATTTATGGCATGGTGTAATGCCTTTGAGCATGACATTGCACGTAGCCATTTTCTTGCTAATTTTGTGCTGACTGTATATTCATACTGCAATTACAATCATAAATTAATTTTATCTTTTCACAGGTACTAGATCCCAACATGGACCTGCGGACAATCAAGCATTTCATCTTCAAGAGTGGCGGCGATCTCACCCTGCTCTACCGCAGCAAACATCCTAACGCAACCTGAGCACGCCTCCCCCGTGTTCCTTCCCACGGTACAGACATTCATGTTTGACGGCGTACTCTGTGTGGTGCTCAACCCTTTTTTTAGACTACCTTGCATAGGTTGACGGTGATGATTTCGCACAACTCCAAGGGCAGAGAGTAGTTGGCAGGGAGAAACTGCAGCAGCAGGTCTCTTGGTGTTTTTTCTCTGCTGGTGGTACCAATAATCGGTGATCTCTTGCCCCAACGCTTGTTGGTTTTGGTGATGACAAATATTGATACTTATATTCCGCATTTATATAGCGTTTAATACATCAACGATGTCTCTAAGAGCTTTACAGATTTATTATTACCCACGGTTAACGGATTCAGACTCGCCTGCAATCAATGTATGCACATTCTCCACTCCCTGGGGAACATTCTAGCCAGGTGCCATTTTTCAGGCACTCACAATGCTGAGCAAAATACATTGGCATTCGCATCATATCAGGTACTCAAAGTGGCAAATGTAGATTAATGTCTTACCAAAGGACGTAAGTGCCGGGCTGGGATTTCATCTACAGTCTGGTGACTTATCCACTAGACCACAACAACACCTCTACACCCCGACAATCGATGGTCCAAGGAGAATGGGTGCATGGATGTCACTGATTGCTAGGTATACTGACCTGCTGTTCATTCTCACTTTGGACCATGGTTCTCATTAGCTCCAGGAAGCAGCCTACAGCAGTATGTAAATGCTAAGTTGTTTAATAAAACTACATTATCTTGTGTTTTCATGCATAATTGACATCACTTGAGCATTCACTGTGTAACCGATACAGAGAGAAGACTCCACTTTTACTACCAGTGGGTCATATGGATTATTTATAGTGCCCAAACCCTTCACCAACTTCAAAAGAACTGCCCCCGCAAGGGAAATTCTCTGCAGAGATAGCTTTAGGCCATGCTCCCAGTAATTCTGAACAACTGACGTGATATCCTAGGAGTTTTGCTGCTTTCAAGACATGTAAACGCGTTATTGGGTAATTCCACCAAGTCTAGTGTGAGCAAACTAATGAATTGCACCTCGAAACTCCCAAAACTATGTTTTTGAAGTAAATAGATCGAAAGATCCCATGCTAATGGGCTTGCGTGTAGACTCCCTAAAATATGACCGCAAGCTCAGCGATAAAGTGTATTGGAATCAGCCGGAATTGTAATTTCATGCTTTAGTACACTGTTCTAGTTCAAGCAGTGTACCGCTACTATACAAGAGATGCAAACATGCAAGGACTGTGCAGAAGAGCACATTATTCTCTGTGTTTCATTCAGACTTGACAAGTGACAAGTTCATACTATATATATTTTTAACTATGACTAGTCAAGCCTAAAGTGTAAGTGAAATCATCATTTTTATATTTTAAAAATGTACAAGGAAATATTGAAATAGATACCGGTACGTTTAAGCTTATTGTATCTTGTAATACATAGACCAAACCATATTTTGCGAATAGAAATCATTATTTTGACATCTCAGTATCCTAATTTGTGGTGTATAAAAGAGAATAATTTATTGATTGTATAAATATTGTAATATTCCTGTAAATCAGTCATATACATGTACCTGCTTCAAATGTTTGGTTTAAGATGTATGTTGATAAGTTACTTGAAGCATATGGCCAAATTTTGTGTTATTGTCTGTTTTGTAATCTGTAGCTGCTGTCTTTTATTTTACAATTGCCTGGTACATGTACCGTCTTGGGTTGTGTTTTTGTCCATTATTTAAACTGAAACACTCTTTTGTGAACTACGGTAGCCATTTAAAGGTCAAGTTGAGTTCTGTTTATGGAAAATATATTGGAATGAAATTAGATGGATGCATTCTTTTATCGTTTCATATCAATGAGGGCAACTATGTGCACATTTTTTTGTTCATGTTTAGAATTTGCTTGGATTTGAATAAGTTTTTAGCTGGAATCTTGTAGGGGTCATTTGAAGTGTTGAGAGACCCAAGCGACGCCACACACCACTGTGTTTGGTATGTTTTATTGCATACACATCTAAGTATACAGAGAGATGTAAACCCCTTGAAATCACTCATGAATTAAATGAATAAGAGTGAAAGTTGGGACCAAAATTTGTGAAAGCACAGATTTCATGCAAAATCCAGATTGTCCTTATGCCTACCAAATAGAACTCTCTTCAAATTTGAAGATTTTCATGTGAAACCAAAATTTCCTAAAAACCACTCCATTCATTTTCCACATTACCACAGCTCGACCCTCTCTTTAATACTATAATCATGGGATTTGTGCTTAGAGATGAAATTGAGAAATAAGCCAGACCAATTTTGTTTTTGTTTTTCAAAATTAAATTTAATATTGTGCAATTAAAGGAAATTGAAACATGTACTTTGGCTTTTCTTCTGTTTCCACAATATTTCAAATGATTTGTTACCATCACGATAAGAGCAGTTTTAGTACAGTGGGATTGCATTAATACATACTCCTTGGTACCAACGACCTTATCTTGTTATATTGAAATCTTGTGAATGATTCAAATCAATGGCAACTTTAATTAGTCACAACTCTGTACTAAGGAGATTTATAAGGGGGTTTATAAGCTTCAAATTGATTGGAGGACTGAGTTCATTGCAACTTTATTTAAGACAGGCCCAATGGCTATGACATGAGTAAAAACAAAATAGAACTGGAATCAGCAACAATTGAAATCCTTTTTATGATAAGAGTTTGTTTGAACATTGTTTTTCTCTATTAAATGAGTTTCCACAGGAGTGACTGTATGTCTACATACATCAGTGCCCCGCCTTTCATCAAAACTTGTTATCAATACCAATTTACAATAACTGTTATAAATGTTATATACTGAAATCATAGCATTTGTTTTTGATAACAAGTTTTATGAAACGGGGCCCAGATCAATCAGTAGTCCATAACTATTGGAGGAGCGGGCACCTTTGAAGTTTGAATATTTGAAAAAGATAAATGGCGCCATACAAGTACTGTGGATCATCATCATCATCATCATCATCAATTTGACTCTTATATGTTTCATCATCTTCTTTTTGTACACCTATGTTATAGCACAGCTGTTACTTTGTATGCCTCTTTGTCAGCAGCATTAAAATTTATAATTCATACTCAAATCTATTATATCATTTTAAGAAAGTGAGCTGTTGAAATCAAAATGACTTTATATGCAGAAACTAGTGCCAATGTCCAAATTTAGCTGTCGTTTCTTAGCCTAGATCTAGATTATACAGAATTATTTTTTTTGATAAAATGGTGACGACCGATTTTGGAGGGTCTCATTTATAATTTCTCAATATTTTTCTTCTCCATAATGATAAGGCTAAGAAAAATCAGGAGGGCTGAACAAATTATCTGAATGTTTAACAATATTTTTAAATTCAATCAGTCACTTCTCTAATCTCAAGAAAATAAGAAAGTAATGATTTGAAATAGAAAAGCTATATTACAAATTTGGCAGTCATGTTAAACCACAATGTAAAACAGTAAAATCTATATTGCCTAACATGCAGAATCTTCATGATATACTGGTTAGTAAAATTGACTTTGGTAGGAAAAGTTTCCACAAGTAACCTATTTAGAACTTATCATTTTTTAGCTAGATGTGTTTGTTTATCTCTTTTATGCAACATTATTCATTTATTTACCTAAATTGTGTTATTTTTAAAGAATTATCATATTACAGCAAAATATGCCAGATGTATTATGATACTCCTTGTATTATCTATTGTATCAAGCCAGCAGCAGCGTATATTGTAAATATAGATACATGTATATTGATTATGTGATGTAACATATTCTTATCATTATCTCATTTGTTTCTTCTGGAAAATGGTGACTATAGCAAGTATGAATATAAGAACTATGAATAAAAACAAAATAAAGAAATGAAATATAAGAAGGTATTTGCCTATGCTTTGTTTATAGTTCATTGCTCATTTTTCAGTTTTTTAAATGTTGATTGTGTGTAGAAACAAGAAATAGATTGCAAATGAGAGAGAGAGAGAGAGAGAGAGAGAGAGAGAGAGAAAGAGAGAGAGAGGGGGGGGGAGAAAGCAAGAGCACAGTGTTTATAGAGGAAATGCTAGGAATATTCAGGTGAATGACAGTAAAAGTGGACAGATAAGAAATGTGGATGTATTAAATTTTAACTAGAACTTCAAGCAAGGTTTTATAAAAAAAAAAGAGCAAGCAACAAGTAAAACCAAAACTTGACAAACAAATATTATTTCATCATGACATCACTAAAATGGTTTGTATGTTTTTATTAGTCAAATTATCTTTCCATCATAGTTTACCATGTTTAGGAATAACATAATTTCAAATCAAAACATTTGTATGATTTTCACAGGATATTTACACAAATCTGCTGACAAATTTGCATAAATTTTTCATGATTAATTGAAAATAAGTACTAATTTTTTTAAAAATTTCTGCAATATTTACATTGATAATTTGAAATAACAAGATTTTAGAATCATTGCATAAATGTATTATACATTGGTATGTGACCTGAGATCATCATGTCTTGCAGTTAAGGTACATTAATCATAACTTTTTTTACCCAGGGAAGCCTCACCAGCATCAACGCTGTTCTTCCTATAGTGCCATGCCATTATCATCCCAACAATTTCCAGGTACCCATTTACACTTGGGTAAAGAGTGGCAAATGTGGATTCATGTCTCACCAGATGATGTTACTGCCGTGCTGGGATTTTGAACCCTCGATCCTTGGATTGAGAGTCAAGTGAATGAAACACTCTATATAAGATAAGTGTAAACTTTCAACACTACACATGAACAGGTGAATGAATAGCAAATGGATGTGAACAGAGGAGCTGTGGACCAAAAGAGGTTCTAAGTGCACTCACACACAATGTATGAGAAGATAGATCATAAGATAAAATAAGCAGACTGTTTATGTTGTATTTTTGCTTTGTTTTTCTATGAAGGCACTTTTTACCACATCTGCCTTCTTTTTTTACCACTAGATCCGAAATAACTCTTTGAAGTGAGTTGGGGCGTTTTCTCAGTACTTTGGTTTTGATCACAGTCAAATGGAAACCTGTACGTATGCACATTGATGCGATACAAATGCTAGAATTCAATGTCTGAGACAAACTTTTAAAATGTTATCATAAAAATTATTTCTAGAAAACAAAAATGATCTGAGATAAAGTTCCATCTGGGTTCACAGTGCACTGGTAAAATGATGGAATATTAAAGATAATACAAAGTTTTGGTATGGGGTCAAATGAACATATTAGAAGCATATGCGATTTTACAATATTCAATGATCGTTGTCGCGATTGAAATTATGAAACTCTTTATGCTGTATAGCTCCCTCTCAAGACTGATATTACTTTAGCTGTAAACAATGTTTCTTGACTACAATCTACCAATTTGCTATTGCCGTTTGGAAATTATACATGTTTATCAGAACTGCATATTCTAAGATTTTCATGGAATATCCTTAGGCACTATTTGAAATATTTGAAATTTACCGAGAGCACCAGTAAATTTTTTAATATTTAGTTTCTCGGAAGCAGAAGTATTTTAGGGGCTTAATTTTCTTTTGGTTATAATACATTCAGGGGCATCCAAATATATCAAAATTTTAAAGAATTACTATCCATTAATTCTTAAAATTTCCAAAAACTTTGCATTACCTTTAAGAGGAAGAGTAAATTTATTTTATCAGTCATTGTAATGAGCCAGGAATTCTGATTACACTGTAAGACAAATATCTTTAAAATGGACTAAATGAAATGTAACAATCACAGTGGATATTTCTTAAAATTTAATTATTAATCAATAATATTTATCAATATTTAAAAAGGGAATAATGACACTGGCTATAAAAAAATATATATTTTGCCTGAGATGTTAATGATGAGTTGTGCTATGACAGTGACCTAAGGGTAATAGAGTAATACAAGTTCTGCATTCACCTTGTGCTTTGTAGGCCAACTAACCTGTCGGTGGTAAACAGGTTTTATAACCCTCGTCTTTAGATTCAGATCCAATCACATGATGTCTGTCAACTTCAAGGGGAAGTCTACCCTGATATTAAGTTGATTTTAATACAAGCAGAATAAATGAGAGGAACAGGTCATTCAAAGTTTGAGCAAAAAACGATGGAATGCATGAAAGTTGTGCATTTTTGAAGGTGCGATCAATCAAACACAAATTGGCAATTCTGTGACGTATCTTGAGACATGTCTCCCTATTTACCCCGGACTTTAAAAAAAAAATGAAAATCTATTTTTTCCCGTAAGACAATTTTCAATCATACATTCATTCTAGCTATAATTATTGCAAAAATGTTTTTGTACAACCTCTGTATGTAATAAGTCCTATTCCGTCATCAATAACTAAGAAAATGAGAGTTAAAGGAAAATATTCTGTACAGAGCAAATTGGAGAGGAGCTTGCAAGATACGTCACAGCATTGCCAATTTATGTCTCATTAATTTCACAAATTCAAAATAAATAACTTTTCAATTTTTAATCCCTAATTTGTTTCTTTCATTTTCTGCTGGACTCCCCCTTTCATTCCCTTTGGGATTATTCTGACCATAGAGACTTTGGACAAAAGAACATTGCAACCTTTGGCATCCTCCTATAGTCTATCAAATTCTGTTTCCTATTTTTGGTGGATGTGCAATTAGAGAACTTGTTTTGACCATGAGTCTAAGGTTCATATTCCATAAACATAAGAAATATGCCTTTCATGTATATCTAAAACATACCATTTAATATATTCACTAAACGAAAAGGCCTCGATGGCGTGAATGTATCGAAATGTACAGAACTATACAATTTGGTCCGAGTGTTCACAAAATACATGTGCTTGCAGCAATCAAAAGTATCAAATTCTAAACTTTCTGATTTAAAATGGTTGCATTATTGGTTTAGAAATTATCAAACTGGACGGCTTCAAATTCCTGCCACATGAATAACAACTGTATTAAATCTGAAAGACTTAATTACATTTCATTCCCATCTGATTTGGCTTCTTGTGGAAAATTTATCGTAACACAAATCTCGACAGTTGAATCAAAGTTGTCAATCACTCTGTGGCTGAAAAACTGAGAACATTTATATACCAGTTGTAAATGCAATGATATGATGAAGTTTACCATGTAACACAATGTATATAACAAAGGATGAACATTTGAAATATGGTCCAATAATAGTTTGTTTTTTTTTAAAGACTTGTGATTTTGCATTTGAAAATGATCAATACAGAAATAATAAAAGCTAGATGTTTCACGTAATCATTAACAATAGGGTTTACAAATGCCAGCAAAATGACTTTCATGTATGAAAAAATAAAAATAAAAATAAAAAATGAAATTCTTGCTGTTTGACATTACAGCAGTAAGATATTAAACTATTACACACAAAGATCAAAAGAACAAAGAATCAATATAAATACAATTTTTAAATATAACTCATAAAATATATTTTCTCAAATACTGTACAAATCATATACTTTACACTTAAAAGTATGATGTATGTGTACTAAACTCAGACAGAGTACCAGGGTGCAATATCAGTACAAGGTGGCAAAAATTGGACCTGGCCTTCATAATGTTTCAAATTTATACCCACTTTTGACAAATTTTTACACTCAACATTACAAGAATTTAGGGAATTGTTCTTTCTTTCATGATCTCTTTTACTGCTCTTATCCTTCGCAGCTGCTATAATTCTTCTTAACTTTGCTCAGAAACAAATTTTTAAGTAGAGTGAAAGGTAGATTTAAAAAATATATATATTCATAACATAAACATGAGCAATATTAAGGGAGCATGCAAATTATGGTACAAATTAAAAGAGCAAAGCAATATCTGGCAATTTTATCTGGGTTTTACAACAATGTATCACCTGTTTGGAGCCAGAAGGGTGTTCGTTCATTCACTTAGCGCAGAGATAGCACTCTTCTGGCCCTGAACAGACATAATAACATTACCTCATTAAAAACTCTGCATGAACAAAAATCAATTATCGCTACCGCGACTACATATTTTGGGCCATAGAGGGCAGCACCGGCCATGGGTACGATAGGCAAAGGCACTTCCGATTCCCATATACAATGGGTCAAGAATGGGTCAAGGAAAGTCTGATAGAAAGCATAGTTTCTAAACCAATAAACTAGAAGTCACAGATTATAACAGTGCCTACTTAGATCTCATCAAATCATCGGGGGAGTTCATAAAACCTGAACAATAGTTTAGTAAACTAAGGAATTAGTTCACACTGCTGTACATTCTCGATGGAAGCTGGAAAAGACCTTGTCTTATCATCTACCCAAGAATCGTATCTGTGCATCTGCCGACCTGCGCAGTGTGGGAGGGAGGTCCGCATCCACCGTCGGACATCGTATTCGCGGTAGGGTCAATTGCAGCATCCTTTCTTTTTGAGCGTTTCCTTGGAACGTTCAGAGTCTCCGCTCATGTCTACAGTGTCCTTTTTCTGTGGAACGTTTTCCCCTGTCCTTGGCAAGATACTAGTGAAAATATACTCAAACACTTCGTCCACATTCACACCGGTCTTGGAGCTCGTCTCAAAGAAAGGGACAGGGATCTTCCGACTAGGATCCTTCCTCTTGATTTCCTGAAAGCGACTTGCGTTGAGTCTGTAAGCAAACTCCTTGGCTTCCCCTTGAGCCACTTGCCTGAAGTAAAATTTAATAGTAAACAAACTATTATTAACATCAACTTTATTAATAATTAATGAATAAATGGTTGAACAGATTGTGTGGCAGCTACAATTGATGCAATAAAGTTCAAGTTATTTGTTTATTTGATGTCCCATACAATACCGAGTATCGTGTAGTCCTGAACATAAATTTACATCAAATAGATAATTTATGTGATAATTTACTAATAACTCAATAAAATAATCAGATATGTGGTTGGTAACTTATGGGACAAAATAATTCTGTTTTGTTTTCAGTTCTCTTCTACAAATTTATTAGTGCTGTAAAATATTATAATTTCCAATTTAAGACAGTTGATCACACCCGCTATGGCAATCGTGCCTTTTCTGTTTGTGCCCCCCAATTTTGGAACAAACTTCCCCACAAAATATGTTAGTCCCCATCTTTAGAAACCTTCCAGAGTAAACTTAAAACTTGTTTGTATGTAATGTAATCATATTTCGTTTGTTAATTTACAAAGCGCTATGTAAATGTTCAACATTATAATTATTATTATGTAATTGTTATTAGGAAATTGTTATCAGAATTATGCTTCATGTATAATATTGTTGTAACTTGTAGGTTAACATTACTTTGTATTTTGTTAAGCACTTAGAAACGTTGTATTAACTCATATCCTGCCATAAGGCTGCAAGCACGCTACCGTTATAGTGCTTTGTACACGCAAGCACGCCATCGATTGGCTGCTTAATTCACGCGAGCGAGCCACAGCTTAGCTGCTTTATGCATGCTCGCATTTGTAATAGCAGTTATTGTTTATGCTCATTGTACTGTGCTGAGTGCTTCGCATGCATTATTGATCGCACCATCAGATCATCAGATTATCTCAAAATAAACTTGGCACAATGGAGATTAGCCCTGTGGCACTGGGCTGTATTCATTATGGCAGGATAAGAGTTAAGCGCTTTATAAATGTAAAATATTATAATCATTATTCTGTTCTCCCTCTGCTACCTGGTATTGCTGTTGACTAGGTCAGACTTCATTCCCGTTACACACAGGAGACAGTCTTCCTTGGCGGACTCAAGGAGCGGTATATAGCGCTCCTGCAGGAGCTCAAAGGTGCTCCTCCTCGTCACGTCGTACGCTATGATGGCAGCCGATGCATCGCGGCAGTAGAAGGAACTTAGACCCGAAAATCTCTCCTCCCCAGCTGTATCCTGCATGCAGTTCAGGGAAATCAAATGAATGGGCAAAAATAGTGATGGTAAGCAAAAGTAAATACATGATCTAAATGAATGAATATAGCTTTATGATAATAATAATAGTCCGTTCCTGTACTGTATAGCGCATATTAATACAAAGTCTCTCTGCGTTTCCAAAGAGCTTTGGAAATTATTACCCTAGCTTTAGCTCTGGCAACTGATATCAGCGCACAGTGCATTTCAAGGAATAATCCTACCAGGTACCCATTTACCTCACCTAGGTTTGAGTGTGGCAAATGTAGATCAATGTCTTTTCAAAGGACATTAGGGCCGTGGCGGGACTTGAACCGCAAACCTTGAGATCCACAGTCTGGTGACATATCTACTCGACCACAACAACTCTACTTATGAGTAGCACTGCAATAATTATTACAGATCAATATGCCACACCTCTGTTGAGCTAGCAAGATTGTCCACGGAGAAACACCAAAGCTTACATCCTAAAGAGCTTTGCAAGAGGAATTCTACTTTAAAGCCTCACTGCACGAGTTTGGCCAAGAGGGATTAGATCTCCCTACATGGTCACTGACAGGTGGTTATCTCATCAAATCAGCTATCAATTAACATAAGAAAATGAGGATCATGGGGGACCAATGGTCACCGATTAGGCATTGTTTGCTGTAATAGAGGGCGCAAGTAGCTATAAGTAGTTCAATGGGGCTTTAAGCCTAATGATAAGTAAATTATAAGGCTTGGTTATCAGTATTTTGTAAGCTGAAATGCTCCAAATAACATCTTATCTCATACATAGTTTACCAGGTTATTTAAACAATTTTAAGAAAGTCAAAAGAAAAATACAGAAGTGAAAAAAATATTTACCATGTCAATTATCAGTTTGAAATCTAACCACCAGGTCATCATTTCAATAAACCATCAAAAGTACAAGTTTGCAAACATCCTACTGAAGCTCATGTTAATTTTAATACGTGCGTTTCATTGTACATTTATTTTGTTGTATTGTCTGTGAACTTGTACTTCAGACTGTTACATAAAAAGATGCCCTGAGGGACTACAAAAGAATTAATTCTGATTACTAACATTTTAGCCTGTAAATGCAAGAAGGTTAATTGATGATTCAGGCACATAGACAGAAAGATAATGAGAGTGTCTTTTTGTATGTTTGTTTGTTTGTTTGTTTGATTGTTGTTATTGTTTTGTTTCTGTTGTCATTCTTTGTTTGTTTACTTTCTGAAAAAGATCTTGGGATTTTCCTGAAAATTTACAATTTAGATATTCAATCCATTTGATTCCTGCATATATTTCTTGTCATCAAAATTGGAGGCATTGTTTAATACGGTAGCTCATATAAGAACATAAACATGTATAAGTCATCCCCTGCTTACCCATAAAGCCACATTGCTGTTTCCCCACTGTTTGAGGAAGAAACATGCTCCAACAGTTTGCTGTAGAGTAACAAACAATGAAAACAAACTTTATCAGGATATCCACATTACATTTTGACTTCAAAGATATCAAATTCATATCAATAAATCATTTTTTCTTTTATTATTCAAAAAGAGATATACAGAGTAACAAATGTGTTTATGAGTTTAAGATACATGCAATAATCATACAGTACTCAATATTTCATTAGTACAGTTTGTTGAACTTGATACCCATTTTGTGACAAACATACCCTCATGAATACCACGTTATATCGTCATACAAACAACTCTTTTTCTCTGGGAAAGAATATTTTCTATCATTCCATGAACATGGATGGTGCCTCCAAGACAGTTCATCATAGTCCATTAATCTCTAGAAAATCATGCAATTCACAACAATCTTCCACTGATTGTAATGTTCTTTTAAATCTTCCTGTAATTCCCCTTGGACTAAAACTTCTTTATGTATAGCGAATGAAGAAAAATCTTTTATTGTTTCTTTTAAATTCAGCATATATTCTGATGGGATTACAGTAATATTTATGTTTCATGTTCTAGTGCAATACCCCAAGACTGAGCATTCAAAGGAATACCGGTAAGTTAAAATTTTAATGTACATAAAGAATAAGATACTTACACCTGGATTTTCTGTGAAAACTCCATCCATATATCGTCTAATGAATGTAGTTTTCCCAACCGTCGCATCACCAACAATGACAACCTTCACATCACTGGTTTGATACAAAAGGAGAGGTATGAATATAATGAAGCATTATAATATTGATAATCTCTTTGGGACTAGTATGAGTGTATGGCAATTCATGATTATCTGATGAGCCTCAATAGACCATGTTGAGTTGTAGACCTTGTTGGCACAAAACTGATGGTTTCCAATTGTTTTACAGTCATTTTGAATATGACGAAGGGTAGTCAGATTTGAATTTTCAAGGCCCTAGATTTAAAAAAATTGTCCCTTTTGCAAGTTCACCACTACAAAATAATAATCTGTTATCAATATTGCCTTAATTTCGTTTAATTGATTTCAATCTTAGTAAGTTATCTAACAAAATCATATCTGACAATCATTGCAGTCCAAATTTAATGTCCGTGTCAGGTCAACTCATTTATTTACAAAGTACATGTGTAACTTTTAGAATTAAGACATTAAAAAAATAACAAATTTTCTTATTCTTTTCAAAGCAATCGTAATCTCTCTCTGTTGTTGTCCCTCCGCTTTTCGGAGATCAGCGAGTTCATCGCAGTTGGAGTGGTAGGCTATATAATCCTTAGTAGGAGGGTATGGAGTGCAGGTGATGGGCATGAACTTTGTAAAGATAATGAAGTGTCATCTTTGAAATAGAATCATTGACAGTGAAAGGAAGGGATTGTTTATATCGTAGTCTTACTCTAGCACGAGCTAGTCAATTTTAGTCATGATGATAGACATGATCGACATAGACCGAGTTAAGTTAGTAGATCTAGATCTAGTTGTAGATTGCACCATGCACCTGGCTCTCATAAGCACACACACACACTCATCAGTCTGCAAGAATCTCCAACTGTGAAGGAGGTAGACTTACCCAAAGAAGAAGAAGAAGAATTAAGAAGAAGACTGTGTGCACCAACAAATTTGAAAATGTATTTGTGATAAGTCGATTGAATAATAAATAATGAACAATGAACTACATAGCCATAGGCCACTACAAAATACCGTCGAAAAACAGCAAATGCACATGAAAATCCTAAAGCCGTCGGCCGTCTGGTTGCTTACTTACAAGCATTTATGATTTCTTAGCAGTCAAGTAAAATAACAACCATTCATTCATTCATTCATTCATTTATATGCATCATTGCCTTCAACTCAAACTCAAACTATGTCTGTGCGTAAATATCAGCGTGTGGGACTGAACTAAAAAACATATATATTTTGTCACGTCTGCAATGCTAATAACTCACGCTTTTTTCTTTTCTGTAGGTCCAGCCATAATCAATTCAAGTTGAAGCCACCACAATAATAACAACAAACCACTCTATGCATCCCGAAATTCATAAAATGACTATGATTTGGTTGGCAATATCAAGAGCGCTTGTCTTGTCAGATGACTATCGACAATGATCGTAAATAGATTATGACGTATTGAGGAGGGGGGAGGGACCAAGCAGGAAGCGGAGGATTTATTGTGGTCCAGCATGGAATGGATTTTTATCTCGTCAATCTTTATAGATTTAATCAAAGGAGGATATATTGGATGGAGGTGTGATTTCGTTATGTGCACTTTCTAGCCTTAAGTTTAATATAATGATATGCCACACCCCATATCGTACACCTCCTGCTCCCCCCCCCCCCCCCCCCCCTCCTCCTCCTCCCCTCCTGCATCCGAGGGGCCGCTAAGTTTGTTTTATATTGCAACGATCTCAAGGGATGCATGAATCTTTATTTGGAAATGTATGTAACTTTTGTATATCTCATGATCTAATGTATATGACGCATAGGGCCTACTTGACGAATATAATCAAATTAGTCAGTAGGAACTGAAATATCAGAGCATAATTTTCATCTCTTTTGTCATATATTGCCCATGTAATTGTAATTGTTTATAGTCTTATAAGGTAGTTTAGTTTTTTTTTTCCTTCAAAGTAATTAATAAAGCATTCGAGTATTATATTCTTTTGGGGGACCTTGCTCTAACAAGCCCAGCTTCTATAAGGTCTCCTCGTTCTTTCATGTACAGCACATGATCTTAATGACATATGTTGAATATTAATATTGCACTTCAAAATTGTTTATGTTTGTTATATTGATAATCTGCTGTTCCTGTTACTTTTTTTTGAAATCCTTTGTATCGATTTTTGTGAAAGAAGAAATAAAATGAACTATGAACAAAATAAACTAATAGATTGAATTTGAATTTGAATTAGAATTCAGTCAACCAACCTCCACTCCGATCCCATTCGCGCGCGCGCTCTCTTTCTCTCTCTCTCTCTCTCTCTCTCTCTCTCTCTCTCTCTCTGGTGGTTTAAGGATCATACAAATTTGACTGTTTCGAGAGCGCTCTAAAATATACTAAAAAAATTAGTGATCATCTGATGACTGTTTTTGTCGATAGGGAGAGAGAGAGAGAGAGAGAATCTGAAAAGGTCGTGTAAACTGAGATATTTTTAGAATCGTTACAGTGCCCTCTCCCTTTGTATACAATATCCCAGATCCGCTCCTGGTCTCTCCTCTTAATTTTATGAGCAAATGAATATAGTATCGATTAAGGATAGGGGCAAGGTTGTTTCCCGCAGGTGGACAGCTGTTCTTTTGTTGTACAAGTACCGCCAATTTAATTAAAGGAGAGCTAAACGAATAATGATAGAATGTACGTAATGATTATAGCAATATAAGCCAGGCCTATTATTATAATCATACAAAATTCCCTAAATGCGACGGGTAGGGCTAAAACGACTTGGCATTGAGTAAAATATTCTTAAAGTTGTTTTACGATTATGACCAAAAAAAAATAATCAAGAATAGTCGCACAGATTTAATCCAAGGGCAAATTTCATGATTATTATACTAGTAGACAATTATATTATAGTAGACAATACAAATTCCACGTCTATACGTCATGCTCCAGAAGCACTCTGAATTATTTTTTCGATAGCCCCGGTGTTTTGTTTTTCCTGCGCTGGAGGAGGTTGGGTGTATCAAAAGAGGTGTGTTTACATAAGTATGCACCCGAAATTTGGGTTCTTTTCATGAAAAGGGAGCAGCTTATTGTAAAATATTGTCCTTGCATGAGTCAGGAATATATGAAAAGAACTTGTCCTCTGTATTCACTGTGGGCCGACTTGTGATATTGGTATACACGTTTTACCCCGCGGACTGTAGACAATTATAGTTGACCAGATTGATATACATGGACTCATTATCATCGCAATAAAATTGTCACTGGACAATTCGTCAAAATAAGTATTATACCCTGCTTTGCTGGGTTGCTTGAATAGATTTGAGATTGTGAACATCGACGTCGACGGCTCACAAAAAATATTGTTATTGAAGGATAAGGATCGTCGGTGAATGTCATCTTCTCTCAGTTGTTTATCTTCAAAATGTGAATAATTATGATGGCCATGTGAGTCATCTCGTGACATAATTTGTCTAAACAAGGGCTGTTGTTTCGTGATCTAAAAGGAATGGCAACAATTATGTTCATAAACATTTGTCTCTTGAGAAGATTGGACCAGTAGCTGCCTCATGCTTCGATTCTATAAGTGACAATGATCTGTTGTGTGTAATCGTATGATTTCTGTTTGAGCATTTTAGACATAACGGCCGTGAATACATGAACTTAACTTATTGACAATAATAATAGTGATCGTGAAATTACCTCTTGATCTATCGAAGAACCCTGACAACTTGATGTGATTCGGACTTATGTGATTCATCTTTATTTCTGTTGGGATTATATAAAAGGAGATTTCATCATGAATGATGATACGATGAGTGCAATCCTTGAGGTGAGTTACAAGTCAAAAAATAATCTGAGTTATTATTGTTCTTATTGTCTGACGTACGTACAATCACTCTCTGATTGAAAGAATTATGAGGATTTTCTTGTTGTCACTTCGGCAAATATATATGAAGAACTTATTATTATGCCTATATAGTCGTCTGCATACGAGGCGATTTGGGGTACTTGTAGCTAGACCCCCCCCCCCCCCCCTCCAGAGCCCCCGAGGTCGAGGATTTTTAAAGTTCCGATATTATGTTCGGGAAATCACAATTTCAAATTCGTTCAGTGAATTATCACATTCATATCTGGGCAGCTGGATGCCCGAATACATTTATAGTCGGGCAGCGGTCGAGGTACTAACTAGTCCAGTATCTGTACCTTTTCCGTTCGCGCGGCCCAATCAGCTGATCACACAACTTTGACAGTATATAATAGTCCTCTCATTCTGTAACTTTCTTTTCGATGGTACTTTGGGGGATCGCGCGATGAGTGGAGACACCGCGCTGTGTGTGGGATAGAATGTGATGCATGTGATAGAAGAATAAACAAATTAAAAAGGGACAGAAGCTGGACTATTGAGCAGGCACGTAGCCAGAGTTTGATGTCTGGGGGGGGGGGGCACCTACATAACGACCGAGGTCAAAAAAGGGGTCTAAAAAGTTCAACCGATCTTGGAATTATTTTGCCCCCCCCCCCCCCCGTGGCTTCGTGCCTGCTATTGAGATACCCGAATACTGCCCGAATATGTAAATTATATTAATTTGTGTAAAATGTAGAAACTATAATGTTGTTATTCGGAAGAAAGGCGTCAGCCCCCCCCCCCCACTCGCAAAGTTGTGTCCGTACACCTGCCTATTAACATTAGTATTTGCAATCTTACTTTATTTTGTAACTTGCAAATGAAATTTGAGGGTCAATTTTTAATGAGCTGTAACCGTTATCGAGAAGGTTATCCTCTTTTTTTTAACTTTTAAAGAAGGTATGTTAAAGCATTACTTTAGGGCATCTTTCATTAGAAAATCTTGCTAATGTATAATATAACTTAGACGAGCATTTAAAATGATGAATATTTTATTTTAATCTGCTTCTCATGCGTTTGTAAAATATCAGTGTAATCGAAAAGTTAGACTATAATGATCGAGGTAGCAATACGAGTGTATGGATGATTGATTCTATCAACAGTTTCTGTTTTTCAATACAATTCTTTATAATTTATTCTGAAATAATAGACGAAGAGCTGTCAATATCCAAGATTGTGACGTCATCTTCCTCTTTGAAGACATAGTTCCCCCACCGAAGGGGGAAATAAAAGGACCATTCAACTCATTCTGACCCTCACTTCACCACAATAACAGATTGTTACATCAATAGACAAACTGTATTAAAAGCTCCTCTCACTGATAATACCTTTTTACGGATTTAGATCCCTTTGTGTGACGATCGACGTACAGAATCATGGGGGTGGTAGTTTTAAAGGGAGCACTGGACCGTATAGATGGAGAGTTCATAGCTTCGTGTACTGTGAGCACAAAATACAGGCTATTGAGATTGCATGCAAAGCCGTAACTTTGCGGAAATCCTCAAACTTATATCATATTTATTATGAGGGTGTGTGCTGGATTAATATAGTCAAAATGGTGTGGACGATAACTGTTTGGTAATTTCTTGTGATTCTGATGCTCTATCTATCAACCTGACGTCGAGTGATTTGGATGTCATGGATCGCTTTCCCATAGTCGACTATCCACTGGTATGTGTATTCACTGTAGACTATTCACTAGACTAGTGATATCTCCCACATTGTCTACTCCAGTCTCCAGATTACATTGTAATGTACACATCAGTGGAATGTATTGTTTCACTGTATGTGGCAGTTGTATATGATCGCTATTGTGAATATCACGCTCTTTAAATATACTTTTGTTTAATATTGTTCATGTTGTTTGACAAGACTCGAAAAAATACGACAACTGAAAAGTATGTTATACTGTACATTATGATTATGTTGACGCCTTAACGTGTACATTATAATGGCGGAATGGGTGTGTCTATTCGAGAGGGATGGGCAACTGGCAAGGTCGAAATAATCTTTTAAAAGATAGCTATCGAATGATCTCTTGTATAAAATGTTAACAAAATAATAAAATAATAAAGTATGATATATGCAAAAAAATAATATGAGGATACTAAAATAAACTTATCTGCAAACACATCCATACTATAATTCGTCCTACTGTACACCCATGCTCACCTTTAGAAAGATTAAGTTATATTAAATTAACATTCAAGCAACATGTGCATGCACATCACACACTGTCACACTTCATCAGATCAAAATTATTGGAGAAGGAAGATGGAACTTGAATGACACATAAACCTATCAACTCTCTGCATTTATAAAGTAATCAGATGGAACTAATTACTCTGTTATTCCTAGAGGTCGCTCCTGTGAAATTGTTAAATGAATTTTTACATTTCGTATTTTATGTGTTCATATACATGCATGGAACTTATGGAAGCCTAACTTACCTCTTGGAATTATGAGGGTATTTTTGTCAACGATTTTCCAACTACTTTTATTTATATGTGGCACAACGCAATTGGCATGATGATGGCTCTGTTTGAATAGAACACCGTATTTGACTATTGGTGTTATGCTCCATTGATCAATTTTATTGTCAACTTCTTTTGTTTTCAATTGGCCTTCAGATTTGTCAAGTTTAAAGAAGGGTGTGAAAATATGATAAATAATCGATTTTTCAATCGAAATCGTTGTTAACTTTAAGGAAATTTATAAAATGTTGTTTGATTAAAAAAGATATAGATATACACTGTATACAATAACATACATGTAGGCTACTACTAACAGTTCTACATATCAAACAAGACCATAAAGTTTCATTCATTTTTAGCATTTCCTGAGCTTTGCATTTGCTAAATTGGTTCTCAGTTGCTTATGACATATTGATCGATCTGACACGTACACGTACACGTACATGTACGTGATACTACACGCATCAAGTATGTACTCAACTGCCCCTACCCTCTCCACCCCCCCCCCCTCCTCCCCTCCTCCCCTTTACATTACAAGTGTTTTCAAACTTTTATTCCCCGCCCCCAAATGTTGACATACTGTACCACGTCCACGCATGAGAATCAGTGGCATATCCAGAAATTCATTTTAAAAAGGGGCAGAATCATCCCAAGCAAGATGCTGAATATTACCACACCATGCAGCATCGTATATGCCGTAATAATAAACCATTTGAAATTTGTATTTACATTTTTATATCCATGTGAACTGGGGCAGGAGGGGGGGGGGCTGGTATCCTGGCTATATCGTATATGCTGAATGTGACACTGGAGATGAACCTCGATTTCAGTTTAAATATTGACTGTCGGGTTCCAATCTCTTATTGAAACCAGCGTTAAAAACCCATTCTCTCACACTCAACGCCCTTTTGGCAAACTTCAAATACTTTTATTTGCATTTCTGTACGATCGCAAGAGCTCTGCAAACACTTTACTTTTACTTTTGATCGGATGAATATTCACCATAATAACGAGAATTCAGAATGACCATTCACTATCAAAAAAGAAACCGAATGTTATGGATTTACGTATAGCGAATTGGATTTTGTAAGAAACTTTCGGTCTTGACAGGCGAAAGTGGTTCATAATTTTGCAAAATGTTTGGAGTGTATCGAATAGAGCGATCATATACCGATGGTTTTTGGAACGGTGAGGTAAGCGATATCAATTTTTAGAATTGGCTTTTGCATAATAATATAGTTTTTCTTAATGTACTGAATTGCCTTCTAAATTCATATTTATTCATATCCCACCATGCCCAATGTGAATAGTATTGAGCTCATTTACTAATTGACTACTGTTTTCAAACCATAGTAGTAGTACTAGTAGTAGTAGTAGAAGTAGTAGTAGTGTCAATGTCTCCTATACATGATATCTACATTTTGAGAGTACTGTTGACCACTTTAGTGATATATAAATTATGATCCTAGTCGAGAAATGATTAATGCCCTTAAATAACATTTGTGAAACTATATGAATCACTCACATACATATCTGAGAATAGAAAATGTATACCAAAGAGGTGTCTTAACCATTCTCTTTTAATAAATCCCCCTCTCAATTTATTGGTGTAAATGTTATCGAGTGCCCATGCATGCAGCTATAACTTTTCCAAAACTCTCAAAGAGGCAAAATCGACATGCATCGTCCATTAAATTATTTCTTCTTCATCTACATTGCATAACATTTTCAAATTCAATTACTTTTTTTTGTTAAACTCGTATGTAGCCCCGATTTGTATTTCACCTGTTCCTTAGTTCAGAATAAATGTCTCCCCGTTAAGAATTTAATGAAATCATTTTTTTAATCTGAGGAAAATGGCGCACAGTTTGAATTAAAAAAAGAAATTTGGACATAATCTGAAAAGGTAATTTAAAAGATAAACCAAACTGGTTCTAACCTTATAATTACTGGCATTGATTTCAATACACTGTCCTAATCATAAAACTTTTTCTTCAATACACTGTCCTAATCATAAAACTTTTTCTCCGAACCTTTCGAACTTCAGAGTCATACTTTCCCCCTGATTACATGCAGTTTAACGTTTAGTTCATATTGACTTCATAATATATTAAACATTGTTTATTTTTTAACTTTTGAATTGACATTTTTTTTGTAGGCGTCTCGAGCATCTCTAGATATTGTCATTATTATTACAATTATGATTAATGTAAATGTTAATTTGATTATTATTATCACCATTATTATTATTATCATTATCATTATAATCCTTAGTATTATTTTTGTATTTGTTATTAGAATTATTGTTATCGTTATCAGTAGCATTCATATCATTGTTATTATCATTGCCATAATTATTATTATAATTAGTATCATTAGTATTCTTCTTAATATTGATGTAATTAGCTCCTGAAATCTTTAAATTCTGGCTGTTTTTATTCATAGCAAGTTACTTTATGAAACGTGACACAAGTTTACTCTGTAAACTCCGTTTGTCGTGCCTACCGAGTTTCTCTAGTAACTTACAGGGTTCTCCATGCATGTAAAGATTATTCGTGCAACAGTGCCTCTGTGGAAGAAAATGTTGCCTGTATGTCATCCATGCCTTTTTGTGACAATGGGGCGCACCTATTTTGTAATTTGCACGCACTCTAACATGCGAGGTCAAGGTGCATCGTGGAATACAAGCCGTTTGTTGGTACAGTTGATATTCATGTGCATAATGAATTATTATTGGGTGAATCTACGCGAGAGTCCAAACAGGAATGAAAAGAGGCGAGGGCGGAACGGATTTTGATTTTTAATAGAGTTTTTGTTGTTGATTGGGGGTGGGTGTTTTTGCATTCGCCTAGTTCTTGTGTCAACGCGTTAACAAAACATGACAAATGACATGTACAGTGTAATAATAAATGATATACAGAACCTCTTCTCTCTTTTTCTTTCTTTTTTGGTGGGGGAGGGTCTTTTTAATATTATTTAAGGCAGTTTCAAGCAAAATTAAGAGCCATGTGTTTCAGTAAGGAATTCGGAATGACGCTCGACTATCATGGACAAACATGAGAGCAAATTTCACAATATTCCCCCAATATTAAGAGAAATTTGGCTTTACGCTTTTTGTCCGGATAACGAAAAATAATTATGACACATATTTGACAAGGTTTATTTCCTACTCGATGTAGTGTGAACAGTATGAAAAGTCTGTGGTTTGTGGTATTAACAAAAGCACTCTAAACATATAACTCGTAAAACAATTTGAAAATAAATTTCCTTGTCAAAGCTAAATTTGAAGCGTAACGGACATGACAGATGAAGCATAATAATGGGCATAAATATCCCTTTTTCCTTGCTTGCTGCGAGGAGAAGCAAAAGTGACAGGGTGAAATTAGCTATATTTTAGATATCGGGGTTTAATTTTTTTTATTTCTAACTTTAAAATTAAAAAGTTTTTAAATGCTTACCTCCCGCTTTTGTAACTTGATTGTCATCTAAAAAATACCAATCTGTGTACACGGTACACGGGCCTTCACAGTGGCGTACGCAGGGGGGGGGGGGGGTTTAACAGTTTGAAATCGGGCCGAAAATTTCGCAACGACTCAGCCAGCCGCTGAATAAGGGGGGGGGGGGGGGGGGTAAGAGGACACTAATTTTTTTTTTGGTCTCGAAATTTGAAAATTTGATATTTTTCTTCGTTGGGGGGGGGGGGAATAAGGTCACCTTTTTTTAGGTCTGCCATGGACATGATTTTTTTTTTTTTTTTTTTGTTATAATTAAAAAAACACAAAAACAAAGGGGGGGGGTTAAGGGGGTTTTCCTAAAAAATACACACATAAAAATACCAGAGGGGGTTCAACCCCAACCCCTGATCCGCTATTGGCAATGAAGAAGATAGCGGCTGAATCTAGTAATGAATATACAATGTTGCAATTTTGTATAATCTAATATGCTTCCTAGGAGAAATTTCAATTATTTAAACATATTTGTGGCTTACACCCAGTAGACAAGATAGATTGATCGATCTGTAATTGAAAAACTAGTGAGAAAAAATACGGAATTGTATACAATAATGTAGCAGTTTTTTCTTCATAATATGATTAAGGGTATGACATTCTACACGGTGTGTAAAGTGTAAACGTGATTTCTACTTAAATCTTAAAGTTTAAAAATGCAATCACAGTGACGTTATCACGATTTTGATAAAATAAGTGTCTCTTAGGTTTTATTTGATCTCAAAATAATTTCCGACAACAACACACCCCCCCCCCCCCCACCCCTCCCGTCCGTACCAAGGCACATTCCAAACAACTTCACTCTGGTGACTAGTACTCAAGAGATCTACCCCACTCCCTGACAACAATCCCCCTTGAAGAATAATACAAACGAACATCCACTGAAAGTGCACTCCTTGCGTTATAACAATGCCCCTTCCAAGTAAATAAATGACTGCTACGAGTAATGTGAATTTCCAACTTTCTATTTGCTGTGTGCTCATTATTTCGCCCTTAGTCCTTACATACACACAAATTAAAGCCCCCCTTTTGTCATAAATGGGCTTACATCTGTTTTTGTATAAGTTACGTTCCTTGGCAGTTTTAACTAAAGGTCGTAGAGGTTTTTTTCTGACTATAGCTACATGTATTAACTATAAAGGCAAATGCAGGATTTCAAACATGCAGAAAAGGAGACAAACGTGACCAATAGATCATACATATTTTCAATAGCATTTGATTAACTATTCATGGATAATACAAGAATTTAATTGAAATGAATTAAATGTGAATGCATGAAGCAAAACGTAGCTGCATGTAGGTTAGGTCGTAGCTTCGTTCAGTTTATCAGTACATGGACGTGACCTTGCTCTATAGATGTCTTGATAATTACTCTTCATCTACCATAGATTGTATACATCATTCTGTGCAGGAAACTTTGAAAGTGATGTAATATTGTGTGACATGTTTTAAAGTAATTCGTCAGTTGTTTTTCTCTTTTTTTTCTTCTTTTTTTTTTCTTTTGCTTGCTCTCTTTCATGCAGCAGGAGGATGAACACTCGCCTGGATACGCGACCATCATCACCCCTTCTCCGAGAAACAGCAGGAATTTCGATCTCGGAGCCCCACTTGGTCCTTCCAAGACACGCGGCGGTCATCAAAGCGTCATCGTCAACAACGCAGCCAGATCAGCACACGCTGAATTCCGCCATAACTCTTGGAATGCCAACCCAAGGAGTGGTGTCATCATTCAGCATCTCAACTCTATCCCGCCGGATGCAGAGCGACCGCAGATAGTGGAAGTCACCGGGATGGATGAAGAGGACGGCGATGGTCGAGGCATCACCAATCCAGATTACCCGAGATCCGAGCCCGACAGGAGCGGTCAGATTGACGAGTATCCTACATTGCCGATGGATGCGGGACCACCTTTGCCGGACAGGGACTACCATGGCAACAGTGACAGCAGACCGGATATCCAGCGCTTAAGTCTGAATGCGGGAGATGATGGAGACCCACCTAGGGTAACGGATATCCCTCCTTCGTTTCCACCTCCTCCACCCCTCCCCAGGTACAACGATCCGAGGAAAGCTCTACACAACCTTCAGAAGGGAACACCACAACACAACTGTCCCAAGGGAAAATAGAAGTAGAGGTACCTGAAAATCAAGAAATCCACATAGTTCTGAGGCGAGCACTTGCAAGAAATTTCGATACAACTCAACCAAACCAGGATGAAGCAGACCAATCGCAAGGGGTAGAGACGGAGAGGGTGTCTAGCTGCACACAAACTCGTCATAGTCCGCTGCAGTCAACCCAAGTACAAACGACACTTGACAGGCCTTCACGTCGTGATGACCCAAGTGAACGCCAGTTGGACAATCGAGAGAATACCGGCCAGTCCGGCGAGGGGACTGATCAAAGATCGAATCATCGACAGTCTTCCCAAAATAGAGAATCATCCGATCACACTGAATATGGACCAGATGCTTTCCACCCTTTTTCTCATCGCGAAGACCATCCAACGCAGAGGCCACGCTCGGGTGTGGAAACTGATACCCGCCCTCGACGATCATCACGAATAATAGAACAAATTATTATTACAAGAGAAATCGATCCGTCTACTGGTCAGCCATTTGAATCAGCACCGGTACAACGGCCCTCAAGACCCCGATCAGGACATAACATTGCCTACAACAACTCGGTACGTGATAGCGGCCGCAGGTCTCGCGGATGGGCGCCATTCAGTGAATCGCAGCGACATTGGTCCCCGGGAGATGGAAACGAACATGTGGAACTTACTGGAATTGTGGCAGGAATGGAAACGGAAACAGACCGTGGAGAAGAGTACAGTTATAGTTACATGCCTCGCGAGAGTGCAGAGCGAAGAGGAAGGACAAATCAAGGGTATGACGTCAGTCCTCCTGAAGACCGACGACGTCCTGATGTCGTAAGAGTATCTTCCAGACATCCGGCTTGGGATGAAGGCACTGGCGTTCCCCCACCCCCTCCATACACCGAGAGAGATGTTTCACCTCCACAACTCCGGTCGGCAGGTCACGGTTGGGGTAGATCTAACAGACGAGGAAGTTGGGCAGCAGCGGATAGTGACAGATCTTCGACCGTTGCTGCAGGGTGGACGCAAAGGACACGGGTAGTGTTCGCAGTGATGCTCCTACTATGCATTATCCTCCTTCTGGCATTAGTAGTAGTTGTCGCCCTGTATTTCACTAGTAAGTTAACGATTTGAAACTTGTATCTTATATACATTAATAGGCCGTACCAGGCTGCATGATCATAAAATCAAGTTCACAATGACGGGGGGGGGGGGGGGGTTGGATCAAAGTTATTTTTCAGCAAACCTACAGTCTTTCATCAAATTTCAGAGTTTTTAGTCTTATATTTTACTCTTTTATACGCAAGACACAGTGTGAACTTATGAAACTTTTTTGTTACAAACATTTTCTTTTTAAACATCCCCAACCGCCCTCCTCTTCTTTCAGAATATTCTGATCACAACACCTTCAAATTGTTATACATTGATGATTTTATACCCGTTTGAAAATAAAGGAAGTTAAGATATTATGACATTGGTTCCGGTTCCATTCCTCAAGTTGACTCTAAAAATCTATAAATTGATCGTGCGGGGTGGTATGTGGGCAGCATCGCGTGTTCCACAGCAGTGGCGTTTCCAGCACGGAGCCATTATGTCCCACCCTCCTTTTGTCAGAAAAAAATAATTAATAACTGTTTCAATGAGTCTTTATAGCACGCAGGGTTGCCCGGGTGCATTCAATCTTTCTCCTTATCAGGGAAGATTCGCCCCCACCCCCAACCCGCCACTGTTTATCAATTACGCCTCTGCTCTTTCTAGTCAAGCTATCACCAGGAAAGTCTGATGTATGCTCCCTCCCCCCCCCCCCCCCCCAATCAGATCAGTTATTTTGTTACAAATTTTAGCCACCCGCTGCTACCAACAATAAAACATTGTCGTTTTAAAGATCTATTAATTCGGTTTATATCAAAGGCATCCAGACGGGGAATGTGTATGCTGCATACGTCTCTGTGTATGGCTTTTAACAGTATCATAATTTAATAATAACAATAATATAACAAGAAACAGAATCAGGGAGGAGACAAATACTGTTATTATACACCGTCTGTAATGAATGTTACAAGTCATGATATCATGTCCCTGCTTCATTGCAGACAGCTAATCATCGATAGGCTGACAAGTTACAATAAGCTAATGAAATGACTGCATTTGATAGGCTCACGATCAGCGAATTCTACTTCAATGTTTGCCCTTTTGTTATTGATAACAAGTATTATGAACTGTAGGGCCCATTTTTGGATATTATTAATAATAAGAAAAATTGCACAGAAATCTGAATATCTAAAGAAAAACGGTCGTCTGGGGAAACAGAATTTTGATGGAAAGATGAAAATGGTTTGAATTTTTATGGTGTTAACTAAATTTTGTGAAGAATCACTCGCTTTTAAGGTTTAAAAAACAACTTAAACTATAACCTATATCAAATAGATTATTGATTCGAGTATATTTTGTTTTCATCCGTACAGCTGGACCAGGTAAAGACTGTCTGAATAAAGAAATGTGCGATTCACCATCGATCGGCTATATCGCCGGTAAGTTTGTTTGCATGAACACGCTAACGGCTATCACCACCTTACGACCTTGACTACGACTGTCGTAGTCGGGTCGTAAGTCAGATCGTAAATCCATTTCTAGTTGGGTCGTTTTAAGCGTTACATTAGCTTCGAGTCGATGAAAGTTTTACACATGCACAAGTGTTACGGAGACGTATGGAATTCGGGGGAAGATTAAATGAATCGGTAAAGTGTCAACAGTGGAAGAGAAGGAATGGATTTATCACAAATGACAAATATCATCAAGAAGAAATATTTAATTTGATACACAAATTTATTGAAATGTACATGCGGTGCATTAGCGAATTTCGTTTTACAAAGCTTATATATTATATTATGCACCTCAAAAATATGAACTTTACATGCTACCCATGCAGGCAAAATCTGCAAATTCCAAATTTGTGTTCACCCACTTGTTTCTGGCCTGGTTTATACATATCGGATAGAATGACACAATATGAACAAATTATTATAATGTTTTTAAATACTTGTCAACTATCATGCTATACTGGTGTAGGTATGGAATTAAATAATGGCAACACTTTAATCCCAATATTGTTAACTCATTTTGAAAATGTGATACTTTTCTTTTTATACCTTGTTCATCTGATTATTAAAAATATTCAAACGTCTGTAAACTCTAAATTCAAGATAAAACAAAATTGCAACCCCAAATTTACGTTTATGCACACAAAAAAACGGTCACCCGTCGACAGTTGCATAATTACTCGTTAAAAAAAATATCTGGAGCAAAATGTCAGGACACCAACGTGTTTTTTTTTACAACAAATTGGTCTGAATTTTCCTGAACTGGTTATCGAATGAAAGTTGGCCACATTATTCTCATATTGGACAATTTATTTTACCCAATATTTTATTTTTTACATTGCATGAATTAAAATTAAATATTAATATCTATCTGTTATCATTCGCTTCGCAGCATTTTGTGTTATCGGATTTCTGGCGTTCATCTTCATGCTAATCGGTATCATCCTCTGCTGTTTCGCTTGCCGGATATCCAGAGATAAACGGATGCAGGACTATCCGGTGTCAGCTCGTCGATAACAAACCAAACCGCTTTCAACTCTAGCCTGTGCCATCTCAGTATAGTCGACGCCGACCAGCGGCCCACGAGACTAACAATGCGTCGGCCTCGTGAACCCTCAATGAGGTTAATAGTCAGGAGGCTCGCGCCGAGCAATGCTGGTCAAAGAGCTGCGATTTGTCAAAGTCCTTCAATCAATCGCAAAGTTACAATTAAGAGCAAAATTGTGAATGATATTTATCAAATTAAACTTTTGAAAGCCGGACCCTTAATGCACACATAGGCCTAGGCCAAATCGATTTACAGGTAGTAATGTGTAGGACATCTACGATAATAGAAATAAATCAGAGACAAACTCTCGACTTAAAAATTGGGCTTCCTAGCAAACAGCTTCTACAGAAGATACTGCTGTATGAAATCACGAATTATAATTTTTCTCAAAAAATTGTCACAGTGTACATTATGCGTTATTGGTTAATTTGTTTGAACCTTTTCAGCCGGAATCAGTTACATGTACCTCTTAAAATGTTGCCTTAGTTTCATCCCAACCTGTAGCCTATTATGTTACAAACTGCATGTAGGTTTTTTTGGGGGGGATAGCTTTGCTCATTCCTTTTTTTGATAATGATAATGATAATATCCAAAACGAAGCCTATATTATTTGTGTTAAAATGATTACAATTTGGATAATAAATCTATAGTTTTTCACTTGTTTTATAGGTTTAGAGTTATATATTATACACGTCAGTACTATACATTGTCTTTCATATATCATTGTAAATATATTATGCTTCAAAAATCAAATACTGCTTTGTATATATAGCATCTGCATGTGCACATAAAATTAATGTATATTATAGACCTAGGTCCCAATTGCGTAAGATGAAGCTTTTATATACTGTATATACAGAGAATATTTTTGATTATATCGTCTTTCACTGTGATGAAGGGAGAAAGATAGGGTGATGACGATTTACATTCTCAAACTTACATAGAAAGCGCATATATAATTGCCCGCCTGAAAATAGGCCATTTTCGTAATGTTACTAAATGTTATGCATGCGTCTTTATTATACTGCGATATTATTATTTCATTCATCTGTTGCGAATAATTGTATTTTAATAGTCAGAATCGTAAATTGTGTTAGGTAGGACAAGCCATGATGTTTGCCTTACCTAGCAACAACTAATGTATGCAATTCACATTCTGACTGTTGAGATTCAATAATTTGCATTACGAAAATGGCCATTTGAAGTGTTTTGACTGAAATGTGTTTCTAGACTTTTTAATAGTCACATTAGAGACGTGACAGTGTTAGAAGAACGATTGTGATCAAACCATCGCAGTGCCTTTTGTAACGTAAGCATACGTTCTATGCTTCTTACCAAAAGTACAAACAAGTTTGAGCAAAACATTACCTCGTTGAGGTACTGCGGTTGGTCGGGGGGGGGGGTATATATATTTAATCAAGTCTTAAACTATACCGACCTTACCAATCCAGAAAAAAAAATATTTCCTTTTTATTTTGTCGATTTTTTTTTTCTTCTCCCCGAAACGAAATATACCCCCAAAAAATCAAAACATAAAGCATTCTTTTTAAAATATGGATTGACGAGGAAAAAAATGCCTATAAGACAGGTCAATTATGATTTTATGGTAAATTACATTGACATTTACATTTAATTAGCCTGTGCTGTATCTCCTAAATGCACCGAGATCTAGTGTGTGAACCTAAATAACGTTCTTATGTTTGGTTTCATCTAGTATTTGGGCAAACCGTGTCAAGAAAGATTTTAGGGATGTTTATATTTCTACTTTGAAACTATATTGGACTCATATTCCAAATATACTATGTAGCTTTTATACATTTTCCTATGTTAGATAATGTAATACATTGCATGCTGTAAAACGAGTTTAAAACTTAACGGCAGTAGAAACTCGGAAAATAGTGTACTGCACTATACAAAAAGAGAAGTATTCATATTTGTTAGTTATTTTGCTAAAGTTTTGTATTCATAAATGCTGTTCAGCCGTATTATCCACGTGCATCCTGTATGTTTTAAGAAAATGAATGTTTGAAATAGGTTTTTTAAGAAAAAAATCGAACATCTCTTCACGATTCCTGCGTTCTTTTTAATGCTGCAGTTTAAACATAAATATGGTCATATGGTTTGTCATCATTTTATGTGTATACAAAAACGTAAGTGTAAGAAGTTACAGCAAAGACATCAATATATAACTTTGTTTTTGCCTCACAAAGTCGGTTTCAGATATTTCAAGTTACTTATTAAAATTATCTTGATATAGAATCTACCCTGTTTCATTGCAATAATGAATAAACTTACTATGTATAAACGGATACTTTGATCTATTTGTGAGAAGTGTCGATGAATACGTTGGTCAGGTTCGTCGAAAAATTCCGACAATCTTGATGATTTTTATCTTGGTTTTCTTCATGAAATAAATCGGTATAGACAATCTGATATTAAATGCTCAACTCCATGGTAGTAGAAAAGAAATCCGTGACAAAAATGCTATTGATTCTTAATTGGATACGATAAAATATGTCTGGAATTTGTAGAATGCAGGCTGGTAGAATGTATGTAGGTTGCATTCCTTTAACGTTTGATGTTATTTTTTCAGATGAAATGATCTTGAGGCGGTATTGTTACTATGTGAAAAAATGAGATATTTCTCGAATATATTAATGAATATTTTGATATGTTATATTAGAAGATCTATAAACGCACGATGCCAAAGTCGGATGGTATAGATGATCAAGGAAATTTAAGTACTAGTAATATATACAAATTGAATATAGAGGCCTATGCTCAAATATACATGTAAGGTGGCGTTTATGTGTCATATGTTTACTTGCATGCTGTGTATATATCCGAACAGGCATTAGGGGGAAAACTGCCTCGTGCTCGAAAACAAATTTCTTTTGAATTAATCTTTTTTTTTTTATAAATCTGAATGATGTTGTGTAGAGGACATAACACACGAAACTTCCAATAGACGTGAATGTTTTTTTTTCTTCCATGTGCCAAAAACCTATTGGTAAATTCAGTTATTAATCGATTCGATTTTAAGTCAGTCCTGAATGGAAAACAAAAGTATAGCAGGGCAGCGTCATCATTCATGGATATTACACAAATTTGAAATGAAAATATGATTCACTTTCGACGTAACTTATTGCTGCTGCCTACATTTTGCAGACAATCGACTGCAACTGGTTTTTAATCACCGTTTCTCTTCATCAATAACTTTGATGCTCTTGATATACACATGTATTTACAGTTTCGGAGATATGGGGGTGGGGGAGGGGCGTACCGCGTCCTTTATAGAATGGCAAAAAAAGATAAATGGAGAAAACTGAAAGGTTGAAGGGAGGGGGCTGACGAGAAAAGAAGACGACCGTTCCCCCATAACCCCAGTCGATGGCCTCGTCAATTCGAATTTCATTCACGGAGCAAGACATGTGCCCCATGGTGCTAGAGCCCCCCCCCCCCCTCCCCCCAATGGATAGAACATTTGCCACGCCACTCAGAATCCAGTTTAAATAGTTGCATGTTTAGATCATTTTCCAGTTTTGATGTATCCTTCCCGCTTGGTATAACCGTATGCGATTGTTTTACCGTTGACGTTATTCGTGAAATGTAATGTTTTTTCTAAATTTGAAGAAATTAATAAAGTATTTCATAGACAATTTATACATTTTAACTAATGTAATACATGTGTTTCATTTAGTAAGAATGTGATATGAGAAAGAATAGCTGATTTTATTTATTTATTTATTTATTTATGTTTTCTTTATAAAAAGCAGTGTGGTCCCATTCAAGCCGCAAGGCCTGCTTTACAAGGGAGCCCTGCTGTAACAAACAAATTACATTTCAAATATCTTACAATACACGCACAAATACACAAAATATACAATAATTATTAAAAAAAACATAATATAAACAAACTATAATTTTTTTTATACAAATAGGAAATTAAATGAAAATGGAAGAGGAGAGAGAGAGTAAACGAAGAGAGAGAGAGAGAGAGAGAGAGAGAGAGAGAGAGAGAGAGAGAGAGTGATAGGAATACTTCATGTGAGCGATCGCAAAATCAACTCACTTGAATTTCACGGACATTTCGTTTAAAAATGGGTAGTGAGGCGGAACATTTGGTAAGTATGGGTAGTGAGTTGAATAACTTTGCGGCTGTGTACGAGAAGGGCTGTTTTTTTAAAAAATCGGTTCTGGGTTTGGCAAGGTACAATATTGAAACCAGGCGCGTACGCAGGGTGGGGGGGGGGCTCAAATGAGCGATACAAGAAAGAATTCTCTTACAATAATCTCTCTTTATGTTCATGGATAATAAAACACAAATATCCACATATAGTCCTCTTGGCATCTCCAGCATTAGCTGTAGCAAGTTATCATCTAATATCAAAAATACAAGAAGAAAAAACTCAAATCTGTTCAAATGTTCTGATATTTATGATATTCATTATTTCAGGTTAACAAAGCGCATTGCATGACACATGTTTGCATATGATACAATAGTAATCATAATATTTGGGTAACTATAATATATATATATTGGTTGGTAGTAACTACATGGTATGATAATAAGGTAAGAATATGCAGCTTAAAATAGTACAAAAATCAAGATATAGCACTTTATGATAATCAAATGAGTTAGCTTTCAAAATGTATTTGACATAAATTGTAGTCCACAACTGTTCAATACCTTATAAAATATATCGATATCAGTATAAATCATTACAATAATTCATTTGTTTTAAATCGCTCCCCAACCTCCATCATTAATACAAATGTCAAACTTACAACAACAGAACATTAAAAGATCACATAGAACAATATAGTCATACCAATACTAGCAAAACTGAATTTTTCAAGATTTGCTTTTATATTGAAAGTAAATTTATAGTACATGATACATCTAATACAATTGGTGATTAATATTGCATGTAGTAGATGCAGAATAATTTTTGTATAGAACTTTTATTTTCCAAACTTCCAACTTACCTAGCTTTAGTAATCAAATTCTATGTGTATTAGCCAAGAGGCAAAACTATCAGACACACCTCTCAGACAAAATCCAGTTTATGAGCACGTTTACCATTTAATATCAGGCAAATACATGTTAATGAATCTAAACATTACCAAAAACAAAGGAAAATAGAAATAAACATGATGGCAACTACATTAAAAACAAATAACGGAAGGCAATTTCAATAGTCTTGTCAACACCTAGTGCTTTACCTGTCTAAGCCCACCGATTTTTTTGTTTGTAGCTTCCATTTTCTTCGTCTCTATTGATATCTGGACAAAATTACCCCGTTTGATGTAGTTGTTATATGACGATGAATAAATAAGCAATTGAAATTGGAATGTGCTAACATGGCAATTACATACGTTTTACGTAATCTGAACATTACTTCTATGGGATACACAATGGGGTACTAAAATTGCCCTTGAGCTGATTTTTCCCAAATAGTTTCGATCTTGTTGATAGTGCTTTGACATTATTTCAAGAGAAGTTTAGAAAATGATTGCACCTGTAACATAAAGACTAAACACACGCAGCAGTGGAAATGTTGTGTAATTGCACATAAATGCTTCGCTGTGAGAGATGGAAGCTTGCTACATAACTATTGCTGAATGAAAAATGCGTACAAATATATGAATATAGGTTTATGCTTATTGTTCTTAGTTGGTTTCAACAAGTATTGATACAATAAAAGTAAGTAAAAGAATAATATGATTATATAAAATACCACATACCTCTGTCAAACAGTGTTGATGTATTTTGACTCAAACAAAATGCATAAGGTGTATTTTAAGACAAACTACATGTACATGTCATACAAAATATTTTTCCAAGAAAAAGACAAAAACTATAAAGATTGTTCTTTCATGTGTGTTAGAATGGAAAATAATTACAAATATGATTTAATCACTTTCACTTAATCACTCCACCAATTCTTTCTAACAATGAAGGTCGTAACAGGTACGATATGAGTTTATGGTATTGTTTTTTTGTTTGTTAAGATTTCAACCCTGAGGAGAACAATATCATAAAAATGTAATGCAGCTATTGCAGAAAAGGTCTCCACATATAGATGTAATTGCAGCTAATGACAAAATAAATTATAATCCCAGCCACATACCAGAGGCTACCAACTGTAACAAGAGGGAAATGAGCATCAACTTCACATCTATACACCCCTAGTAAACTCAAGTAAAGTAAATAAAAAAATCTGCATCACTGGCAAAACTCTTATTTTATAACAATAAAGGATAATATGTAAAAGTTAAAAAAAAGGAAAACAAAAAACAAAAACAAAAGTATACAAATATAGACCATGGCACAGGTTATAATTCTCGAAAGACTCTGAAGGCCTTCATGCATTTGTTAAAAAGAAAATATGATTCATGAAACTTTGGTAAGGTATGGAATGTTATCATACAATGAGTTTGTATGCATTTGAGGTGGGTAAGGAATTATTCAGCTTTGTTACGAATTGGAATGTCATAACTGAGTTACAAACATGAAAAGATAAACCTCCTTTTGGCTATTAACCGAGAGTTGCTCAGGGTTCACTAAAACAATTTACCACAATGAAATAAAGATACATGTATGTTTGATGAACTTGCACTGATAGATGAGATACAAATAACAAGTTGAGAATACTTTTAAAAACTAGCACAAATCAGGTTCAATGTTTATCTTCCTATTTTAAATCACATCAAAGCAATGTCGATTATAAATGGTACCATTAACGTGTTAAATAATATAAAATCCACAAGTAGATTAATCTAGGAGCCATAGAAAATGCCCATACAAGATAAATCAATAAGGCCTAAAAAAAAAAGATGTTACGGTATTGCCCTTTGCAACCGACCCCAAAATCTTGAAATCTATGGTCTGCTTTTAAAAAAAAAAAATTGTTTAACCGTATTTAAGAGAAAAACAATATTAAAACATTCAAAACTGAGAAATATCAGCCCAAAGAGGGAGAAAAAAAGTTTGGAAAAAAAAAAAAAATCGACCGACCGACCCATGTTTTGGCACCTAAAGGGCAATACAACATCTTTTTTTTTTTAAGGCCTAAGTTAAAGGTAAGATCTATCACCAGTTGCAGGAGTCAAAAGGATGTACTATACACCTGTGGAGTAAGATCATGCCCTGTAGCTTTAATGCAGTTTTAACAAATATAGCTTTAACCTTTTAATTTGATATGCAAAACTTTATATATTCCTTACAAAATAGAAAGGAGAACAATTATCTTTACGTTCTTTCAGTTTCAAGAGCATGCTGAAACATTTTTGTGAAGGTGAGCAGGTTCTTTGTATTAAAAACCCAAAACCCAAAACCCAAAACATGTAACCATGTTTGCTTTAACCACTTTGTCGTATTTGTTTAAAGTAGATATTCATTGATTTTAAAAACTAACTTTATTTTCATTATTGCAAAGTTGAAACTTTGGTTCGACAAGGTTATCAAAATTCAATGCTTGGAAACATTCGAAGTAATGATTATTATAAATTACAAAACGCTTAAATACAGCCCCGGCATAGCACCTGAAGAGCTCTCCGAACGCTGCTGAGATGTGTGAGATCACAGTATGGACATGACTTGCACAAGCAGACGATGTCCCATGACATCTCACACATTTTCAGTGCCTGTGTTTTTATCTTCTCTTGACTTCTTTCTCTTACTTCACTACCGTCAGGCTAAATGTTTAATCTATTGCCTCACTCTAAACCCTGCGCATGGTTTTATTTTGATGAAAAATGCAGCGATACAAAAATAAAGGAATCAGTCCCTTGTAAACAAAATAAGACGCCATTGTATATTCAGCTGCACACACCGGGGTATGTTCGGCGTTTCAAGAGGGAACAAATGCCGTCCTTAATATCATTCCGGGGGTTTTTCAATTTGAAAGTCTGGTTTCTTTGATTGTTAATTAACCCCTATCCTGTAAGCAAAAGATTTTAGTTATCAGAATCAGGTCATATCCCCTTTTGAATGGTTTGACATGCCATTACATTTATATACACTAAACTCATTATAATTTGAGAAATAATAGCTTTGCAATTATGTTCATTCTCTATGGGAGGTCGTCTGCTTGGGCAGTGTTGGTCCATATAGCGACGTCATTAAAACATTGTTATCTCTCGTATATCCCAGCTGCTATGGAGGTGGTTGTATTTGTATTTTTATAAATCACCCGATATGTAGTTGACCTAAAACTTGTACGATGGCCATCTGTTAGCTTACCAGTTTCTAGTGATACATTAGTTGAAATATTTGTGATCTTCTTTGAATTTCACCTTTAAAATAATTGAGTTGCTTTTTTCCTTCATGTGTGATTAAATAAATAGTCTTTCATTGAAAGAGAGAAGAAGAAAAATATTATGCTGCACCTCACCTTTCCAACTCTAAAATTAGACCGGGGGGGGGGGGGGTTCACAAAGATCCTAAGTTGGTCTAAACAATTATGGAAAGCTGTTAGCATCTTTGAAAATATTTTGTAACAGTTATTTTAAGAGGCATAAAATGTTAATTCAAATCAGTCATATTTTCTATTATCAAGGAGTTTTTATGTTATTGATGTGGGATTTATGAAAAGTCTAAAATACTTGAATTTTTGCTTTTGAATATTTTATTTTAAGGCTTCAAATAGTGTTGTTCCGATCTTTGATTTTGATCATTAGAGATTGAGATTTTTAGTTTCTTTCCTAATGCATAAATGCATGTCCACAAGATGTTTGGAATGGATATTGACGTGTGGACATTGGCAAAGAGAGATTCCTTTTATTTGCAATTCGGTGCTAATTTTAAATTACTTTGTGTCACAAAGTATTATGACTGTAGAATGAGTAGATGTTAATCTTTCTATGGTATTAAAATCATGAGATAATATGGCCCAAATCAGTAAAGTTTGTGAACGAGATGCTAGATAAATCATCACTGTAAAGCCTCATGAGCATATGCCCTGAAGTCTGACTGGTTAGGGTTGGGTGTAGTATTTGGTCTTGGATTGAAGGTAGGAATTTGGATGTGTAAACAAATTACCATGGAGCAACTATCGCTAAAGCATGTTTCATTGAGATCTCTTGTCTACAAACTGAGAGAACACCATTTCCCGGTAGGATATATATATATATATATATATATATATATATATATATATATATAAACACTTACAAACTTAATTGAATCTCTACATTATCTTTTGAAGGTTACACAAGCCAGACAACAATAATAGTGTATGCAAACACATGCAGACAGACTTCTCAATTATATTCTGGACAATGAAGAATGTTTCTTTGACGAATGTTTTCAATACAAACAAGTTAAAAATACATCACTATGTCTCTCACAATCTGTATGTATTCTAACATTTATATTTTTGGTGGCAGAGTCTTTGGAATGTTTTAAAGGTTTACTAATCATTTTACAAAAGGAATGTAAAGTAAATCATACAGAACCCTGTTCAAGATGCAACTCAGATATCGGCAACCGTACGAATCTCAGGCACACAGTGTTTATACTTTGGTATATGTTTTGAGCAGTGAATGTGAGGTGAAACTGTAGAAGCCTCCAAGCTGCAGATAATTCAATATTGGATTGTGGGGGGAGAGACCTGCAAAGTGGCACATGTACCCCCCCCCCCCCCCCCCAGAAGAAAACAATTGATAGTTACGCAGATGGTGATCAAGGCATAGCAGCTAGGAGGTCTTGGAACTTTGCATCGTGTATCTCTGTTACTAGCTGATCCATGGCATGGTCTAAGAAGGTAAACAATAAATGCCTGGAGGAAGAGAGAGAGAGAAAGAGAGAGAGAGAGAGAGAAAATAAATTTAAGTGAAAACAAAAACATGCCATTACCATGATTTAATTCAAACATCCAACATAAAACAATTCATGGTCATTCCACAAAAACCCTCTATTCAAAATACATTTAAATAGCTCTGTAATGAAGAATGGAAGATTTCATTTTAGAGAAGAAATATAGTAAATGAACAAATAAATTCACGACAAATTTCATGTTCAGTAACAAAAATGAAGACCAAAACTTACTTGTTGAGCGCTTGGTCCTGCAAGGAGTCTAGGACCAATGAGATCCCTTCACGAAGATGATCTTCTCCCAGAATAACACTCAGAACAGCTAAATAAATGACAACAATACATAAGCATAATTGCTATATTGGTATACCCACAAATTGAATAATGTTGGCTTCTTGTGAGGCACTCATATCAACCACAGAAAGCGAATGTTAGGCTTCCTGGGAGTAATTTAAATTTGTAAATAAATTTTGGCTTGCACCCAGTAAAATAACTAAAAACAATTCGGAAGGTGCTCAAGGCACTCAATATTACCCCAGCTAGCTACATAAAAGATTTTGGTGCTGATATTAAGTTGGTTTAAATAAAAGCAGAAAATGACAGAAACAGATTAGCGAAAGTTTGAGCAATATCCGATTAAAAAATAGGAAAGTTATGAATTTTTAAAGTTGTCATCATTGAAACGCAAATAAGAAACACTGTGACGTCTCGATCAAGCTTTTAATAGCCTACAACAATCCGTTCATGTTAGTATGTTATACCGGTATGTAATGTATTTCTATATACCGGTATGTACATGAATGAAATCAAACCAAATCAAAGCACATGCTCACCACCATTTTTGTTCCCTCCCCCCCCCCCCTCCCCTCCCTCACTAAACATCGAACTTCCCTTTAAAAGTTACCTGCAGCAGCATTGTGGGTGAGCTCATGCAGCGCATCCTCCTTGGTTTTGGCCATCTCATCTGGGGTCTTGGTTTCTCGTTCCTTGGGGCACCAAACACCCCCAGGCCATAGGAGCTCACGCAGGAGAGATAGGTAGTAGCCCCATTGAGCCTCGTCGAAGAGCAGCCCAACCTCACGGAAAAGCCATCTGAAACAAAATGGGGGGGGGGGGAGTGGGGGGGGAGAAAGAAGGATAAGTAACCAGTAATTTTAAAAGAATATCATTCTCAAACAGAATTCGGTAGATAGTGATCATAGACACCAAGAGAGATAAGGATCCTTCAAAACGCAGATTGTGTTGGACATACAAGCAGGGTAGATTGATAGAAGTAAAAATACAGACAACAAAACAAATGAAAAAAGAGTTAAGGATAATTTTACAAGTTAGAGACCACTCTCTAACTGAAGTTTGGAAATCAATCACACATATATATATATATATATATACATAAGAGAAAGGTAATTGTAACCTGCGATTGATTTAAAGACTTTCAATCAATTCAAACACACTGCAAATCTTTAAAGGACAGGGCTAACAGAACTTTTTCCCATTAACTCAATTCTAAAATCTTCCCCTGGCCATGCACCTGGATGTGAAGGTGAGATTACTTACTTATCTACGAGGTCTCCAATAAGAATGGTCAGTGTGCCCTGCAGGCTCTCATCCAGCACAAAACTCTGCTGATTGAGCAGAGCCTCGCTCATCACTCCAAATAGGGCTTTATAGACGTCTACATTGTCCTTTGACCCCACCTGACCCGGCTTGACCTCTATCACCCCCTCTCTGTGAGGTTCGCTGGGGGCGTCTGACCCATCGCCCTCGGACCGGGGTCCAAGGAACACCTTGTCGTAGTCCCCTGGCGGAGGGGGCGAGGGAGAGCGTAGGGTGAACTGCTCGTGCTTCTGACCAACAAGGAGCTTCATGACCCGCTGCATGTGGGACTGTTTGTGTAAAATATAAACATTTGTATGAAATTAAAGTTAAAGAATATACTTCTGTAGTTTTCTTGACTGCCTTATATGCTGCAACCAACATTTTGTATAAACATTACCGGTACCTCAATGACACTTTCACAAATTTTGCCAATCATGTTGAACATCTAGGTTGCACATGCTTTTAAAGGGATTGGGTATCTTTGTCTCCTGGATTTAGCTCATGCTACAATGATAATTATAAACCTTTAGGTCATTAAGGAACCCCATGACTTTTACAAGCCAATCGTCTTGTCTGACTATCAAGATAATTATGATTGGAAATCTCAATTTCATTTCGCGATTTTATAACACTACAGTTTATTGGGGAAAATCAGAACGGTAAAACGGGTCACTCAAAGATTTTTACTTTTTTGAGGCACTTCATTATCATTTTGAAGCGCAATTTCTTTAGGGCTTCAATATTACAGACACTGATAACACGTAGAGCCAAGCATCTTAGATTTAACATTGTTAAATGATGCCTTTAAGATTGTACCTCTTTCATTTCATCCAAGCCAAACAGTCTAATCCTTGACTTATCACCCAGGTCCCATTGGTCCTCTCCACCTACAGGCTGCTGTCTGGCTACGACCTGACCAATCTCCTCTGCCATTGGTCGGTTCTGGTCATGTGACTGCATCGTTTGACTAGGCTGGTCCGAAGGGGCAGAGGCCGTAGCGGCGGAGGAAGGGGTTTGCCTTGAGGAGGAGGAGGGCCGCATCATGGCCGGTCGTTCTGGAAGGATGGTCTTGATGGTACCGACGATGCCCGATACCTGATGTATCAGAAGCTGAAGGAAAATAAAAAGAAACAAAGTCAACTCTTAATCCCCTTACCAGGCAGTAATTGAGTGATTTCATGCAATGCGTCATGTAAAACATGTGACATTTATCCATATATTCCATCCAATAATGAAAAATTTCCTGATATGACTATAACTTGTGGTAGTGATGCGAGAAAGCCTGTCGTTTGAAAAAAGGCACACTATACCATGCAATTCAATGCTATATAATACATGTATCATGTGTGTATAATTTAATGAAAATTAAAGTTTAACCACACAATAAATCCATATAGATGCAGGTCATTTGGATACATTTATGAAATTTTCTAGAAGAACAATACCACAGCACACAGTACAAAGTTGATGAGCTATATGTACATTGGTTGCATTATTGGAAAACAGTGCTCTATTTGAATTCCAAATAATCAGATGACCAAGATCACAACTTTAAAATGGTAAAAGTCAAAGTTCATGCTTACTTTATCAATCCTTAGGGGTCCAATGGTAGCTTTCTTGACAAACTCTATATGGCCATCGCCATCGATCGCTAGAAACTCGGCCATCTCTCTGCTGTTATGAATGACTGGACGACTCAGCAGTTGCTGTGTTAAAGAAAATTACAAGTTTTAATTATATATTGTACACATTTATGAGTACCATATTGACTTTTAAACTCACCACACCCGGTACAATCTGTAATTTTGTAAGAATTTACAATGACATTAATTATGAATAATCAACATGTTCAATCATGAATAATTGGGGTTCTGATACTCTGCTCAGAATCACAGTGACATCAGGGACCCGTTTCTCAAAGCCTTTTTTCAATGACAAATTATGCCAAAAATCAGTGACAAATGTGCTGATAACTAATCAGAAGCAAGGATATCAGTAGCTTGTAACAAAAACAGTCATTTGTCACTGATGACAAGTTTTGTGAACGCTCCCCAGATGGGTAGTGTGATTGTCTATGATTTGAAGCTGATTCAGCTTCATTTCTGACTAGAAATCTGAAATGATCTAAAATTCCAGTTGTTAGTATTTATATCATTATTCAGAACCTAAATCAGGAAGGTGCTTTTTGTTTGGATTTCCAAATGTTGTTGCAGTTTTTTCCAAAATTGCAGATCCCAGCAGAATCGTACAGTGTGCGGTAGGCTCATATTGCATGCATGTATGTTTTGAAAGTATAGGCTCATAGCGATTATTTTTTAAATGCTCATCTTATACGATTGTCTCCAGCTTTGTTATTCAAAAACAAATCTCACGAACTGAGAAACACGCCTAAGAACATATTATGAAATCATTCAGAAGATGGATTGGGTAATATAAAGACCACTGATGTAATTACAATTTCATGCCTACATGTTCATGTAGGTACAAACTTACTTCAATTCAATTCAATTCATTTATTTTCCAATTCAAAACATTGTGAACACAAGGGCAAAATACAGCAATAATATCAAAATATTAAATGGTGGGATACCCTTACTAGAAAAGTGCCTGTGGGCAGAATCCTCATCATGTGTTTGGTATAATTTCCAAGTATTTCCCAGTATTTCACAGTAATTCCCAGAAGATTGCTCACCAGGGTAACCACTGCTCAAGGTATTAATTCTAAATCGATCTAATACTATCATACTTGGTAGGACAATTCATGTTTACATTATTCTTACCTGTCAAAAATACATCTACGAAAGTAGAACACAACATCTAACATTAGCTTAGGGGAGCCTACAGCGTACAGTTTCAAGAAATGTCATGTGCAGTGGTCACTATTTATCTGTTACTGATAATTTTTTTGTTTTCTTGCCATTGTAAATCATTCAATATCTTACAGATAAAATTGTTTCATAATGCAGGGCTTGATACTAACAGGGGTCCGAAACACAAGGGCCCCTAATTTTTCACTCAGGCTTACCGAAATTAATGATTTTAACAGGGAGCACATCCATACACAACCTAAAAATACTGACCGCCCCCTCCCCCAACCTAGAAAAGAGGTTAGTATTGAGCTCTGCCTAATGTAAGACTTTGCATACCAGGTTCTAAACAAGCAAAATAAATCTCACATTAGCTGCATTTACACTGAAAATAAAAATCATTGATTTTTCTCACATTCCAGTGATTCAGGCAAACAGGCAGTATATATTTTACAATTTTTGCAGTGTAAAAGCCAGCACTTCAATCATCAGTGAAAGATTTTGTTTTTTGGTCACGTGACAAGAAACGCATGCACTCTTTTCACACAAAAATCAGAATGAGCAAATACCGACGTTTTGTATGGGTTTTTCCAAGTGTAAGTAGCAGTCCGAAAATCAATGAATTTTCAAAATGGTGTTTTGGATGTGTAAATTGGCATTTAAGGGCTGGGGATTCACAAAGAAAAATGATAATTTTAAAGGGGAAACAGCCAAGTCGGCTGAACAGGAAACTCCAGTTGTTGTTGTTGTTGTTGACGGCTAGGCATCTGGCTTCAGATGAATACTACACTCACCTTAAGGTACGTTTCTAAAGAGGCCCTCTTCTGTTCCTCCATTGCTGGGCTAAGTCTGCTGATTGGCAGCATGGACTGCTTTGGAATGTTCACAATACCTGCAAGAAAGAAACAATAAATATCTTCAACAGTACCCTGAAATTTTCATTTTCAGTATCCAATGGAAGTGATAAGTTTCAGTCATACTGAAAGCTTTCTACCTTAGATATCAAATGTTAAGTTTTTCAATACTGTTTTAATGCACATACACTGTATCAACATATCAATGACTGTATTACCCTCTCTGATTGATAATAAAACAAACCAACACTAATCAAATCATATCATATCACATCAAAATGGGATGTACCGGTACAAGGGATTTGTTTTGGGAAATATAAAACATTTTTAAAGGGTAAAGTATGTTTTTTATGCACCTGTATTTATCTTATGCCCCCTCCCCCCCCCCCCCCCCCCCAAAAAAAAAAAAACACAACAACAACAACAACAACAACAACAAAAAGACCAGCACTACAATAATAATAGATCAGATCACTAAGGTGCCAAATCCACTTGAAATTAAATACCCAAGGCACACTAATGCAAGAGATGAAACAACATACGTGTTTACACAAAAGTACCATCTGCGTAGGAGACAACGTATGAAAGAGGAAAACAAATACAATTAATTACGTGTACGAGCCAAATCAACAGATCCTTTTTCATGAAAAATTACAGACTGCATGATATACTTACCTCTCATATTCCTCCTCAGATGAGCTTTTGGTGATTCTAGCATGGAGGTTGGCAAACTCTCTGTAGCGGCGTTTAACTTCCATCTCATTCTTGCTACTATAAGCTGCTTCTGAGTCATCAGATAAATGTAGGTTTCTTCACAGATCGTACTACAAAAGAACAAAGAGAATTAATTTAACATTATATCATGCTAACTTTCTACACAACTGTAAACAAGTAAGATACATTTATCCAGAATCTGCCTGGTGGCTATGATGAAACACTCAAGGTTTCCAAGTGGTGCTGTAGTCAAACGTTTTAAAACCATCCAGTATCCGACCGCCCATGGCACTATCTGTTTTCAATTGGACGTTTTTTTTAGTTTTTTTTTAAGTTCGATTTATATGCCCCTCCACCTGACCTGGCACTATGCCTGGCAATATCTCCCAGCTCAGTAATCGGGTGTGTCGACTCACCACTCGGAAACTAGAACAACACTCCAATTTTTCTGTCCTCTTGGTTTGAAAGTAATCTTTGTTATAGATCTCAATATGTAGTTTATAATAATAATTCCTCCAATTTTTCTTCTATTACACAACCACAAGGTTCTATCCTAGGTCCTCTACTGTTTTTAATTTACATTAATGATCTTACACATTCTACTAAAAACGACATTGTTACTATTGGTGACAAGTTCACAAGCACAAATCGGCGCCTTCAAATGCACCTCGCAGTTAAATGAAAGTGCTTCCCGCATGGGTTTTTGAACACGGACCTGGCTTGCTTTTTCTTAATTTATTTTTTATTTATTTATTTTTAAATAAATCATTTAACTGAAAAACATCCGTTTTTGACTGGCGGTTAAACGGAATTGGAGATATCCGTGATGTTACAGCACTAGTTCCAAGGAATTTCTTCCAAACATGTATACAAGTACCTTCCTTGGATAGAGTGTGGCAATTGTAGATCAATGTCATGCCATTTGAACTATGTAACACTTGAGTCTAAGTCCAGTACCTACATGGCTACACGTATCCCCTAGAAACAGAAGATTACTCGAGTATTATTCATCAATTTGAGGCATGACAGCTCAGTGGTAGAGCAGTAACCTGGAGGTCCTGTTCGAAACCAATTGGATGCACTAGTGCCCTTTGGTAAGGCATTAATCCTCATTATCAAGTCTTTTTTGTGCCACTACATTTAGGTTAGTTACCTAACTATTGGTTTATAACGTACAGTACATGCATTTTATTACAACACATCAAATATTAAGCAGAACTTGATTTAAGGCCCAACAACAACAGATGTCTCACCTGAATGATGAAGTAGACGACTGGTTTCTTGCCTTTGGGTCACCAAGCCAGCTGGTGGTGGGGATGTTTTAGGTTCGTAACTCTCCACGTAGCCCACTCCAGGGGTATTTCACTACCGTTGCTGGGGTGCAGGTCTTGGGTGTCGGGTGGGGTTTGGAGAAGCTGTGGAGCTGTCTCACTTCTTATGAGAGGATGTCTGAAATTGTTAGATGTACATGTACATGTTCATTAGATCACAATATCATAATTGTGATTTTGGTAGTTTAACTTGTTTATATTTTCTCCAAAAGAAGTAGATCTATGTCAGACAAGATATTTAATGGTTACAGAAGAAATTAAGTTGTTAATAATGTGCACTCTGAAAAATAATGCTAAGTTTCAATATCTACACATACAGTGAGTTCTCATCATTATGCTGCGAGGGTCTGCCCTGCATTAATTTAATCAAAAAAACTTTGTACAGAGCACTGTTGAACAAATTGACTAGTCCTAATTTGTCTCAATTTTTTATCTGCTGTTGTAACTTCTTTTCAAACTTAAAGCCCCACTATACTATGTGTAGCTACTCGCTCCCTCTGTATAGAAAACAATGCCTACGCGGTGCCCGTTGATCCCCAATGATCCTCTTTTTCAAATGTTAATTGAGAGCTGAGTTAATGAGATAACCACCTGTCAGTTCCCATGTTGTGTGGTCTAATCCCTTCTGGCCTAACTAGTACAGACAGGCTTTAAATGCCATCCCTGAGATTGGAGGCTTATCTCATTTAATTGTGTAGAAGTGCGTGATTTAATTAATGCTAACATTAAATAAGTTTACAGAGTTTACAAAAGTACAAAGAAAAAAAGACTGCCTTTGAGGTTTTGACTTTACCTATGACTGGGAGAAAATCCTTGGGAACTTAATTGGACTTTGACATCCTTCCCTGCATTCATTTGGTCTCCATCTGTGACTGTGTCCTGCTCCTCTTGCTCATTTATCTTGGAGCTGGAAGATACCTCATTAGAACTGCTCAGCGAAGATGTAGATTGGCATGATGTCCCTGAGCCCAAGGTGGATACCGTCTCTTGAGAAGTTGGAACACAATCTCCTAACTCTGTAAGGCAATTGGCACTGAAACACGATCTCATACCTTGACCTTCGAACCGGGATGACTGGATTGCATCATCAGTCGCCATGCTGTCTTTGACACTGTCCATGACACTCCCCACTGATTGTGACACAGGATTCTGGATGGCTATGATGTTGGAACCTGTAGAGGCTGACCTTCGATGAGTCTTGACCTTCCTAGTTTGTTTCAAGAGATGGAAGGTCCACTTCTTCACTTTTTTCCTCATCCAGCCATCTTCTTTGGATACTGTGTCAGAGTCCTGTCTTGGAATTGCCATGCTTGCTTCTAGCATTGTCATTGGCATGGGAAATGTGAACAGTTGCGTGGGCTCAGTGGGCTCAAATGGAGATGGCAATGACTTCTTATCCCCTTCTGATACATCCAAGTGAGGCCTTTGCTCCTCTTCATTTTCAGATGGATTTTGTATTTTGTCCATTGTGTCTTGAGTGCCTGAGCTGTTCGTCTTCTCTACTTGAGAGGTAGTGTTGGAGTTTTTCTGATATTTCCATGGATTCTACATTGACTGATATAATATCCACATCATGATTCACTATGTCCGAATCTCTGAGTAATTTGTCGTCATGGTTTCTCGCAGCTTCTTCACAATTGCTTTCAGGCTCCATTTCACTTGTGCCTGTACATGTCAGTTCCTGTTTGGCATTTGCACTTGGTTTCCCATCAGCATCACGGTGGTATTGCCCTAGTGGCTCATCCATCAGAATCAGAATGAACGCCTCATTCAAGAAGTCTGGGTCCGAGATGAGATGTACCAAGGGCTGCAGGACATTGTTGATGAGGATGTCCTGCAAAAGGAAAACTAGCGAATCACAGTGGATCACGTCAGATGGCAAGAGGGCCAGGATCAAAGTGTTGGAGAGCTGCGAGAGGTGCTCTTTCTCAGCTTCCTCATTCTGCAATGCCGGGTGGAGGATGGCAAAGGTCTCATAGATGGACACGACAGAATGTTTTCTTTGCAAAACTCCCAAGCTTGCTGGATTTACTCGCTAAGCGAGACCGACTCATCTGCAGCCTGCGAAAAATGTCAACGTGAGCTCGGAGCTCATTCAGGAGAATGCACAGGAAAGTTCTTTGATCGATTTTGATGAATCTGTTTTTTTATATTTTTGATCATGTCTTTGAAATGATGAAAAACGTTGTGTGAAAATTGATCATCATCACTCAAGATCCTGTACCATCCCACAACAAAGTCACGCATCATCAGTCGAACATAATCATTTAATTCCGTCTGCAAAATCATGGTTGGCTGGGTTTCTGATGAATGATCTCCATTAAACCTTGGCATTGGTATGGTCTTTTCTCCCTCATCATTACATTTTCATTGTCAATATGAAAAAGAGGCCTCTGTTTCGCAACATGAGGTAGGAACGGAATGATATTCTCCCACTGAAACAAAGCAGATCTTTTCCCGAGTTTCAAAGCGCACCACACCCCCAATACAGTCCCACATGTAAAAATCAGCGTTGGTCCAAAACTCAAAACGCACAAATAAACAATAAAAAGACAAAATATAATAGTAAATATTCTTTGTCTTGTACTAAGACTGATCATATAATTCCTCAAAATGTTCAGTCTTACAATGGCTTGGTTTGCAAACTCCATACTTCATTATTATGGCAGATAAAACACGAAATACAAAGAAAACTTCCAACTTACGAATGCGTCCATAAATCAACAGATGTCGATAACTTAATTAGTTTGTATCAAGGCACAGTGTTAATTTAAGTTGTTTAACAATGCCTGTTTACTCATTATAATTTCATAAAGTCGGGCAAAATTATATATTAATCAGATTATAGTACCATCAATAATGAATTATAATGCCAGAATATATATATAATTGCTATGTAAACTTTCCTTATTTAAAACAAACTTTGAGCGCTTTCCTATAGACTATCATCATTATCATGGCCATGGGTATTGTCCTACGAACTATGGTATTGTCTTACCGTCAAAAGCGAGGTCGTAAAAAATGACAATGGGAGCGTGAATTTCCCGACCAAGGCCAAGGGCAAGGTTAAGGTTTTCATGATATCACGATCACATGTCAATTGAAATCAGTTCTGACCTACCCATGTTTCTCTTCTGAGTGCAAGTCAACAACACCCACCGTTAGGCCTATATATGCCTTCTTATCATCCATCATTTTATAAAATTCCTCTAAGTCCCCCCCCCCCCCCCCCCCCCCTCCTCCTCCTAGCTCCGCGCCTAGCTCGAAATCGTCTTCCTCCTCCTCCTCCTCCTCCTCCTCCTCCTCCTCCTCCTCCTCCTCCTTCTTTCTTTCTTTCTTTTTCCCTTTTCAAATTATCTAAAAGGTAATGGTGCGTCCATGATAATTACCACCAGCACTAATCCCACTGGCACTGCATGTGTAATTAAGCTATCGTATAAATTTGAACATTTATATAGGCCTATTTAGAAAGAGATTAGAAACTATCATCTCGTCTTTAAATTCTTCGATAATGGCAGATTCCTTCAAACCCCAATCTAATAAATCGGAAAACATCTAGATCTATGGGGATTTGGTATAAAGATGTGTTGGTATGCGCCCCCCCCCCCCCCCCACCTGCTCTAGCGGAAATATAGGAGCACCTGGGAAATCTGAGAACTATAAGCTGATCATATACAATAATTTCCCCGAAAGTTTCTAAAATTCTTTTAATTGACAAATAGCCTATATGAATGTTTTTTTTTTTTAATAATTTCATGATATCAACGCCGCGAAGCGATCATCATATCTGCTTTTGTGGAACCACGCCCCCTCCTCACCTCCTCAATGAAGATATCCGAGGCGCACTTACATGTATATACTAGGCCTACTTTTCTTGGGATGGAATTCAATTTTCCGGATGGACATCGGATCTTCGCTACAAGCCTTTTGAAGGTATGTATACTTTCGGCTAATGCGCTGTTAATTAGTCTAATTGCTTTAAAAGGATCGACTTGCAGGTAAATAATTTTAGCTAGTGTGTTTCATCTCGTTCATTATGCCCTCTTCTGGTTCAGTCATTACTAATGAATTTTGTGATGAGAAGACCTTGTATCACCAAGTTGTCTTGGGTTTATTGTTCATCCATGATATACTAAAATCAAGGTACGTAATTAATTCGTTTCATTATGTTCATCGAAAGCTGAATATTAAATCTTTGTTATAGTGCAGTATAGCTGTATGTAGTAGATCTGATCAAGAAATTATTTTTAGGTTGTTCGTATAGGCTGACGCAGTTGCATAGCATAGTTCGGCCATTAAGATATTCGGGGGTGGGGGAGGGGCATTGAAGGAATTTTGGGACTGCTATATTAAATGGATAACATGCGAGAGAACAAGCATATGCCTAAATGTGAAGTCCATCCTACTTATGATGTTCAATTGATTTTGATAGAAGCAGAAAACTTAGAGAAACAATTCAGTAAAAGTTTGAGAAAAATCGGACAACAATTAAGAAAGTTATGTTTGGATCTTTGAGACTTGGAAATGCGGTCAGAAATTGTGATGTTATCCTTTTACAATTCACCACTGATCTGAATGACAGAATGACCCAAAATCTCAAGTCTCCGATTTTCAATGGATGGGGTGCATGAAAGAACATATTACATGTGATATATGATCGAGATAGGCATGAAGAAAATATATCTTTTGATCAAAATGGAAATTAAAGACATTTCTTGCATCCAACAAAGGATAAAATGTTAGGCGGTGACATCAAATTTAGAGACCGCCAATATGACTTCAAAGTTGGTTCTATATAGGGCTTCATCTCGGATGAAAATACGTATGCCAAACACTGATGGAGAAAGAGAATTTAAAAAAATTCATAAATACAAAAGAAAGAGGAAAATATAAATTTGAAACAGTTTAGAGCAATTAAAAATGAGACAAATTATTCCCTTTCACATCTCCACTCAAGTCCACCCTGATATTCAGTTTTTTTAATTCAAGGAAACAAATGAGAAAAACAGATCAGTGAAGGTTTAAAGCTTATCAACACTAGTGTGGCTAGGAGGGATTAGAACACACACGACGGGTCACTGACAGATGGTTATCTCATCAACTCAGCTCTCAAATAATATAAGAAATAGAGGATCATTGGGGACCAACAGGCACCGATTGGGGAAGTTTTCTATATAGAGGGAGCAAGTAGCTACAAGTAGGACAGTCGGACTATGAAATTCACAAGAGCTTTGAATTGTCAATAGCAGAAACGGCCTTCTATAATAATAATAACCATAATAATAATTTTTTTAAATATATATTGATTTGAGTTTAAGCTAGGCATGTGCAGAAAAAGAATGCAAGAAACCCACCAGTCCACCCCCTCCCCCCCCCCCCCCACAGCATCCTCCCCAAATAAATAGTCTTCAAAAGACTATAACCGAGCCTGTTTGCATTCTTTTTATTTTTTCTTTCTCTTTTGCGATGCTATAGCAAATAACTCCACATTAGTGGTTTTCCATTTCATTTCCCACTTATCTGAATACAAAGCCTTGTAATGTCATACACGGATATGCATCTAAGATGTAATTAGTTAAACCGACACTAATGGTATTTACTCAAGCAGTATAATGCGTCGAGGTTTATTTCCCCTTCTGATATCCCCGCAACCACTCGGGTAGATTGTGTTTGCATTTATCTGGAAGAAGGCGCCTTTTAATTTTTTGTTTTCAGATCCCGGGTAGCACTTGTAGTCGTAGGTATCATGATAAAGATAAATTAATTGCTGGACAATACTAAGATAAGTCGTCGGCTGCCCTCAAGATGGTCGTGAGAGCTTTGCATTGTCAATAGCAGAAACAGTCTTCTACCGCGCAAGCGACGAAGTGTCAGAATCAACATACGGCCGTTATCATAACGATATGAAGGAAAAACTACTAATTTAGATGTCTCCATTAATTCTCTCCTTACTATATACAATTCATCAACATTTTTGCATGCTTTCAATGCACCTTTTCTACATACGGCAATATTGTTTTATTCAATAATGTTATATTAAATAAATAAAGAAATAGAAACACTATATGAAACGGAAATAAACTGAATAAACGGAGAGATAGCGCTTCTTGAAACTCCCTGATATCGATATAATGACATATGACAGGGGTTACCAGACCCACGAGTTACAAGGATTGCTTCATTAGAGCGTGAAATATAGCAATTTTCATCTTTCTTTTTTAAAATCTTTCTGTGTAATATAATATAATATAATATAATATACGATAGTGACACAGGGATGAATTGATTCAGACTGTTCAATACAGTAAAAAGCCAAAGGAAAGAAAGATGTTATAAATGGAAATAGTCTAGAATCTTTATATATTCGGGTCGTTTCGATGACTGACTTTTATGTAAACTTTACGATGTGGGAGCCAGTAAATTTCGCGGTAAAGTGCGCTTGGATGGATCTGGACACGCAGGAAGTTTACAGTAACAGATCGTGCTGGAATTAAACCATGTCACTGATACTACAGTTCGTTTATTTTTTCGTTGCTTGTATTGCCAAAGTGGCCGATCCAGGAGGCACGGGGAGAAGACACGCCCCCTCCAGCAATCCTCTCCAGCATCCCCTCTTGCAATAATTAATCCTCCTCCAACAAAACCCCAAATCAGAAATATTGCAAGCACAAAAAGTAAATATATGCCCCTCTCAAAGGACACCTTAAATTTTGTAACCGCTTCCCCTTGCTTTTTAGAGAAATTTAACTTTTTAAGTAAAATAAAAACATAAATTGCTTGTTTATTTTGTATGGCGTGGATATTTCGGACATGAACCTCCCCCCCCCCCCCCCCCCCCCCCCCTAATCGGAGGAGCCTGGTTTCGCCTCTAATAATAATATGGGCTGGACGTTAGTTGGGGACTTGGCAGGAATGCACAGGTGTACAGATCTTAAAATATCTAAGTTTATCCTTTCAAAGCTCTTCTCCTTCCTGCAGGAAACATTCAAAATGGATATAAGTTCTGAAGCCTGCATGTCTTTCTGGAAACTATTCAGCAAAAGGGGTGAATGCCCGAGGTGTAATAGTATTTTTCTCTCTATTTGGTTCACTTACAAAAATCTTACATAACCCAAGCACGTAAACCAGAGGTATATAACGGAAGAATATGTTTATCACAACGACTGGTCTATAAAAAGACGTGTTGACTCAATCTAGATAACCGAGAACTACGACAGCTCCTCTCATCATTGAGGGGAAGATATCTATAAACAACCTGAGGAAAACGTCTTCTGTTTTTTGTGAATTTGTCGTCACTATTGCTTTGGCTGGATGAATGTGAATCAAGCAACCCAAAGAGTAGTTCGCACGAGGGTTCGTCCTTTTCTGTTATAAGTTTGTAACATCGAGATCGAGAGCGCATCTAATACCTGACATCAAAGACATTAGTTTTGTCGTCGAGGTCTGATGTCGATGGCCATCTATTTTGTCTTTTACAGGAATAAAGTAACTACACCAGTTTGAAAGGAAGAGGAAGAGACTAACAAAGGTGTGGAGTCAAAGACATGCTGCTGGTGGAAAGGGATACATATCTAGCTGATAGGTAAATTTGCTTCGACATTGAATTATTAAAGAGAAATGTACTTAGATTATTTTTTTAATTATGTGTCTAAGTCCAAGTGAAGCTAGACATTTTTGTAACTGTATCGCTTTCATCTTTCATCATCCAACATTCGTTTGTTTTACTGGTAGAATGTCTCACTTTGATGGGGATGAAAATTTAGTGCGTGTGATTATGATTCATTTTGGACCAATGATTATTTTGAAAGCAGTTAATCTGTTTTCTATTCAATCTTCGGTGCGTTACTCCAGATAAGACAGATCCGTATGGCTATATATAGGAACAACAGGAGATAGAGAGAGAGAGAAAGAGAGAGAGTGAGAGAGAGAAGAGAGAGAGAGAGGCTAGACAAAGAAAGGGAGAGAGAGAGAGAGAGAGAGAGAGAGAGAGAAAGAAGAAGAAGAACGGCGGAATTGTTTATGATATCAAAGCGAATCTTATGCATTTCTATCCTTTACAACATTTTGATTAGCATTATGTGGAATATTTCGTATTTATATTCAACTGCAACGGTGAGACACTAATCGGAATATAGTCGGAAATAAACTTTGCAATCGCAATCAAGGAATAAATATACTAATCGGTCTTAAGTTTCTTAATCATTATAATCCTGTCTCCTAAATGTAATCAAATTATGGAATGTAACGGCGCAATCACAGTGGTACGTTTATGTACAATTTTATTTTATCGAAATTATCGCCCTTGTTGTCAAGTTTCAGTATAAAGGTATTATATTTAATGTATTAATTTGATGTAAGCAATATAGTAATGTATCATTAAGTTTCATTGGCAAACAATCAACAACTCGGTACCTCCAAACAAATTTCCAGGTGACATAATCTTCTCGTTATAAAATCGAGGAAAACTATTTCCTACCACTTAGAAGTTTATATTGAACTCTGTAAATTATATTTGAATGTGATATAGCCTTTTCAAAAGAATAGTCTAAATCAAGCTATCTAAGGATGGAATATGTCAAGTAGCGGGCCTATATTAATTTTGCCTTCGGTTTTTAGATACAGATATAGATATAAAGATACGGTTATTTTTTCCATCACACTTTACTATATTCTCCTTTAGACTTCAAAGCTGTCAGTTATTTCAAGCAACTGCATAAAATGTGCTCTCTTTTATTTTCATTTGAAATTAAACCATGATATACTTAAAATAATTAAGAAAAGATGCAATTATTTGTATAATAATAAAAAAATTAAAAAAACCAATCATTTAATGTTGGCCTCGCTATGAAGGGGGTGGGGGGGGGGGGGGGGGAGGGACATTGACCGGTGTTTCGGAAGGGGACATCGGTTCTAGATGACTCAAATTGTGGGAGTGGTCTTTTATTAACTTGGTTGCCCTCTCCTCCCCCCTTCCCCTCTCCACTTGTTTTTTCTTGATGTATATCATTCTATTCTTCTCCTTCTTCTTCTTCTTCTTCTTCTTCTTCTTCTTCTTCTTCTTCTTCTTCTTCGTCGTCGTCGTCTTCTTCTTCTTCTTCATCTTCTTCTTCTTCTTCTTCTTCTTCTTCTTCTTCTTCGTCGTCGTCGTCGTCGTCGTCTTCTTCTTCTTCTTCTTCTTCATCTTCTTCTTCTTCTTCTTCTTCTTCTTCTTCTTCTTCTTCTTCTTCTTCTTCTTCTTCTTCTTCTTCTTCTTCTTCTTCTTCTTCTTCTTTCTATTTCACACGAGGCTCATGTAGCTACGTACGCCACTGTTTCCTCAGTGTATGACGTCTATCCAAAATACATCATGGAAAACAAATATGCGTATGGTTTACCTGCAATACAGATCTACCTTCAGAAATGCAGTTTTAAAAGTGAGGTGGCATTTTTAACGTTCAGCAATTAAGAAACGTACACCTCTGTTTAAACTAGCCCGTTGCTCCCGCAAAGACGACAGTTTGTAAACAGTATAACGACCTGGGAAAAATACAATTAGCTTACTGTGTTCTCCGAATTCATGACCATGAATAAAAAGGTTATAGCAACGGCGACCAGTCGATCAAAGGTGTTTGTTACATTTAAAATGGGGTACTTAGAATTTTATGAGTTCTGATATTACCTGGCAACTTGTCTTGTCGTTGCTTTTCATACGACGTCGTTTACTTTTGTTAATTGCTAACAAAACTGTAATGGTTAACTGTGTCGATGAGATAGAAAAACATGATAAACATAGAGAAGAGATAAAAAGAGAGAGAGCATAAGAGACGGAGAAAGAGAGAGAGAGAGAGAGAGAAAGAGAGAAAGAGTGGGGATGCATTTAAGATGATGCGTCTTTACCCCTCTAAAACATTTTGTTAAAAGAACAAAAAGGATGTTTAAGGAAAGTATTGTCAAAGAAGTGAGCACTATTCACAGCTACTTCTCACAATCCATTCAATGCTAAATAGATACAGAATAATTATCGTCATGTTCTGCATCTTCAGACTGTTTTTAATTTCTCGTAAAACATGACATGAAACATCATTGAACTGTTATAAATTTCAGATGAGATTTGTACGGGAGAATGTACTCTTGATATTTGCAAATTAAACCGAGGATACTCAAGAAAAGAACTAGAACCATAGATTTACGCAGAGAGTTGTCTAATTACCCCCCCCCCCCCCCACCCTATGAATACTTGAAGTTGCTAGCACAGTTTGATTGAGAGAGAGAGAGAGAGAGGGGCTCCCTCGATCCGGGAACGTTTTGTGCAAATGATTGTCATCTCTTATTTGACGAGAAGAGGAGAATCCTTGCCAAGAAGTAAACGTGTCCTAGGATTACGTCATAATGAGCCATTAGTTTTAATTTGCTTCGGCATTGTGCAAACTTCCATGTTAATGACAGTACTGTCGTGCTTAATTTCATTATCCATTCGTTTTGTTTTACGTTATGATGTCCATCAGAAAGGATCGTCTCTAAGAGAATAATTGGTATAACGGTCATTTTTTATTCCATGTACTTAGTGTAGATTTGTGGATCATGGTTCTGTGTTCGTGGTGTTTATGATGATCTTACTCCATCTCTCTCTCTCTCTCTCTCTCCGGCTCTCTTTCTCACTCATTCCATCATAACAGCTCAACCATGATTATACCTTAGTTTTCCTCTCCCCTTTTTCAGAACTGGACAGGAACGATGGCATATCCATTCAATGCAAGCATCAGTGCTTCTTCTGTTGTTGGAGCCCAAGCTTCCAGTCTTCACCAATCCAGCATGAAGGAGCAGCGCAAACTGGAAGAGAATCTTCAATCGTTGTCCAAAGAAATGCGGTCTCGCATGAGCCAGCTGGACTCGGAGACCAATGAGATGCGTCGCCACTCCCTCCGGATGTTCGACTCCGTACGACGAAAGGAACACCAGAGAATGACGCGGTCGCGTCAAGAAATTGCGAGTCTACGCGCATCGGAGAGTTCGGATAATATAAACAACGTTGACTCGGGTCCACCTTCGCGAGCGATTTCCGCTGGACGATTGAAAATGACACAGTCGCCGCGCTCCCCGAACAAAAGAGATGGAGCTCAATCGCAGATCGAACTCAGCCGATGTTATTCATCACCGGCATCCATCGACAAACTCGGTCCGATGAGTGCTTTTGACGAGGAACTGGCAGCAGAACCGAAGGGTGACTTCAGTGACGAGAGCATCGCAGCCGACGCAGCATCGATTCCTGTCACGGACCTGCCGAACTTCTGTAACGGCCGAGAACTGGGAATGATCGGGGAAACGATGGGTAAAGAAGATAAGGATGGTAACGCAGAATCTGTGTTTGAGGATCAACACACTCACCAGGCCGTTAGCGGATTCGCCTCATCCCCACTGTTAAATAGAAGACATACACAGACTAACATAAACGTGAAATCGACATCGCATATCGGTGACGAGCGTATTAAATTATTGACGAGGCGTCGGCGTACGTCCGAGATCGTTAAACCGGTAAGTCTTTCAAACACGCCTGGGGTCAAACCATCGAGACGCCACAGTTCGCATGAACCTGCGTTCTTGTCGAACTTCAGTACACGTAGCAGCCAAGAGATATTGTTGCATCGCACATCATCTATCTGTTAACTTACCACCTCTACCTCATCCACCTGTCACTGGACAGCGCACTTCTTCCGACAGTCAAATGATGTCTCCGCCTCTGTCTCCCCACGAGTCAACGCGCAGCGTCTTTGGTGCTCGTCACAACGCACCACTTCGACGCGCATCTCGCTCCGAATCTTCCTCTTGTATCATGAAGCAAACCTTTGCCTCGACACCTCGACGGAGCGTGTCGCAAGTCGTCGGTGAGTTGGTGCACATCGAGGAAATCCGTCGTCAATCCAGAGGGACGTCCCTGCACGATGATGTCCGCAAAGCTCGAGGAGCGTTGCAAGGCAACAGGTCGTTCCCATTCAGCAGCTCGCAACGAGGTGATGTTGCTTGCGCCTCCCTGTCCAAGACGCAATCCCTCGGGGACATTTTTGACGAATTGAAAGACTGCCGATATTTACGGATCTCGAACCAAGATTCGACGACTTAACAGCAACGGTGACATTGCAATAAAGACCGGATCAATCTTTATTACATTTTGTCGACCGACATTATCCGCAAAAGTTTTGATACACTTACCGAAACTAAATTATTTTGATTTTTAAAGTTGTAGATCGCAACATCATACATTGTATTATTTTAGCAAATAGTTTTTTGTTTCATAATGTGGTAAAAACTTGATTATTTTTAAATGAGCATATTAACGGAATGTTTATACATGTATTCAGTGATTGAACTGAATGTAGACTTAAATTTTCGATTAGATTGTATCACAATGTGAAAGAGAATGTAATTTAAGACAAATTTCTGCTGCAAAGATTTTCCCCAAAATGTGTTTGAAGTCAAATATTGATGAGAAAGACAAAATTTACGCTTTCTGCGAACAACAAAATACCCAAATTGTTATTTTAGCAATATTTGTCTTCAAACACATTTTTTTTTTTTTTTGGGGGGGGGGGGGGGTGGGGGAATCTTTGCATTATAATACAATTTTCACATTATAATACAATTTAAGTGAATGTTTGCCATCAATTTTTTGACGAATTTGGGGCACCCAACACTTTCGAGAGGCTTTAAAGCCCATCTGCACCATGATCTGCACTAGTTTGACAAGGAGGGATTAGACCTCTCTGCATGGTCACTGACAGGTGGTTATCTCATTAATCAGCTCTCAATTAGCATAAGAAAAGGGGAGCATGGGGGACCAATGATCACCGATTAGGCATTGCTTGCTATTTAGAGGGCGCAAGAATTTTTAGAGAGTTATACGCTTCACATTTTCTGTATCTACACAGAACTCAGTGAAAACGCGCAAGCCTTCTATTGCACGCAGTTGCTATTCATGTTACAAGTTAACAAAAAACAAAAACAAATCATCGACGGCTTTTTTTGTGTTGGTTGACCGTGCCATATCTGAGCAAGCCTTTAATATGAGCAAAGGAAAAGGATATTGTGTCCATCCTTAAGAACCACATGCGTACGATTTGATAGCCGAAAACTTTCTTCTCGATGGCCTTGAGGGCTATACTCAATATATGTAATTACACCGGTGTGTTAATTTAGTCTTGCCAAATTTTTTTGATGACGTTTTTCGTTTTTATTTTGATATTTGTTTCATTTACGTGTTTTTATAGAGTTTTATAGTTTTATAGATGTGTATTAAAGGTAGAACGAAGAGCTTAAATTGACAAGACAAGTAAAAAGAAAAGTGTGGTCATTCGGTAGCAAAACATATATATATATATATAATATAGGTCTGTATCCGTTGATCAAGATTTTGATAAAATAGGTAACATAAGTAAAACATAATAGTACAGATTTGAGTAGGGAACTTACAGGGGGGCCGACCCCCCCCCCCCTCCACCCCCGCCCTGAAGAGAATTAGAGGGATAATACATTAATACCTCTCGCCGACAATCTTAGACCCACCCCATGTTCCTGGAATAAATCATTCCTGGTAAGTAGGAAGGACATGGATTTACTTCTTTCCGTTAAGCTTAAATTTAAACCACCGAGATTTCACATGATTGCCTAACTGAAAGAACAAAATGCTTTCCGAAAGGATCATATATATTCTGAATAGCCGATATGAAGAAATACTTCTATATATCAAAGGGAGACATACGTTTATTTTACTTATTTATATTCTATTTAAGGTTGGCCCATAAGTAATTAAATGCGCTTGTCCTTGGGGGCAATACAAAGTACCCCTATAATTGTGTTATATTATATGGAGAAATTCGGGATAGCATATTTAAAATAAATTGAAACGAATAAGATATGAAATTAATTCATATTAGAGGGTCAAAACTAACATTTTTAAAGACGCAGCGGGATTAAATGTCGAAAGAATTGCATTCTGACAGCTGTTGGAGCCTGGGTTCACTAGACCAGTAGCCAATTAAGAGACAAACAATTTTCTTTTAATCTTCCTTCATACTGTTTAACAGTTATTAATGTATTTTTCTGTTTTGTCGGTCTCATGAGCCGTCGGTCCTGTGGAACTTTTTGACCTTTTCCAGTATATATTTTCCTATGTATTTCTTTGTTCTGCCGGTTGAAACGGCCGTCGGTCTTGTAAACCCTCCCTTTTTTTTTCCTCTCTCTAAATTTCGGTCTCTTTTCTACCGTCGGTCTAGTGTGATATTGAAATTTTAGGATGATCCTATGTCATTTTCATAGCCAAAAAAAAAGGTGTGTTATTCTGCTTTACATTGAAATGGCAATTCTACAACAATCATACAAGGTTGATCATGTTTATTACAATGGTATAACAGGAAGCACTTAGTGATGCATATTGTCATAGCAACAAGGGTTCTCACGCTTGTGTATTGTGTTCTTCCCCACCACCCCCCCCCCCCCCTCCTGATATCTAGCATGTAAAAAAAAATCATCCATGCTAGCAAAACAATTGTTGAATTTGTAATGTTTGAGTCTCTGACACACTGTAGAAGTCGCATGCCTGATACTTCCTGCCATGGTGGCGCCCTATAGCTCTTGACAATGGACAGTGAGTTAGTCGATTAAGGTATTGAGATTTCAATTGAGTAGATTTCTCGAAAGTCTTTGCGATCTTTTTTACAATTATATTAGACAGAAAATGCTATAAATATTATATGAATGTCAAGTTCGTCAAACTGAACCAAAGAGATTGAAAATAGTTTCAATCACATATTCCGAATAAAAAAAGATAATACAATAGTCAAGTGCGATCTATATTTTTTCCTTATTTTGTAAGGTCTAACGTGAAACATGTGCACACTTTTGAGTTTAACATTAGGAGAGGTAGAAGGGACAGAGGGAAAAGGGGACAAAATAAACAACAAAATCACATCAATTCGTAAAAAATTATGCCTATATCCACATTTTTGGATTAGAATCAGATTAAAGAAGAAACAAAACAAGTCCAAAGTGAGTTCAGTAAGTTCAAAATTACTAAATAGGAATGTGGGAGAGGTAGAAAGAAAAAAGGACAGGGGTGGAGGGAGAGAGGGTGTGGTGACCTACCTATAAGGGCCAGAATGTTCATGAGATGAAAGGAAGACGTGTGATATATTGAGAGACATAGAAAACAGAAACGAAGAGCGATAAAAAGAATGATAAGAGAGAGAAAGGGGGAAGAAAAAGAAAGGGAGGGAGAGAGAGAAAGAGAGAAAAGAGAGAGAGAGAGAGAGAGAGAGAGAGGGGGAGAAAGAGATAGAGAGAGGAGGAGGAGGAGGACTACCTCTAATTGAAGCGTTGTGCTGAGTCAGAATGTTCAAGAGATGAAATGAAGAAGTGTGATATATTGGGACAAAGAAAACAGAGATGGAGAGCGATATAAGGAATGATAAAGAAGGAAATGCTAAGAGAGAGAGAGAGAGAGAGAGAGAGAGAAAGAGAGAGGGGGGACCAGGCGCGGATCCAGGGGGGCCGAGCGTGCCTTGGCCCCCCCCCCCCCCGCAAAAAAAAAAAAAAAAGGAGAGAGAGAGAAAAGAAGGGAAAGAGGAGAGAAAGGGGAAAAAAGAAGAGAAGAAGAAAAGAAAGGGAAGAAGGAGATCGAGGAAGGGAAAAGAAAAGAGGGAAGAAGGAGATCGGGGGGGGGGAAGGACTTGCCTCCCCCCCCCCCCAATAAAAAAAAAAGAGAAGGAAGGAAAGGGAAAGAAAAAAGATAAAGAGGAGATAAAGGGAAGGACAAATAGGAAGAAGAAAAGAAAAGAAGGGGGATATCAGTTGCAATTTTCCCGCCAACAAGGTGTAGATCGGAGGGGGGGGGGGCACTGGCATACTGAAAGGGGAGGGGGGGTTGGAGAAATATAATTCAAACGTGGTTTATTTATAATTCCATAACGGTGGTTAACAAATAATGCTGAAATGATAATTTTCCTCACTTCATGCGTTTGTTGGAAAATGACAAATTCCTAAATTTACAGTCAGGCAAGAAAATGCTTCTTGAGAAGCCTACATATCAGGGCCTGCGGAACGGCGGGGATCGGGATCCTCGAGCCCCTCCCCCACACTTTCTTTGAAAAAGTATATTAAAGAGAAATAGAAAGAAAGAGAGCGAGAAAGAAAAAAAATGTTAAGTGCCAGTGTCACATTATAATGGGGTATCAAAATATGCTCATCTGACCATGATTAAAATTAATGCCTAAAATCCTAAGGGTTCTGCCCCCTGGATTCCACCTAGGGCCCTAAGGCGGGCCCTTAGATGCTCATATGACGGTCATTTAATGCCTAAAACCCCTGATTTCTGGGGGCTCTGCCCCCTGGACCCCACGCCAAATAGTGTCCTGCTAGTGTCACAAATAATAAGGTATCAAAAATGCTCATCTGACCGTAATTAAACGCCTGAAACCCCTGAGCTTCTGGGGGATCTGTCCCCTGGACCCAACCAAGAGCCCTTAGGCGGGCCCCTCGATACTCATCTGACCGTAATTGAGTGCCTAAAACCCTTGAGATTCCGGGGCTCCGCCCCCTGAACCCCAAGCCAATTAGTGACCTGCCATTGTAACAATTAGGTATCAAAATAATGCTCATCTGACCGTAATTAAATGCCTAAACTCCTGAACTTCCGGGGCTCTGCCCCCTGGACCCCGTCTAGGGCACTAAGGCGGACCCCTGAATGCTAATCTGACCGTAAATTAAAACCTTAAACCCCTGAGCTTCCGGGGCGGACAAGGTATCAAGATATGTTTATCTGACAGCAGGCGCGTAGCCAGGAAAGCGGTGGGGTGGTCCCCCAATAAACGCCGGCCAAAAAAGAGAGGAGTGTAAAGGAAGAGGACGTAGGAAGAAAAGGGAATAGACAAAGAACATATTTGAAATTCAGACAAGGATTAAGAGTCGAGAACGGTACAACGAATCGTCTTCTTTCTCTAATGAATTAATGAAACGTCAAAGCTTCCGCGCTACGCGCGGGGGAGGGCAGGGGGAACTTAATTCAGACGAGGATATTTTTTGGGAACGGTACAACGAATCGTCTTCTTTCTATAATAATGTAATGAAACTTCGAAGCTTCAGCGCTTCGCGCGGAAGGGGGGGGGGGGGGATTGATTGAGACAAGAATTAAGAGTCGAGAACGGTACGAGGAATCTTCCTCTTTCTCTAATGATTTAATGAAAAGTAAAAGCTTCCGCGCTTCGCGCGGGTGGGGGGATGAATTAAGACGAGGATTAAGAGTAAAAAACTGTACAACGAATCGTCTTCTTTTTCTAATGATTTAATGAAACGTAAAAGCTTCCGTGCTTCGCGCGGGAGGGGAAAAACTATTTTCAGACAAGTAGGCACGTACGGAAGGGGGGAGGGGGTTAGGGGGTTGACCCTCCCCCCTTCGGTTTTTTATGTGTGTATTTTGGAGCAACCCCCCCCCCCCCCCCCCTTTCTGTAATTTTTTTTTTTTTTTTAATTTAAAAAAATAAAAAATAAAATATGCCAATTGCTGACCTAAAAATGGTGACCTCACCCCCCCCCCAACGGAACAAAATGTCAAATTTTCAAATTTCGAGACCAAAAAAAAAAAGTGTCCTCTCCCCCCCCCCCCCCCCCCGCTTATTTAGCGGCTGGCAGAGTCGTTACGATTTTTTTTTCGGACCAAAAAAAAAAAGTGAGCCCCCCCCCCCCCCCCCCCCCCTAAGACATCCTGGATCCGCGCCTGGGGGGACCTACCTCTAAAATTGAAGCGTTGTGCTGATCCAGAGATGAAATGAAGATGTGTGATATATTGGAACCAAGAAAACAGAGATGGAGAGCCATATAAGGAATGATAAAGAAGGAAATGCTAAGAGAGAGAGAGAGAGAGAGAGAAAGAGAGAGGGGGGACCTACCTCTAAAATTGAAGCGTTGTGCTGATCCAGAGATGAAATGAAGATGTGTGATATATTGGAACCAAGAAAACAGAGATGGAGAGCGATAAAAAGGAATTAAGGAGATAATTATAAGTCGTTCCATTATTTGTTCTCCCTTGTTATTTTACTTTTTTTCCATTCTCACCTTGAACTTCTCTAAATTGTTGGTAATTTTTTTTTTCATGGGTAAAAACGAATTATTTAACAATTTTCTTGGAAGCATTAAACATTATTTTTGTTAAATGTAAAATTTAACAAGGACACGAACATCTATCTAGCTATTTATCGAATTCGTATCTATTTATCTACATGTAGAATCCCTGTCGAGACTATAATCTATATTTATAATTAATATATCATCTTCATCATCTCCACTCTTCACTTAATTTTCCTTTCAAACACAAATGTGAAATGATCTGTAGATACAATTTGCAGGCATCTTTCATCAGGGTAATGTATCACGCGTCCAATGAGTAATTTACCGGTACCGCGAGCCCGCGAGTCTAGGTTCCCCCTCTAAACTTTCTATTTATCTATCTACCATGTACCTACCTACCAATCTATCAATCCATTTATCTATATATCTATATTTCTTCCACCTGACCTCTCTTTTATAATCTGCTTTCTCATTCAATCCTTCCCGGATTTATTATTTGGTCGAGTTTAAATGGTCCCTAGATAAAAGAACAAAGTTAAAACGATTTCCTTTATTGTCCTTTCTCCCGGATACCATACGTAAATAAAAATGACCTTTTGCCTGAATCCCAAACACACGCCGATTGCCATAACGACGGCGTGTATGTGGCTGCGTGGCTATGCATGTACTGTGTACCGTCTTGTGTGTGTACGATGTGTGTGTATAATAATTGATTGGTTGTCTAATGCTGTATACAGGTGCAATGGCGCGGCAGGTGCGTTGCATAATGTAGAATGGTTTTTATGTTTTGACTGTTTTGTGATAATATTGCTGGAAAATGTTCCTCATGCTGTAAGATAAACCTGCAAAACCGCTTCGGATCGGACGTCAGAGAAGCACATATCAAGGAGAAAAGCAGGTAGACACCGATTTTAGAAACATTTCACTCTGCCGCACGGCACGGATCAATTTCTCAAGGACTCCGTCTCCGAAGTAGGGTCGCTGTGGTGGGACGCGGGCCACACTCCGCATAGACTGACACAGAGAACCGCTAGCTGAGATTTTACAAAAACTGCCGGGGATAACAAACTAGAAGAAGATGTCTCACGTAGATTCTGGGTAAGTTCAGAAGACTGTAATCAAATTAATAAAGCATAAATAACTAGTTATGTTTTTATGGAGGATTCTGTAGAAAGTAGACCCTAGATCTAACTTTTTAGATCTAGACTATTCCATTTGGCATTTGCCATTTGGTGACGTTCCTCATTATTCGGCCGTATGCATTTCATCATTTGTGTACGTGATGATTGGTGATACCTCATTTTTCTTCCAAATTTTAAAGTGAGAATTTGCCTTTCCAGACAGTTATATTCCTGTCTAATTCATTTTAGATTTCCTCTGCGTTCCTGATAAGCTCATGTTACAGTACATTAATTAGCATCTTCGTTGAAGCTTGAATGTTGTTTCTGAGTCTGACTTCAGTTTCTGTGTTAGTGTTCTTTTTTTAATTAAGATTTTGAATTTAAACACCATTTTCAAAACTGTAGACACTGGGTGCATTAACTACATTGTAGATCTTCATTTAAACTATTCCAAGGTTCCTCATTCTTATGAAAAGAAAAGGAGGGGAAAAAAAGTTTTTATGTTTCTCAGTGATAGACTTTGGAATGTAAAACTTTGGCTTAACTTTTTACCAAGACCTCTGGTTGACCCATGCATGCAGGCCTAAATAAGTCTTGCACTTCTGTATTTCCTGGAACTCCTGGAAGGAGGTCAAATCTATTGTCTCAAAGTGCTCACAGACATGAGAAGACAGCATCTGCAACATCCACCAAATCATCTCTCAACATGTTGGCCAGCCTACCCCCTTCAGAAACTCCACACCTACTTCCCAGGAGAACCCCGTTTCCGCACCTCGGACAAGCCATCCCAAACAAATGCATATTAGATGTACTTTGCGGCATGTACCGAACCAACCAAAGATTGACTACCTTTTCAAAGGGCTCACAGAGTCCAGCATGTCCCTGCCTGACAGCGGATAAAACAGTCAACCATTTGATAGGAGCATGTCATCTAACTTTTAGATATAAATATGAAAGGGAAGACTTCATCATAGGGAGATGTGAGTTGGTCTAGCGGCACGTTAACTTGGTCAGGTCTCTGTCTTTGCCCACAAACTGACTCAGACGACCCTGGTACGGTAAAGGTCGGTCCTCAGACGTAAATAGTCATATCTGATTGATGTACATGTATGTCTGTAAAAACCCAGTTGCACACACACACACACCCTTCATCAAGAAAGCTATCAAGAACCCTCTCTTGGAATCAATGATGACCCACCCATTACTGCCTACACCCTGGATTACCATGGCACATCCCTAAAATTCATTCTGTAAATGCACTTAAACATTCTTCTGTGAACAAATCAGCTCAAGTTATTGCATAAGTTGACATTAGCACATCTTGTGATCTTTTACATTTACATTGTATGTACTGGTACCCCTATTATATTGTTTGCCTTTTCTCTATTGATCGACTCACCCTGCTAAAGGATACAACTCTGCAGTTTTCCAAATCTGGAGGAAATCAAGAAGAAGAAGAACTTCCTCTGAATGAAACAATATACTGTATGTTTGTTTCTATTATACATGTACATGTTCTCCTCATGTACATTGTACAATGATAATGTCACTATATACATGTACATGTAGATGTCGGGAGTCTGGGGTTAGTCAACGTTTGCTCATATACGAAATATGAGGCACCCGGATGCTTCACAAAAGTTGTCCTGTGGTTGAAGTTAGATTTTATGAAGCTGGTGCACCAAGTGTGTGTAGGCAAGTATCATTACATACATGTACGTGTATTTGCCATTTTTTATACATTTTTAAACACACTCTACATTACATGTAGACCCATGCAGATTTGATATTATTTTGAGGCAAGCCTCCAACAGGAGCCAGTACTCTATTGAAAGGGAATTGAACAAGCAATTGTTTGTGAACACTGCAAGGGAGGATTCAAATTTCCAGACAGTGCACAGAATGCTTCACAAAGTAGCCAAGTTGTGGTTATACACCCTGTAGTTAGATTTGATACAGCTTGTGCACCAAGTAAGCATGCAAGTACAGGTACAACTAAATACATGTATTTGCCATTTATACTCTACATTACATGTACCGTTGTACCCATACAGCTTTGATATTCTTTAGAGTCAATTAAGCCGCTCAGAGGAGCTAGTAGTGACAATTACTCTATTGAATGGGGAATTGAACAAGAGAATGCTTGTGAACAAGGGAGGATGCTTAAAACCCCAGACAATGCCCATGATTGTACATACATGTATATACATGTATATGAAAGCCTACATTCAGTTTGTACATGTACATTAGATTCAGTGAGTGAGTAACATAGTTACGTAAAGTAAAGTGTAACTTACTGAGGTTGAGGGGTTTTGCTGATATACAGTATATAGATGTAGGAAAATGTACTGATACATGACAAGTGTTTGGATCAAGCAATAAATGTTTCAAGTCAACCATCGAGCCAAGTACTGTACATTACATGTAGATATTTTAGTACCAGATGATACTGTGTGCAAATGTACAAATATACATTTATGTCACACAGTTGTCCATTTTGTCTCAACCACTAAGATGATTTAGAATCGTATCACTACCAGTAACATAATGTTCGAAGTACAAATTATTCTAAATCAACTTTAATAATCAGATAAGTAGTTAATACATGTACTTGTGCATTAAAGATGAAGTTGAGTTCTGGTCATGCGGTTGCAAACGGTGTGGAATCGACCAGAAAAGGTTGATCATCTGTACACAGAAAGATGTATATGGGACTACATGAACACATGGCGTAAAAATCCTACCCTGGATTTTTACGATGTTACATGACATATTAAGAATATGAAGGCATTTGAAGAGCCATGCTTTTCAGGGAACATATGTCTTATCTGATGTTCTTCCACACTTGCATGATAAGAATGATAACGCTCACAAATTATTTTTCACCTCTTCCCAGAACTCAACCTTATTTTTAAACTTATAAAAGATGAACAAAATATTTCTTCATTATATAAAAAAGAAGAAAATTAAATGATAATCCAGCCTACATACACATGTACTGTATGTAGATAACAAATTTCTGTAGAAAAAAATCAGAAAATCAGAGAAGGATAGGCCTACTGGCATTGAAATATGACAAAAATGAGAAAATTAAATGAAAAAAAAGTTGCAATCACTATCAATGTACTACATGTAGGCATATACTTATCAAATTGGCTTTATCAATAATGTCTCTGTAATGTAGTGGCGGACAACCCATCTGTTCCAACACACAAAATGACTAAAAATTTGATTTTCAAATATTTCTGATTTTGAATGGTCTTCCTCTTTAAAGGATCTACCGGTATACTCTCCAGTCTCCATTAGATACTTTGGAGAAAAACATGAATTAGTGATATTGTTGTACACAACAAATGGGAGAGTTACAATCCATCAATACGGTCCAATCAACTGCTCTGACAAAAGTGCCAATTTGAGATTCGCTTAGCTGTAGTGATCTCATATTTCACATTCATTCACGTTCCTTTCTAATTATTTCAATCTTTTGCCATTCTGTTTCTTGGATATTTCTGCTTCATTCAAATTAACTTATTACTGTACATGTATAAGGGTTGGATTGCCCTTAAGGGCATTGTTTAACAATGTTATATCTGAGATGCACGGCCCTACATGTACATGTACATGTTATCAGTGTCTGTGATATGGTGTAATATTGAAGCCCTAAAAAAAAATGGCGCTTCAAAATGATAAAGAAGTGCCTCAAAAAAGTAAAAGTCTTTGAGTGACTATTCCCAATCATAAATCTTGATGATCAGACGGGCGATCGGCTTGTAAAAGTCATGGGGTTCCTGACTGACCTAAAAGTTCATAAATATTGCAGCATGAGCTAAATCCAGGATTTTGTTTCAGAATCTGAGACAAAGTTACTGGATCCCTTATTTTCTTTAAAGAGCACAAGTAGTATTTTTAAATGTAAAGGAAAAAAGAAGAATTTCTTCTTTTGGCTTGCAATGAAAACCACAGAGTTATCAATTTCTGTAGAGATATTTTAAAATTATAAGTAATGGGCACTGACAACCTCCCTAGAAGTTAGAACACACTGTCAGAGAAAGCAATTCACATTTGAATATACTGTACACTTTACAAAAGCAGAATAAAAGAGTTATACATTTATAGATCTATGCAGATTTAAACATTTTAGGAAAGTTATCCTAGATTATTCATTTAGCTCAGTTAAAAACACATTGTTTGCATATTGTGTGGAGATCTGTTGATTCCACATTTCTTTTAACATCCATTTCCCCAGAGAAACCAGAGTTCCTCAGTACTACATGTACATGTTCAATCTAATCGCAACTCCCTTGTATGATCTTGGTGTTACTGTCAACAACAACAAAAAACAACAGCAAATCATCAAAAACATGATCTCATCAAAATGTACTCCAAGGTACAAAGAAAACCAAAGAACCCCCCTCCCCCCTTAGAAAAAAAGAGTGCAGATAACAGTACAACCGTTTAGTGTACAATGTGCAAAGTACATGCTGGTGGACCTGCACAATTATAAGTACATGTAAATGTATTTCCAAGGAAGCCAAAACAAACATAAATGTCAATCATATAGAGAGCTACTGTACATATATGTTCATGTGTTAAACTGTAAATAATTCTTATTGATTCAAGCAGTCCATATCCAACAGCCCACTGATGCAAAGGTGTATAGTCGCCATGGAAACATATCTGTGCGTCAGTGCATGGGCCAATTAAATGCTCGGTGGTTGGGTACAAAATAAAGGAAAGCCTTACAGTGTTGATACCGATGCATTCATGTATAATGTACAACTCGACTATACAATTCTGGTGAAGTGAATTAAGTAAATATCTCTTAGAAATGTATTGCACTGTATTCATATTTTGTAACAAAAATACAGTGCATGTGCAATAGATTTATGATATCGTAGAAAAGGCAAGGTTACACTAGCATGGATGGAAAATGGATGCACTTAAATATGTAGAGTAAAAAATAGACCCAATATGTTCAAAATTATAGGTTAACACAACTTAAAATGCTTGTTTAAATATTTTATTGTATTTATCTTCACAAATGGACTGAAATGTACATCATTCTTGCAGGTAAAAAAAAAGCACATCAGTGATACTGATATGATGTTTAACATATCCAGGAAGAGATAATAATAATATGGATATTTATATAGCGCCGGTATCCGCCAGGCTCTGGCGCTCATGGCGCTTAACACAATTATCTGTGGCATACAATGTACAGTACGTGAGCAATCAAGGTTATTCAAAGCACTGTTCATACTTTATTAGATGGAGAATAATTCCAGTTTGCAATGTAAATTTGTATAAAAGAAATGGTTGCATGAAATGCAGATGCAGCTCAGAATGATGACTGATAAGAATTGCTTATTATTATCACTCTTAATACCCCACTTCATCTTCTTCTCCTCCTTTTTTTCTTCTTCCTTCTTCTTCTTCTTTTTTTCTTCTTCCTTCTTCTTCTTGTCATTTCTTCATTTGTCTTTTTTTTCTTTTGTCTTTTTTCTCTTCTTCTTTTTCTCTCCTTCTGTTCTTTCTGAGTATTCTTCTTCCTTTCTTCATTTAAAAAAATAAAAAATAAATTCCTAGTTGAGTTTACATACAGTACATGTACATGTATGAGTATATTTTACTTATTCATCTTTCATCCATGAACCTACATGTACATGTACACAATTTAAATAAATCAAATTTATGATATGAAGTGTAAAATCCTTCATACATGTATTTAATTCTTTGTGCATACCCATGTTCAAAAGGCAATTTCTGTTGAGTTCCAAAGAAGACACTAATACTAATAGCCAAGAAGTTCATTTACCATAACCTACATTAATCAACTGGCAGTATGCAGTTTATACTACGAGTTATACATCTGCCCGACATACTCAGAAAAGATGTTGAGGCAATCGTACATACATACAGATGATGGGCTTCCAGCGCAGTAAACCTACATGTACAAAGCTTCGCTCGTCGTGGCACGCTAATTAGCTACAGTAGCTGGTTTGCCGGCTGGCCGGGCAGAACATGGCACTCGAGGGATATCTCTGAGTGTCCCAGCTTGCGTCGTAATTGCAAATTCATTCAGTGAATATGTCTTGTACTTGAAGTACTCCAAGTGACAGGAAGAGTGAAGTACACAGTAAATGCATCAGAACTACACCTTTTTAAGAGCTCTCTCTCTCTTCTGTGATGCGATATTGCGTTGCCTTTAATGGTTTCAATGCATCTTTAATCTCTGATTTTTGTTGTCTAGCTTTCATCTTCATCTTCATCTGTTCCTTGCTTTCATTGGAAGATCACTCATTCATTCATGGTGATTTATTTGAAGCCGTTACTAGACACCGTGCAGTTGTAGAGCTGCATTTTGCATGATTGGAAAACATTTCTACAGTTGTAGTCATCTTTATATTAATGACTGTATGGAATGTATCTTTACTGTAGATCAGCCACACAAGAGCTTGTTTGCTTTGATCTTCATCTTCTGCTACAATCCAACGCATTCTGCTATTTTACTCTGATCTTTCACTTGCTTTGAGAGCTCTCACATCACTATTTGCATATTATCTTATTTGCTATTGGATTTTGTTTCTTCCTCATCATCACGGATCATTCTCTGCTATGAATCTCTGATCTTCTATTACTTAGCTTGGATCTTTCATCTAGTTCAGCTTTCATTACTGTTTGCATTATAATGTCTTATATTTACCCTTTTGAATATACATTTTGTGGTGTTATTTCCCTTATCTCATAATCTTTGATCTTCAGTCTCTGCTATGAAGCACTGATGCTTTGTTAGTTTACTTGGATTTTCTTTCCAGTGCATTTCTCATTGTTGTTTGCATTATAATGTCTCATTTACTCTTTTGAATATACAGTATCTTTTGTGGCATCATTTCCCTTATCTCATAATCTTCAGACTCTGCAATGAAGCTCTGTTACATGTAGGCCTACAGTAGTTTAATTAAATCTTTCGTTCAAGAACAGATTTGATTGTTATTTGCATGTACAGTGTACATGTAATTTGTTATTTACTCTTCTGAATATACATGTATTCCGTGGTGTTATTTCCCCTTCTCATAATCTTGGATCACCATTCTTTGTTGTCAAAACTCTAATGCTCCGTTATTTCTATCAATTATACATACATGTACAGTAGAACTTTAATCTGTTAGCTTCTTCTGATAATGAAAACAAAAAATATCAACTCTACTATACTCTACGCCTTTAACATTGTTAATTTTAATGTTTCTTATCTTTGAGCACCATGTACCATTCATGTTCAGACATACAGTATGTTCATATCTTAGTCTGATGTATAAATGCACAATATAAACAGATATTTAGTTGATAATAATAATGATAATGGAGTCTTGTACATGTATATAGCGCTATTGTTTGGCATTTAACCACTCCTGGAGCTCTAATTTGTATTAACCTGTCTTTAGCACAGCTGCCATTTTAAGGGATAAATTCTTGCCGGATACCCATTTACCTCACCTGGGTGGAGTGTGGCAAATTGAGATTAATGTCTTGCTAAAGGACGTTAGTGCTGCACCAGGGATTGAAACCCAGTACCCTGTGGTTCATAGAGACTTATCCACACAAAACCTCTCCTGGAAGATACGCTACTGTTCCTTTAAAGATTTTGCTTGAGATTATTCATGAGTTGGTGTAACAAAATAGGGAGGAAGGAATCACTTCTTCCGCCTCATCACTTCCTCCTGTGATTTGCATTTGAAAAGCTTGTCTCCATCTCCGCACAGGAATTTGTCAAGGTCAAGGACATACAATGTACATGTATATATAGCCGACAATCTTTCACTGAAAAGCTTGAAGAGCCCTTCGTGTTCGTGTACGTGTACATCTTCTAGTACAGCTTAGTGCAACTGAGGAGTATTCTATGTCACAATATATCGCTTTTGGTTGAGCGACAGTGGACTTGTTTTACATCTCATCAAGATAGCTTGTGCATACATGTAGAACCAGACTGTCCTTCTTTATCAAATTGTTTTGTGAGTGAAGAGGCCCATTGGATCTGACTGTCTCTTACTTTATCTTACCTTTCCTCGAAGTGCATTTATGTTACAATACTGTAGAACGTGCAAGTTCAGTTGAACAGTGGATGTACAATGTACATTGGACTTATTTTACATCTTATTGAGATTACATTGTATAACGGGCTGCCTTTTGTGCAAATACATTGTAAGTCTGTGTGAAGAGGCTAATTTTTCCATCTGCTGACTGTCTCTTGATTTCTTTTGAATTACAGAGTACAGAAACATTGCAATGTTGTGCAATTTAGAATCACATCATCTAATGAGCTACAGCATGTAGAAAACTGAAGGACATCGCATCTGAGTGAGATTATGTAACTGACAGCCATACGCTGAAAATGTCTTTGTGCGTGAACTTCCGTCAACAGGCCTTTTTTTAACTACTGTAACACACTGTCTTGCATTGTTACCTAATAATGCAGAATTCTAGCTTCAGTCGAATTGCTGTTGACTTCTTCTGTATCTTAATGAGGTCACTGGATTAATAAAAGCTGACCATCTTCTGTTAGATGTTGTTTGTTCCAGAGAGACTGTTTTGTCATCTAGTGTCTGCCTTGTTTCTATTAAAATACACATGTTTACATCCAATATTATTTCCTGCAGATTTGGGCTCTCTATTAAAGTCTTGACTTTCTCTTTTGAAATCAAGAGTGTATTCACATCTTGTATACTGTAGATGAAGCAGATACAGATTTTTTTACTCACTGCATGATTTCCCATTCACACTATATAGTGCCGCTGGAGATTACATTCAAATGTGAAGTTCATTTTTCTCCTTCCCAAGGAATTTTTTGGTGTGAAGAAACAGATCTTATTGATGATAATGCGGATGTACATCTGGAGTGACATGTTGACCTGGTAGTGATACATATTGAGCAGGGGCTAAAACAAGCAGACATCTTGGAAAAGGAGTCATTCAGATAGACCTTTACTGTACTTCTTTCTGGTACTGTTTGAACCTGAAGAATTGAACATGTACTTCAGTGCTTTTTTACCTTCATGAACTGGCTTCAGGAGAAAAAAATGGACACAACTTACAAATAAAATCTACATGTATAATCAGTGCCTGGAGACAGCTTTAATTTCAACTCCATTTTTACTGAACCAACTTTCTTACAAGCCACTGCAAACATCATGATGGGTTTTCCAGCCGTTCCAGCAGTGCTTCCATTGCATGCAGATTACCACCAGCGAAACCCATACCACCCCCCTGCATGCGACACGCGATGCCCCACCTGCGTGACTCGCTGTCGGTCAGAAATTTGCAGTTCTTCGGGTAGGGTAGCCAATTTTCTGACAAGGGAGAGGGGTATTGCAAGGCTACAGACCCCACAAATCAGAACAAATTTGAAGCGAGAAGTGGCATGGAACAATCGGTTTCATTTACAGCAAAAGGTCTCATCCACAAGGTTATTAGAAAAGAGTCGCACAATTGTCAGTAATCAGTAAATTAAGTGCACTTGCTTGTTATTTGTAATGGTACAGCAATTGCAATAGGTTTTAAAAATTATGTGACACGTCACATTTAAAGCATGAATATTTCTAAGAATGTGTTCACCTGCACTGATTCTACTATTTTGTACTTCATATATTTGTTTCTTCCTTTTTCCCTTTCCCAATGACATATTTTGTATATTTCTTTCTCAAGATGAAAAATGTTATAACCTTTATTCATTATCTTATCTAATATAATTTTTAACTTTTAAGACCTTCATCATGATTTTGTCTATTTTGCTGTAGTCTAATTTGAACATTTTGTCTTTGTGTACTCCATTGAATAAAGACGTTCTTCTGAGGTACAAAATTGACTATAGCTATAGAATAAGTGTGCTTTCCTAATTGATAGCTTTTCTTTTAGAAGCTAAAGTACATGTACATGTTTGTTTTTTCCCTGCAGCCCCTTGGCCACCTACAGCAGCCTCCAGGACAAGCACCTGGTAGGTTACTTCAACAATACTCGCATGAAGAAACACCTGAGGAGGGCCGGACTGGTCACCCGACGTGGCGATCTCGTCACCGAGTCCACCTTCCGGCTCAATATGGCACGCAAGGAGCACCAGCGTCACGTGCGTGACCTCATGGCACAGGCCATCGTCCACAAGACGCTGGATCTGGAGCGACAGAGGCAGTCGGACATCAAGCAGAAGCTGGAGGAGATCTCCAAAGTGGAGCTGGTTCGGAGAGTCAGGGTATGAAGCATCTATTTATTTGTTCAAGATAATGGTAATGATAATGTATACTTGTATACCACTCTTTTCTGTCAAACGTGACACTCTTGGTGCTTCAGAGTCATTACCCGGCTTTAATATATGGCTGCCATAGCTGGAACCTCTACATGTATGTATAGCGGCATATTTCAAAGAAGTTAGAAAGATGGGATTCGATAAGGCTACACCATTTATTGGCTCTCCAACCCATGCTCCGGCGACAACTGCTACGCGGTCAGAACACAAAACCTAAACATATTGTCCAAGTATAAAGCCTCGTTCAGATGAGATACGGCAAACCGCAGCATTATTTTTATGATCACTTGAGCGTAATACGCTTATAACACGGAGCATATATAGTGAATACGCAGAGGGCCTTTTTTTTAAAGGTGCAGTTGCCATTTATTGACACATTAATAAAAACAGTTCATATCTAAATGAGCCTGAAGTTGGTATATCAAGGGTTTCAAGATATAGCTTGACCACATCAAGAAACAGTCCAAGAAATTCTAGTTCCTAAATGTTGCTCCTGTAACTAACAGACATCTTTTGCAAATGTGAAATGCTGTTGGAAGCATTGCCATTGAAGAAATGTCAATTTTTCGTCATCTTATCCTCCGTTTTTGTTTTTTAAATAGATGGATAGAGCGAGAAAGGGAGATGAAGACATCACCCAATACCTGAGCCCCAGAGGGAGACCTAAGTCCGCCCATACCAACCAAATGATACAACCTCAGCCCCCTCGTGGCAGAGGAAGACCTTCAACTGCACCAGCTAGGCAGAGGCCATCATCCAAGAGAGCTGTGAGTATTAAATCCCATCTTATCACATTAATGATTAATTTCATGAAAGGAGTATACATGGTTAACAAATCCATACCAATACTTTGAAAACTACGCTGTTGTAATGTACCAACAAAGAAATGTGATTGAGGATTGCCTGAAAGAAATATTAATTTCTCAGTAAGGGCTCTTCTTAGTCATTATTGTTATTGTTTCACAATTATAAGTATTAATAAGATAGAAATGTATCAAAAGCAGTATAAGACAGCAAGAGAATAATTGAAATGGGGGAAAAAAGTGATTGAAAACATAATCTAATTATAAATGATGACACTAAGGAAGACATGCAAAAAGTATGTCCTCCTAATTTTGTTGTTTTTCAGAATGGACCGAAATGGAATATGCACAGGTCAATTGTTTAAATTGGGAAGATATGCGAGCAATGAGGAAACATAGTATGAACAAGAATTATACAAAGTACATGTTTTGGTGCCATATTGCTGTCCATACTATGCTCGAAGACTGTCAGTTTTCCTTAGGGCAATGTACATGACAGACTAACTACTCATTGTTTTAGATCACTGTGTCTGTTCTTAGAGACAATTGTCATAGCCTTATGCCCTCTTGATGTTCTCTTTGTAGGGTGTGGTCTACGTGGACCAGGACGGGTTCCCTGTTCATCGGGATTCTGCAAGGTCAGACCGGTCCGATACGAGCAGCAACGGTGAAGTGGATTCACCTGCACTCAGAGAGGTAACAAGATTTTAGTGAACATTTCATAAGATACAGTGTATACCTGTGTATAAAGACCGCTCAAAGGAGATGTATTTAGGGCTTTCAAGATGAATTTAAAAAGAATAAAATACATTTGCCATGTCTCTCAAAATCTGTTCCATGTTTGACCCAAATGCATCTGCACATACAGTGTACAGTTTTAAAACAACTCTTATTATTCATTATTCATACTCTTACCAAGTTTTGTAATTGTTTAAGTGTGTTAATAAATTTATTTGTTCTGATTTATGTTTTTGAGAATGTGACATACAGTGTATTAAAGCTTACATCAACAAATATTCAACTACGTCCCTAATTCAACCAGTCCACCTTTCATTCTTGAGTTATGAAAACCCCCCAAAACATCAAATTTACAAGTGGTATGAATAATATAGTTGGTAACTGTACATAGTTCACAATCTATGTATTTAAATACAGATGTTCTCTGTATTGTTTTCAAGTTGGTTAACACATAATTTCTTTCTCATTGTGCAGTTGGACCCTAAGATTCTTCACAGGATCTCCCTCAACCTAAAGCCTGATGAGAAAGAGGGTCTCTCTCCGTACTCCCCAGATGTGACCCCACGACCTCCTGCGGCCAGGTCAAAGAGTCAAAAGTCACCAAGAACTTCTACTAAGCCTGGTGGTGTGGTGTCCAAGAATGGCAGGGGCTATCGTCCCAGGTCAAATAAGGTAATTTTATTGATCGATATTGCATGGAGGATATTGTAGCTTGAGACAGATTTTGAATATGTTTTTTTTTTTCTTGAGTAGGTCAGTGAATAGTTTTTCTTGAGTTGTCATGCTGAGACTTGTACCATTTTGTTCTGATTATTTAAAAAAAGAAAGAAAAAAAAGTGAGGCAAAAATCTGAGAAACAATGACATTTAGATATATCTTTAGTAATCTCAAAGAGAGAAATAAATTTAACCTGACATGTATGTACTTAATAATATAGTAAATCAAGTCATTTATATTAATTTTATCGTCTGTTTGGATCCAGAAGAGCATTAACTTGTATACTTTTACATTGAGTTGATGACCTTCTGGCTCTCAAAAGTCGATATAGTTTCCTCACTTGAATACATCACTAATTACAGCTATTAAGTTTTTTGTTTTTTTTGCATCCATGTGACTCTTTTCCAAATGTACTCTTGTTTTGTATTCAATGATTTTCTTTGTTTTTGCTGAATAAATAATGATAATAATGAGTGCTTTTTATTTTTTCTCTTAAAGGGTTCACTGGCACTCCATCGGAAGGAACCATCATACCCTCACGCCACCCAGCTCCAGAGTATGTGTGATGTGACGGTGAGGTACCGGGGGACCGGTCTCAAACTCCAGTACGAGAGGGAGGACAAGAGAGACGAGATTCAGATCTACCAGCAACATTGTGGAGGGGAGAACCTCGTTGTGTTCCAGGGCTTTGCAGATAAAGGGAGTAAGTACAGGAAACAATTCACAGAACCAATGTGTATTTGTTTATGTTCATCTGTTTAATTTCCTTTGGCAAGACATTAATCAACATGTACATTTGCCACTCTCCACCCAGGTGAAGTAAATGGGTACCAGTGAGAAGTAATTCATGGAATGCCGTGACCACCAACATCAGTAGCATAGCAGAGCTATGCATTACAAAAAAATATCCAATATTGTTATGATGTATGCCATTTCAATTTCCCAGATTTTGACAAAAGAAAATAGTTACGATTCTTTGACAGTGTTGGGCAATACATAGCAACAACTACAGCCTGGATATTATTAAAGAAAAAACAATATAAATGTATATATTTTGTTCATATTTTACATATTGGCTGTTTTTATTCATTTTTGTGAACTTGTGTAATTGTACTTGACACTTGTACCTTACACTGAATATGACTGACAATGATTGACATCTGATTGACAATTTTTTACCCTACATAAATCAGAATGTAATTGATATTTAAAAAAAAGTTTGTTGTGCTTTAGATGTGAACGCCATTTATGTGGACATTTTCTTCCATCAGATGACCTCATCTTTGTGTCACGTCGTCACCGTGGTTACCCGTTCAGTGTGACCTTCTTCGTGAACCGTGTGCAAGTGCTTCGACTGAGCGCGTGCTGCGAGTACAAGTACACCCCTGGAGCGCTGCTGGGAGGCTCAAAAGGTCATTTCAAATTCAAAGGTGTCCAAGGATCATCACCTTGTTACAAGTGAGGATTTTTAAAACCATATCTCAATATCTCTATCTCCAAATATTATGATTATTATTATTATTATTGTTATTATTATTATTATTATTACTTATACCACGCTTTTCCCTTAAGGCCCAAAGCGCTTACAGTAAATAAAAATTACACTAATATATGTAATAAGAAAAACTTACTACTACCAACTGCAAACAAAATGTGTTTTTAAGGCCCTTCTTAGCCTCTTCTTCATGACTAAGATTCTCAAAGTGATATATTTTTAATAAAAGAAAAAGAAAAAGAAATTGAGCAAGGAGGCAAAGTATGATATTAAGAACTATAAAAGCTGTGCATTAGAAAAGGATGATTATGGTGTCCTTTTATTTTGACTTGAATAGAAGTGATTTTTTTTTTCTCTAATTCAGTTCCATATACATGTATATGCATATCACAATGCAGGTGAGCTTACACTCAATAATCAGAGTGTCTTGATATTGAATGTATTGTAAGTTTGGTGCTGTTGTCCTAAGGTGCTTTACTTAGTGCTGCTAAGAAATTATCACCATGGCGCCAGGAATCATAGTATTAGGCGGGTTAAAAATGTACCATATTGCTATTATTACTATTGTGATTTTCTGCATTAATCCAGATGTCTTGTAGAAGCAGAGCTTGCAAGGAGAGAAAGGCAGCGTTACAAGGATGTCCAGACAGATACCATCGTACCAGAACCAGAGCCGGAACCAGAACATGCGGGAATGTCCACTCAGACAGAAGCCCAGGAGGAAGAGGAGGATGAAGGAAAGAAAGAAGAATCGACACAGATGGAGGAGGAGGAAGGTGAGGAGAGTGGCAAGGGTAGAAGAAGAAATGGTGGTGGGGAAACTAACAGCAGTGGGAGTGAGTCCAGCTGTAAGAACAGTAGCAAGGGAAGTGGTAGGCCAGGCGCAGGGGGAGTAAAGTCCAAAAATGGAAATGCCAGTGATTCTGGTTCAGGTCATTCTGACAAGGGGGAAGAAAAGGATAGCTGTGGTAGCAGGTACTCTATTGATTCCAGTGGGAGTGATGTTACTTATGGGAACAGCTTTGAAAGCTCCTCAAGTACAGGTAACAGTGAACAAATATCTAATGGATCAGGCAAAAAGAGGAAAGTTTTAACAAAGAAAAGAACAGATAAGGAACAATCATCCAGGAGGAGTGAGAAAAGTACTGGTAATGAGCCAGTGGAAAGTGTTGATACAAGGGCAGGAGTTGGAAAGATAGCTGTCGAGACGAAGGGAGGAAAACAAGCCAGGGGGAGGCGAAACAATACACGTAATCAACTTATAGAGAAGAGCTACACGAAAGCATTACCTGATCCCCAAACGACCAAAGTAAGGCGCTACAAGGGAATAATCACTCAGAACACAAAAACATCAAAAACTAGGAGTAGTAAAGAAAAGCATAAAAATAGTATACCAGTGATAGGTGGTGATTTAAAGAATGGCTCGAATAATAGAAAGCAGAAAACAAAAAAAGCATACAGCCATGATGATTATAAAAGACAGGTTTCAAATGCGTCTATGAAAATGGAAGGGAAGAACGAGGAAGCTGGTGAATTGACCAACAGTACAGGTCAGAGGGCAAAGGTCAAGTCCAAGGGGGAGAAAAGTCGGAGGGCAAAGTCGCTGAGGGTAGAAGAAAAGGGACAGGGGGAGGGGGGAAGGATATATCGGGTGAATTCAGAGGAGATTTTCACAGGGGATTATTCCTTGGAGGGATTGAAGATCAGTGAGAATTGATTTTCATTTTATAGAAAAGAGCACTGGTGCACGTTCAATGAACTAATGGCACAAACGTCCATGAAGCTGCACTCAAACATTTATATATTGATATGCTACATGTGCTTTTGCCAAAATTCCATTATTAAATTGACAAGCTGAAAATTCCCTACATGGCAAAATGGTTTGGTGCAAGGGCTGGTTTAAGAAAACCTGGTTGATAACATCTAGAAAGGGAATTTATCTTTTACTGAAGTTATGTTTTCATGAGTTTGCATAATGTGCAATAGCATTCATTTGCATTTACATGTTTGTTCAATCATTTACCTGTACAGAGTCCCTTTGTATTTTCATGCCAATGCACTTTTTCACAGCCACACTGACCACTTCACAGAAACATTCATTTTAACTCCATTTTATTATCATGATAATTCATAACAATTTCATACCATAACTCAGGTTTGCTGCAGTTAGTCAATTAACCTTGTTCTGTTTGTTGTAATATTGTTGTTCAGCATGTGCTACTTATATCTGTTTTTGCTCATGCAAACTTCTCTCTCTTTTTTACAAGCTTGCCTCAATTAGTGTCCTTCGTTGTTTTACTGTTTAGCTGAATATATTTTATATTTTCCTTTTTTATATTCATAGGCTAACCCAATTACTACTGGATTTTATCATTTCCATAGGCTTAAAACATGAACTTAGACAATCCAAGGACAATCCATGTTGATTGATTGAATGGTGCTACATGTTCATGTATTTAATTATTATATTTATTTATTTTATAATATTTTTCTGGGGGGGGGGGGGAGATGTGTCAGCCAATATACATATATCTCTGACAGATTGAATGGTGCTACATGTTCATGTATTTAATTTATTTTTTTTTAATAATTTTTCCTGAGGGGGGGGGGGGGGGAAGATGTGTCAGCAAATATACATATATCTCTGACAGATTGAATGGTGCTACATGCACATGTATTTAGCATTTATTTGTTGCGGGGGGGGGGGGGGGGTGGCAGGGCCAGCATATACATATCTATACTGTATATACATTTTGTCAACCTTTGCAAACAAATTTTTAGGGAAGACAGTAATGGGGAACTTTGATTTTAAGCTACGCAACCATTATTATCTCATCTCCTTTTGCGTTGTATTAAACAGACAATGTACATACATTAATATAAAACAAAAAAGGTCTTCCAGTGGCTTCATCTACATAATAACAATCTTGTATTTTGGTCAGAAAGCCTACTTGTAGTTCTTCCTAGTCCGAAAAAACATATCGCAAACCTTAACTTATACCTCTTGCTGGGCTGCGTCACATATATGGCAAACAGACTAGTAGTCTATGCTCAATAACAAATTGCTGTCAAGATAATCTATATCAATTTATGGAGCATGAATATTGCATTTGAAGAAACATGATGATAACACACACAAAAATTAGAAATTGCAGATTTTCTACTTTTTTTGAAAATTTTACTTAGTGTAGGTGTTTTCAAACAAATAAGGAATATTGATATGTGAAAGAAGAAACACAAACTGATATTAATTTACAATAGTTGCAAAGCATACAAATGATTTATCTCATACAAAGAGCATGAAATTTCCTATGAAAGCCTTTATCCACATTAGTTATACAAGGCAAGGAGCAAACAATTGAGAGTTAAGCATGTTATGGTAAAATAAAGAAACAAACACATTCCCTGGCACACTACGAGGTCAATTGTTTGAAAACTTTCCATCCACAAGACTTAAAATCTTAGAAATAAATATCTATGAAGCCATGCAATTCGTTAGGCTGGGAAAACATACTAGATAAATGAGGAAAAATATGCCTTGATTATGACTTGATTGGAAGCCTCATTAGTCCATAACGAGGCCCACATGCAGAGTCTTATATCTGGAATTTCAAAGGAAAATATGGCCTCGCGTATGGAGGAGGAAAATTAATTAGAGTCAGAGACAACTGAGATAAAAACAAGGGAGGAAACGCAATTAACGCTACAAATTAGATGTAGATGTATTGCCGGCTGCCTGCATAAACATTGTAAGAGCTTTGTATTGCCAATAGCAGGGACTGCCTTCTGGTGAGCAGCCTATGGTATGTCTATTAGCAGCGTATTGTTGGACAACAAATTTTAAAATTTTAACATCATTTATGTTAAAGAGTGATTTGAATCATGGATGCAAAGCAGTGACTTACATTACCATCATTGGTTTATCTTTATTAGTTTATTTTTGCCAGTCCTGGGATAAAAAACATAAAAAACATTAAATTAAGTAATAGATACATATAGATGCTTATAAATTGGTTGTCAGATGTACATTACTGTATGCTTTATCAAAACATACATGAATTTCAGGTACATATCAAATATGCCCATTAATGCTCAACAAATTAAAAAAAATGATAATGTAGAAAATTCTATAGATCTAGAACACACAATATTCTTTAGGCCTACAGTTTATCTACATGTAAATGTATCAACTCTTTAGCTGTACCATCATAATATACTTTGATCCAATCATTTATGCATGCATTCATTTGCCATGATTAAACCCAAATTAGAAAAACTGCATGGGTAGATATTTAGAGCATGCATTTACCTAGTGAATTTTAAAAAAGAAGCATGTAATTTTAGAGCATGAGGTTTTCAAATTAAAACATTGAAGTACATGAAAACTACACTAATGTACATTCCCTCCCCCACCCTCAAATTTTAATACATGTGCTTCATCCAAACAGTCATCGATCCGACTAGCTTAAGATGTCTCTAGAAATGATGCAAATTTCTTTGAGCCTTTTAGTATATAGCCAAATAATGTTGCCAATCGTTCACCATAATGATATATTAGTGTTTTATGATAATAATAATAATAATAATATTGGATATTTATATAGTGCACACATCCACCCTGCAAGGTTCTCAAAGCGCTCCAATATTACCCCTGCTCTGTGCACACAATTTTTTTGAACAATTTATTGGCTGAATATTAAGTTTTACCTCCTTAAATTTGTTACACAAGGCCAAAAAAAGAAGTGGTTATTCTGCAAAACAAGTGCCAAATTTACCTTCTCACGTTTTGGTCTGTTTCTTTGTAAGTGATTGCATCTATTCGCTATGTGATTTTTCTTGTGACTTGCCAACACCTTAGTGTGAAATTATTCTTTTGTTGCTTACTTCTGCACACATATATATACATCTGTTTCAAGTGTTGAAAAAATATATATAAAGAAGGAAAATGAATTACATGTTTGCCAAATGAATGTATCAAACTTGACATCTATGTACATGTATATACACACATCTTGCCATGATTATGTCAAAGTCTTATTTATCTCAGCAGTATTGCTTTCAATATTGTATATATTGATCTGCATTTTGATTGCTACAAAGCAGCTTTGTTATGAGTAGTTTTAATAATTGTTCAGTACTGGTATGTGTTTATGGAAAATTGAATATTTACAAATTTTGCAATTGGAATATATACTAGGAATGCTAAAGGCTGCAGGGAACATCTTCTAATTTTGTAAACAAAGTTAATAGCTCAAATGTAACACCTAATCAGCCAGAAATGTCACCATTTAACTAGTACATGTACAACCAAGGGATTTAGATTTTATCTGTAAATTTCTGAATTTTCATAAACACTATTTCCCTCCCTGTGCATTATATAAATATTTGGAACACTGGGTCATTTATTTTTAATGTGAAGTTTTTTAACTATTTCTATAATATATTATTCTCTTTGTCTTTAGTGGTATCATTTTTGTTAATTTTTTCTGCTATCTAATTTTCATGCACCTTTTTTCACTTTAACTGAGCTCTTTGTGTACTACAATCAATACCTGAATGGAAACATATCAATTTTACTAGCTTTTTAAAAAATTCATATAAACTATAAATTGTAAATATGTTAATCTGTAAACAGACCGTTTTCTCTTTCTCATAAATCATTTTTATTGCCTCATTTTCAGCTTTTCAGTCTTAATGATATGTTGTTAGGTTGTATCATAATTAATTTATCGCTGGTTTAACAGCAGCACTATTTATGTCGTACTGTTCAATGCGATTCTTTTATTTTCATAACCTAACCATGATACAATACAAATGTAATTTTATATGTCAAGAATTCAGCATCCACAACTTTCCATTTGCCTGCAGGCTAAATGTTTTGTATCATTAATCTATGCTTTTTAAAGTATCAGAGTATTTTTCTTTATCTAATTTTGTCTTTTCCTTTCTGCAAGAGCCTCAGGTTTTTTAACATTTCTAATCTTTTTTATTTCTCCAACCTCTTTCTGTCTTTTGCTCACTACATGTATATATTTGATATTAATTGCTCTGTTCTTATCTCTTTCCTGTGTCTGTTTATTTACTCACAATATGTTTGAATAAACACTTCATCTTAAACTGTATTATACTGTGCTTGTGTGTTCATTGCATAACATTTTTTTCTTCTTCAATTTTCATTTCAAACTACACAATGTAAACTGTCATCAAATAATATTAACTTTCTTGCACCTGTCTGTGATTCCATTATCAGATTAGCAAATTGCTGATCTGTCTTCAATCTATTTCGCTAACAATCTTTATTATCAGTACGATTAATGTAAGGCCAACACCACATGATTGCAAAAAAACCTCATCCCCACTTTTTGTTAAGTTTTTCATTTCATGTGCACATTCATGCATATCAAATGCAGATTCTTCGCCAATATTTTCATCCAAATCGTTATGATCACTTTCATCAAAAATTCATATTGTTTTGCCCAGAAAACAGACGACCTTTGCTCAAATATATTGCAGTAATTTTTTCTAAGTGATTTTCTTGCTTCGTGGCTTCATTTTTACTATTTACAAAGGTTTTTAAGGTAGGAAGTATGATGATCAAACCGGCCTTTTTGCAGGGCTATATTTTGTCAAAGAAATGGATAGGCCTGTGATGTTTTGGGGTTTTACATTTAAGGTGTAGAGTTATAGTTTAATAGGGATTAGTGCAAGTATAATATTGGGTCCATGTTTAAAGTTAGCAACTTGATTATTTTTGGAAATTGGCAATTTTTACCTTGCCATATGCCATACAGGATCGGAGGGAATGTGAAATAACAGATGACGTACAAAAGTGTTATTGTACACTGTTGCCCATAAAGTTGGATTTTTCTTTTTAATACCTCTTTTCATGAAATCATTGTGGCAGTATGATTTATTCTTGATAGATCATGTTTATATTCTCGGAGCTTTATTGTTCAACCTCTATAACTCTTTAAATTGATCAATAAAGTTCCAAGCAGATATAAACTTTATCTATGACAAATAAATCATATTGTCAAAAATGCTTCAAGAAAATAGAATTATTATTCCATCTTTATGGGTAGCTATGTACCTCTAAAAGGACAGCATAACAAAATGACACATATAAAGTCAGTGTTAAGTGTTTAATTTTTAAATGTTTATTACTACTATATTTACTGGTAGTGTGAAATGCAAATGCTGCACCATTAGCATAAAAAGAGAGAGTGAGAGATAAATAGAAAGAGAGAGAGAAGGGGGTGATAAAAGGCACAGAGAAAGAGAGGGCGATGACATTTAGAGTCAATAATAATACGAATGATAGATAAAGGTAGACAGACATACAAATGACCAGTTTCATGTAAATGGAAAGAAATATATGTGAAAAAGGGAAAAATGTCAATAATACCAAATAATATTTTTAAAAACTGCATTAGAGTCACATCGTGCATATTTACATTAATGTATGTTGTTTACACGTATGTTAAGCATATCTTATGCACATACAAGGTATTCATTGTATTCACCCCCCCCCCCCCCCCCCCCCCCCCAGAGGAGGACGAGTGGCATTTTTATTTTGCATATTGATTTTTAACATGTTGGTATAAAGAAAATTAGGATCTCACAGATCAGCAATATATCTCCTATATGAAGTCATAAAGCATTTTCAGTCATTGTACAAGCATTCAGATTCAGTGAAAAAAGCAATATTCTTTCTGACTATCATTAGATTTCTCACACAAAACCAACTAAGAAGCACTAATATGAATACATGGAATCTAACATTCTAAATTCTAACAAAATTATTAACTTCCTGGTAAAACTATGGAAATCTAACGAACTCCAAGTTTTACACAATTGAGAAATTATGGTTATATTTTGTCTGTCCAAAGCCAAAAGAACATTAATTCTGTGTTAAAGTATGTAAGTTAACGTCCTTTTAGCTCCAAGCATACGATTTGTTAGTACTCTGTTTATAAGAATAGCAACCATCTTCAACTGAGGTGAAGTTTAACTTTAAATTCATTTTCTTGTAGATAATAACATTATCCTTCAAGATGGAGTGTGATCATTACAATGTTTTTAAATTACCAATGGAGATGAGCAGTGGTGAAATAATATTTGTGATAGACACTGTAAACAGTTGTATACTTTCGATGTTTTGGTCTGCAGCAAATGAAGGTTACGATGACGATGAGTTTGAAGAAGATGAAGAGCAGAAGGATGAGAAGGATGAAGAGAAGGAAAAAGGTCAGTACCCTTAACTTTAAAGAGAAGTTTCTGAGTTAAAAATGGTATATGGGCTTTCTTTCTCTTTTAATGTCACGTTGGAGGAAAGACGTTGCAATTATCACCTGGAGAGGATTGCTTATCCCTTCATATTCAAATTATGACAAGACTTAACTGAAGTGTTTGGACTGAACTGTCATACCACATGTGGGCATAGTGTTATATTCAATGCTGATGATGATGATGCTGATGATGATGATGATGATGATGATGATGATAATGATAATCATGATTATGATTGTAATGATGATGAGAAAGAGGATGATATTGATTGATGATGATTATGATGATGAGGATGGTGATAATGATAAGGCAGTGATGGTGATGAAGATGATAATCATGATCTAGTAGTAAGGATGATGAGGAAGGGGATGATAGTGATTGATGATGATTATGATGATAAAGATAATTGTGATGATAAAGATGGTGATGGGGATGATAATGTTAATAATGATAGTGATTATGATGATGGTGATGAGAATGGTGATGATGATAAGACAGTGATAGTAATGATGGTGATAATGGGAATGATGGTGATTGATGATGATGAGGAGGATGATGATCATTATCATGATGATAATAATGATGAAAATGGAGATGATTGATGATGATGATGATGATGATAGTGATGATGATGAGAATGGTGATGGTGATGATGATTTCAAGCATTGGAATGGCACCATTTTACAGTTAAAAAGGCACAAGTTTATGTATTGAAGTCAATATAAATAAATTAAGGTGTATGATGTATGAACATATGTATTGATTTCCCTTTTCTCTTAACTTTCCCACAGATAAAGAATCAGATGGTTTCTTCTCGGAAGTAGAGAGTGAGAAAGAGTCTGTCCAGGCTGAAGACAAGAAGTCAGAAGATAATTATGGTGATTCTGATTTTGAGGCGGAATCTGAGAAAGAAGAAGAGAAAGAAGAAGATGTTGTAGAAGAAGTTGCAGAGGAGGAGGAGGAGAAGAGTGACTCTGAGGTGGAAGAAGAGAAAGAAGTGGAACAGGAGAAGGAAGAAAAAGAAGAGGAGGAGGAAGAGGAAGTTGAAGAAGAAAAATACGCTTCTGACAGTGACCAGAAAAATGAAGTGGAGGAACGTTTTGAGCAAGAAACTCAAGAAGAAGTTGAAGCTGTGCCAGAAGAAGAACGTGAAGAGGAGAAAGAAGATGAGAGGAGTCTCTTTAGTGCCTCTGAAGGAGAAAATAGACTCTTGTCTTCTGATGAAGAAGATGAGGACAAGAAGAGTCTTTTGGAGGATCAGAGGAAAGATGGTGAATCGGAAGCTGATTTCAAGATTTCAAGCTCAGCTGATGAAAGTGAGAAGGAAGAGGAGGAGGCTGAGAGACAGATTAAGGATCATTCAGATGATGAAAAGGTTGAAGATGAAAAAGAAGATGGTTCTCAGGTCAAGGAAGAGGAAGAATCGGATAAGGATGACAACCAGAGTGCCAAGGATGAGTCTGAGGAGAGAGAAGAGGTGCTTGACGAGAGTCTTACTCAAGAGATTACTGTAGAAGCTGTAATGGAACCTCCTCCTAAAGAAGCTATCCTCGTTCAAGACACTACCTTGATGACCGCGAATGATGACGATGATGCTTCTCAAGCCGAGGAACAGGTTCTGGATAAAGATACCGTGGATGAGCAGGAAGCACAAAGTGATAGAGAACAGGGAGGTGGAGAAGACGACAAAGAACAAGTCAGCCCTGCAAATGATGATGCTGGAGATAGTGCAAGCCGTAGAGAGGAGGATGCACAAAGTAAAGGAGATCAGGAAGATGGAGAAGAGCACAAAGAAGAAGTCAGCCCGGCAGATGATGATGCTGGAAATGGTGAGAGCCATGCAGAGGAGGACTCTCAGAGTGCACAGGAAGAGGACCTGCCAGCCCAGAGTCATGTTGAGCCCGAGGTGGACCACTCGGAAGAAGTTAAGGTTGCAGATGAAGAAGACAAGCCAAAAGATGTGTCAGAGGTTCAGCAAGTAGAGGAAGAAGAAGAGGAAGTTGCTCAGCAAACCTCTTACAGTGCTCCAGGACAAGAGCATACTGAGTTGGCTGATGAAGCAAAGAGCGAGAGGGAAGACCCTAAACCCGAAGAACAAGAAGTACCCAGTGCTGCTGATAAAGAAGATGTCCCTGAACATTCGAAGGACACACCTACAGAAGTCCCTACAGAATCTCAACAGGAAGTTGAACCTCGTGATGAATTTGTCAAGGATGAAGCAGATTCATCAGTTGGAGATGATTCTCAAGAGACTCAAAATGATAGGGCGCAACAAGAAGTGCCTGCTGAGGATACTGCAGAAGCTCCTGCTGATGAAGAATCAAAGGACACCCAAGATGCACAGTCAGAACAGGGAGCAGCACAAGAACCAGAGCAGGAAAAGGAGGAGGAGGAGGAGAAAAAGATTGATGATGCTCCACAAGACAAAGAAGAAACAGAGGAACAAGAGGAGCAAGAACAGGATGTTGCAGAAGCTGTAAAGGAGGAGGAAGAAGAGGAAAAGAGGGAGGAAGAAGAGGCAAAGAAGGAGGAAGAAGAGGAAAAGAAGGAGGAAGAAGAGGAAAAGAAAGAAGATGGATATAAATCTGACTCCAGCTCTAGCCCCAGCCACCATTCTGATGATGAGGAGAAGCTGAAGTTATCCGGTTTCATACAAGAGCAGGCAACTGATTCAGTAAGTTGACATTTCTGGCCTCATTTTTCCATGTTGTATCATAGTTTGAACTTTTGTTGTCACACTTGCATTTAAAATACAGTTGAAGTAGATGAACAAAGCATTATGTCATCTGTTTGGATTCAATAGGTCATTAACTAATATAGTTTAACACATAGTTAATGCCCTTTTAGCTCTGAACAGATGATATATATTAATTTGTCATCTCATTTATATCTTCTGTTGAGGGCCAGAAGGGCATTAATCATATGCCCACCTGACTCTATGCAAAAGATATGAAAATGTATTTTTATATATAGAATCCACATTTTCAATCAATTCTTGAGAAACTTGTAAAAAACACTTTTACTATATATCAAACTTGTATTTGGTTAATGTTGTGTCAAAATATGTGCACTTACAACAACAGTTCATACTTTTCTAGAAGGAAGCCCATTGTCTTTGTCCATGTACATTATGTAACTAAAAATTCAAAGTAAAAACAAAATTTGAACCTTTGAAATTGAAACTGAAATATCAGTTTCTCCTTATTTTTTGGTGATTTATGAATATTAAGACTATCAGTTAATGATAACACTTGAATATTTGCACATTTTTCATATGGTGTTAATGTATTGGTTTCACATTGATACTAAGTTTTTACGAATTGATATGTTTGGTGTTTGATTTAATGAGGTAATTCTGGTTGCATTAATAAACACACTCACTTTTCTCTGTTCTTTCTTTCATATCTCCCTCCTGTTCATGTCATAAAACAATCATCTCTTTGAATCTGAGGTTGTGTCAAAATCTTGATAGTTAAAAATGTAATACAATAATTATGAACAAATGTTAGTTACGCCCACCACACACTTCACAATCCGATTAGATTTTAAAAGAATTTGCAATACATGTAGTATTTGATATGAACATTCAATCATGTAAAATCTTAATGACTGGTAAATTGAATAGTCATATGATTGAAAGAAAAAATTAATGGGATTTCATGCTTCCTTGGAGGGGAAAAAGCTAAATCGTCTCAGAATCATAGTGTTGTCAGACCAGTACTATGATTGTTTATGATTTAAAGTCAGATCAGCTTCTTAGAAACTCAATCAGGAGGAAGATGATGTTTGTTTAGATTGATATATATATATAATAAAATCACCATTTCTTAGACAATCCGATCACAGGAGGATCGCACAGTGTGTGGTTGGATGTACATACCGGTACCCTCTAACATCATGCAAATTAAGCTTTCCGGTTGACTAAAAGATTGCCATCTTTTGTCAGCAGAGAGAAAACCATTATCATTTTATTTGAGAGGGGTGTGGGAAATGTTGGTTGGAACACTCATTTAAAAAAATGATCAAATTGGGAGAAGCAATGAATCTTATACCGTAAATTGAAAGAGGTCAACTCGTAAGAATATAATATTCTATTTTATGACTGACTTATGAACTGTTAACACCTTACTAATCTATTATTCATTATCATGATTAATCTGATAATCCCCTAACAATTAATGACATCTAACCTGTTCAGATATAACATCTTTTTTTCACTGTATGATTAATTTTGGTATATGTGATCTCTCTATCTTCCATCTCTCGATCTTCCTTATTTTGGGGTTATATGGTACGTTATTTTCTCTGGTTTCTATCTGGTCTCAGAAGCCTGATAATGAAGGTTTACCTACTCAGTCACTTGCTAACAACAATGAGTCCTCTCCTGAAAATGATCAGGTGATTTTCTCACTTCGTGTTGCCAATTTGTCTTGCTTCACTTGCTAGTCATCTTTCAGCGGTGTAGATTTTTTAGATGGCTCAAAAGGTCTTCATTTTTGCATTTTTTGTTGAAGAAAAAAAGAAGAATAATGCCATTGTCCCTAGATACGAGAGATGGAATTCTTTGAATAAATATCAAGGAAATACATCAAAATCATGTAGATCAATGATATGCACAGAGAAAAGTTGCAGCCTTCATGTTCACCCTTATTTTAAACAACATCTACATCTACTCTAGATTATGGCCAAACAGTAAACGTCAATTGATCTAAGTATTTTGGAAGGGCTACTTTATAATTAAATAAATAATGGGAAATAAAAATGGATTTATGTAAGGACTGGTGTTTTAAAGGCACTGGGCAGCTCAACTGGCCTTGAAAACCCAATCGATCTTACGTTAAGTTGACAAGCTAGAATGTGTCCCCCATTTCAAATATTTGGTCCAAAATACACTTGAAAATGTGAGATCCTTGCTTGTCGCCAGAGATGTTTTTGGAATTATACCCCCACCCATTACAATGTCCTGGATATGACCCTTTCATCAAATACATCATTACCACCATGTGAATTGACCATGGCTCAGAGTAGAGAATATCATTGGGATTAATGATCATGAGACACTACACATATTTCACCCTAAGCCTGTCTGTATCTTGGGCTAATAATACATGGATAAGTCCATGGATTATCTTTTAAATCTTAGGAGGTTTCAAGCTTGGTCATTTGTAAAGCTGGTTAATCACTCACCGTTGCACTTTTAAAAAATGCCTGTTCACGCCGCTACATGTATGTGCACTTTGCTTGCTTCATTATCCATTGGATCAGTGATTATAATACAGACATTGCTATATCATTTGCTGACATTTATGTTGCATATTTAAGTTATTATCGTGGACACGTTGCACTTCAATGCTGGCCTTGCACATAATTGCCATCCAATTCTCAAAATTACTGTAATTAGGATTACTTCGAATCATCAGATCATCGCGTCTGGTCGGGTGGCCAGACCTTTTGTGAAAACATGCCCGTTTATTCATGAAATGTCAGGGTAATACTTGTGAATTAAACCCCTCTCATCTACAAATGATCTGGTCCAATGTACCAGACATCACTCTGTGAAAACCCTACCGCAAATCTACGAAAGGTTGCGTCCTTAACATGTAATTTCACATGATCTTCAGCTTTCGTTTCACAAAAGGTTGTGTAACCCTGATGATTCGATGTAAGCCTTGTTAATATGATAAGCATTTTTTTTTTTTAATATGTGCTTTATAACTTTCTATTTCTCACATGAACATTTATTTTTCATAATATTTTTATTAACAAAAAGGAGTCCATTAATCCCCTCTGAAGGGGAAGGGGGCTCTGACAAATTTTGGGGAAAAAATCTTTTAAATCCCTTTTTCATAGGCTCCCTTTCTCATCCACTTGTTAGTATTTTTTCATGTCATCCCTTTTTTCTTCTTTGTGCTTTTTAGACCTAGGTTTTAGTGTTGCTTTTTTGTATCCTTAAATTAATGTTCCTGTTCATTATGAAAGCCATGAGTCATGCACTGCATGCAGCCAAATATATTTGCTACATTACTACAATTCCCAAACAGATTTTGCAAAACAGTCACAGATGAATTCAGATGTAGAGCATAAATTCAATACAAATTGTTCATGCAAGCGAGTACCCTGATCTAAGCATGCATTTTAGAGGACTTGGCAAGACACCATGCATTTTAATTATTGGAATTCAATTAGAATTTATATAATAAATAACATGGTCACATTTCATTGGATAGGCACAGGGGTTGGGCTGTAAACAGCTGAAATTTCTCAAATACTGTCATGCCATGTTCTAAGTATTAAAAAAATGTCTAGTCAGCTAAGAAATTTTTTTCTGCCTATTTTTTATAATTTCTTCTCTAAGCACTCTTCAAACTAAAATATCCTATTACCTGTATCTTTAGACAGCTTCAGCCATATGCCGAGTTTAATATACCTTTCACATTAATCCTCTTTTTAATGCTTTATTAAACAATGTAGCATACCACTACTTGTAGATTAGACTTATAACTCCACTTTTTTGTGTAATCATTGCTAACCAAGGTTCTTACAAACTTGTAAAAAGAGAGAGGGGATTTAATAAAAAAGGATTTGATCTTGTTATGTCCATGTTAGTGTTTTTGAAGAAAGGTCTTTAAAATTTACAGTGAAAAAGTATAAAGTACTTCTAATAAATACTTGTCCCCATTATCAATAGGGCTTTGATTAAAGCATAATGATTGGCACAGAAAATTCAATAATCATATCTGTTTAATTTTGGCTAAGTGCCCCAAATGAGAATGTATGTTATTTTGATTGAAACATTCAAGTACATAGAAATGGTTGTGTTCTATATTACATTCATTGATATCTAAAAGTTGATCAAAAATTATAAACACAATTCTCCCTTAAATTTGTCCTTGTAAGCCTTGCATATCAAAAAATGTACCGGTAATCAAATCCATGCATCACCAATTTAAGTATCACCATAATTAGATAATTGGGGTTCCAATTATATTTAAGTCATTTGCTTTAAGTTTGTATGAACCTTCAAAATTATTTAAAAAATCACCCTTTTCAACCTTTCTGTCACCCTTAACCCTCCTAGTTAGATGTTTCATTTAGAAACAAATTTTAAAAGTAGTTTTGTTAATTTGTTCACAGTCTTACAGCCGACTGGCTCTGAACATGAACGAGAAGAACCTAGGCACTGAGCAGGCAGAACAGGTAGCCCAGGCCTTGCTCGAAGACCCCAAGTACAAATCTATTGAATACCTCCTGTAAGTTCAGATTTGTTTTCCCTTATTATTTTTCCTTTTAGATAAGTACCTAGAATAGTTTAGAAAGATATTTGATTTTTTTGTTAAAACCATTTACCGATAGCTATTGATACATTTTGAAAGACATTAAAAGAGGATGCTAAAAATTCTTTACTCAGTCTATATGTGCAGAAACTGTGCATTTACTTCCCCCAACTACCCCGTAAAATTGGCAATATATATCTATATTTATCCCAGATGCACTTTTGCCATAAATCTGTATCGTGTGATAAAATGGAATGAACCTTATTATTTTTCTTGTTTTTTGTTTGGCGTGTGGAGCTGCCCTTCTTTTAGTATAGTATTGCTTGGATACATTGCATTTACGATTCTCAGCTGAGATAAGTTACTATATCTAGTGATAATGAGAAAAGATGGATAGTTGGATGAACTTCTCTGCTATTTCTATGTGTACTGTTTGGGAAGAAATAGGGATACTTACATTTTGTTGTGTGTTTCAGTGGTTCTCTGTAATAAAAGAAAGCATTCACACTCACACACATACCCCATGCCTGAATCATGTGAATAAGTATATACTGTGCAAGCTGCATGAATTTCATGTCGCATGTGTTAAATGTGACAGAGGTAGCTTTGCGAAATGCAGAGACATGGAAAGGTGCATCCAGAAGACAAAGGGGATAATTGTTGGTGAATGGGTAATTGTTTTTGATGTTGGTTTTAGATTTAAAGTTGTAAATTTGTCATTTCTCATGATATTTCTTGACAATATAAACCCCAATCAATAAGGTAGAGGCATTTACCAGTGCTGCCTACATCCAGTATAATTATGATTTGCAATAATTCTGCAATTTGCACTCAAGATGCATCTTTTTTTGTCTCTCTGTTTCCCTTAATACATGACATAAAGTATATGATTATCACTTGAATGCAGCACTTGAATGCAGCAATCTCCATATGAAATGCATTTGGCTAGCATCCTTGTCATCCATGACTGAAAAAGGACAGAAAATGTGATAGAATCGCAAGGGAGAGTGGATTTTAAATTGTCTGTTCATCCTATTGAATATTAAACTGTCCTGTCCTACCTTAAGCTATTTTTATTTGCTTTGGAAGATATTCATCTTGTTTCTCTTTGATTTCCCCTCAGACTCCGCGCTAATCCAATAGAGGACAAAGGCGTATCCTCCATCATGCGTTCCCTGATAACCCTACATCACCAAATCCCTGAGCCGACCGATGAGACCGAAGAACGACCCAAGACAGGCATCAAGCTGACCCATCTAGACCTAGGAGATACCAAATTCACCAACAAGGGTGCTGCGGATGTCGCAGAGTTCCTCAAGCTCCCCACCAACATCACCAACGTCAACCTCAGCGACAACTCCCTGGGCCGTGCCGGTTGCAAGGCGCTCGCCGCTGGGATCCGTAGCAACAAGAGCCTGTGGACCCTCAGCGTTGAGTACGCGGGACTCGGTGACAGCGGCTGCAGGGAGATCATCGAGGCGGTGCGCGACCATCCGACGATTCGCGAGCTGAATCTGGAAGGGAACGGGATCACTGACGAGAGCGCTCGTGCTCTCCTGCAGCTGGTCAAGGATAATAGCGTCCTGACGTCCATCAACTTTGTACGAGATAACCAGGTCACGCAGGAGCTTGCGGAAGAGATCGAAGAGATCCTGAAAACAGGAGAGTTCATTTGGTAGTTGGAAAGAAATACAACTCGATCCTTGCGGGTTTGCTACAGTCACAGTCCACCTTTGTATATAGACTACTTAAAGGCCTGCTGTACTAGTTCAGCCGGAAGGGATTAGACCACCCAGCAAGCCAGCGAGGTCACTGTGACAGGTGGCTATCTCATTAACTCAGCTCTCAATTAACATAAGAAAAAGAGGATCATGGGGGACCAACAGGCACCGATTGAGGAAGTTTTCAATATAGAAGGAGCAAGTAGCTACAAGTAGTACAGTGTGGCTTTAAGGGATACTAGAACATTGAATTTGTAGACAGATGGTCTTTATATACAGGTTTGGGTAAGAGACACTGCCCAAGAGAGACAAGAAAAGTGGCCTTCATATACAGGTTGCTTAATTTAAGGTTACCTGTGCATGTGACATAGGATTAAACCCAGAAATTCAGAAATACTTACCTGATGTTAAATAGCTACTCGATGTCACAACTTGTATAATTCCTGAGAGTATATATATAGTTTTGAGTATGTTCCAAGTTATTTTTGTATTTTGATGAAATTGTAATATATTGTGTGAAATACTTGTACTAACTGAAACACATAGGGCATTTAAAGTAGATCTAATATCTAATTGATATACATGTATTTGTATTGTGCAATTTTCTGTATTATAAACCTGTATTACATTGGATTCCAAGTAAGTATATTTGTGTGTAATATTTTTGAGACAGTTTAAAACACCATGATTTAAATAGCAAACAGTTGACCAGAAAAAAATTGCTAAGTATGTAATGAATCATTTTTATTTTCTTATGTATAATTGAGAGTTGGAAGGTTCAGTATATTTGTCAGTTGCTGAGCAATTTATGTAGAGAATATAATATACAGTACATGTTTTATGTCGGTAAAATCAAACTGAATTATCTTGCAGAAGGCAAGGATTTTGTGTTTTATGTAAACCATGGATTTCACTGCAAGTCCATGTTTGGAAGTTAATCATGCATTTGGGGCACCCATGTGTAAGTGATTCCAATAAGTGTCTAGCCCTGTCTACTCGTAAACCTCTCATATTTGGGAATACAGAAGGAAAAGTTGGACAAGGTATCATGTTAATGTTTCTCAGTGTGAATATGATTTGAGTGGGTTTGAAACCTCATGCAAGATGTTGTTGCTAGAAGGGTATAAACTCTATGGTAAATCATATTTGATATACCCTCCGGGCGCTCAGCAGAAAGTGTGATAGTGTTCCTTGATAGAGTGTTATAGTAAATAAATATCTATCTTACCTTGACTTATGTGCCTATGCACGTGTTAATTAATTGATGATATTTGCTCTGAATGTGGGTGTGTGATAAAATTTCTATAAAGTACTTGCACTATTAGTGTATTTTCACCTTGAAAGGAATATTATAAACAATGAATGGTAAAAAATGTATGATTCAAAGTAAAAAGAAATGACATATATATTTTGACTTGTATCAGATGTGAGATCATTACTAAATTCTCTTATGTTAGGTGTAAATGAATTGTGTAAATTAATTGCAAATATGTATTTTCTGTACATTTCAATTTAGAATGTTTGTAGTTATAATATTCAGGCATGCTATAAAATGTATGTTGTTTAAAGAAAGTGTTTATAATAGAATACAGACTAAAACTAATTACTTTAATATAGCAGCTTTTTGTATAATATGTGTGTGATGTATATGTAGAGTGTTGCATAATGTGGGATCATTATGCATTTTGTTCAACTTTTCAATCATCAAATTGATAATGGAATTAATTTGAATATTTGAAGGCTAGGGGAATCGTAATCTAAATAATTTACATAATTTCTATCTAACAAAGGGGGAAAAAAGTTTTATTTGTAATTATACATGATCATGTGTACATTTTAAGTGAATTCTAGCGTATTTCTTATGCTTTACAAGCAATGGAAACGATTAATTAAGTACATTCTCTGTTGAGAGCCAGAAGGGCATTGACCTGTATACTTTTACGTAGTGAACACCCTTTTTGCTCTAAACAGACAATGTACTAAACAATTCACAAAAAGAGAATACTTAAAACTGTTTAATTTGTAAATTGACTGTAGAATTAAGTAGATCAAACAGAATGTCATAATTAGGCTGTTCTCAACTATCATGTATGTAACATATGTATTCAAATATCTGGCGATTCTGTTGAAAATAAACTCGTAGATGGTAAATAAATGTGCCTATATTTGTTACAGGTGTGTTACAATGTGATCACATCTTATAACTGCATATATAACTGTTATCAGATAGCACCACTGCATTCCTGTTTCAGTAAGAATATGAAATTTCACTCTATGAATTTGTTACTTTTGATGATACTTGTAGAGGCACAAAATCCTTTATTACTCTTTTGAGTTGTAAAATCACTTCTTTTCTAGACTGAATAACCTTTCTCAGAATATACCCAGACAATAATATCCCTTTATGGGCAAGTCCAAGTATGAGGATTGAAAATACCTCTCTCTCTCTCTCTCTCTCTCCCCTTATTCTACCACTAGGCACAACCATGCTCATACATAATTTTCTATCAAATATCTTGTGCTTGCACACAATTGACTAACTGCTTAGTAATTTTAGGGTGCACTTTTGACACGTTCATTATCTCCATGTCTCTTGGCTCTTTTCAAACAAAAAAACATTCTGTCAAATATACATTTGCTACTTTGTTAAATTGAAATTATGGAAAATACCTCTCCATGGTGCCTTATGTTTTAACAAATATACATTTCTTGCAATCTATTCCTAGTAAGTCTTGGTAAGTCTATCTCCACTGGGAATATTTGAAAAGAAATCAAATTAAGGTATACTAATGAGCAACAACAAAAAAGATACCTCATGCAGAGTGGAAAGGAATAATTGGGTAGATTTGGGGAACAATGTTTTACCTCACAATTTGATTCCCTGCCAAGAAATTTCAGCTACACCGCATTAATCTTTTCTGAACATTTAAATTTATATACAAAATAACAAAAGGGTGGGGTTTGTATTGCAATGAGTATGTGCTTCTTTCTTTTCATGTAACTATTCTTATATGTACATAACACTGCAATTCTATATAAAAATGTGTAAACTGACATTCTTATAACATGCACTTGCAAACTGATTTATCCGTCCAAGTATTTCGTCTTTCTGTGTATACTATCTCACCAGCAACTGTGTCAAGAGCGTAGCGATCAAAATGTAATAAATTAGATCAAAATATATACCTATTTCTTTGCACCGGTGTTCTATATTTCCATACTGAACTAAAAAAAGACCACGTGTTGACTAATATTGACTTTATTGGAATGCACACAGATGAGGAGAGGGAAAGACGGCATGGAGAATTTATGTTCAGTAAATAAAGCGAGAAAGGGACATGGCAGAAATAAAGAAAGGCTGAGAATGCGAGAACATAGAAAGAAGGTGGAGAGGGGAAAGGGAGAGAGAACGAGAGAGAGGTTGAAGGCGGGAGGAGAAGAGTGGGAGAGAGACGAAAAACAATGATGAATTTTGTTGGAGATTCAACATACAACATCACAATGTGATATGAATTTGAACGTGTAGGCCTGGAAAGAAAAAGAAGGGGATTTTTTTTTTACACCAGCGTACTCGAATGTGAGTGCGTTTCTGGTGTACGTGTGTGTGGTCGCGGCATTTAAAATGACAGTAGACATAATTTGTACCCATCCAGAAATAGAATAAATTGAGTTATTTCAGCCCCCTCCCCCTCCCCTAAAAAAGTTATGATAATGATCATTATTATAAAAATAGAATAAATGAATAAAATAAAAAAAATTGAAATCAGCCTCCCAATTTTGGGGGGAGGATTACCAGAAAGAAAAGATATTGTCTAAAAGATAGCTCTCACTAAGTGTGACTTTTGTTATGTTAGAAAAATAAGAGGATCCATAAAAGAACACAAATAGCCCTTAGATTGAGCAAACCATCTCATTCAACAGTTGCAGAACACGCCCTAGATACTGGACACAACATTTGAAGGGACGATCGATGCCCATACTATTGACTTTGAAACACACTTCTGGTCAAGAAAGGTGAAATAATCCATCTGGATCATAACGATTAATCCTTAGCCTCTCTCTTTCCAATTTTTGTTGGAAGTATCATGCTATGTTTTTCAATGTTACACTGAAATGTGAAACCACAAGATTGTAAGTGTGAAACAACATGATTATTCATTGTTTTTCGGCAAAACAATGTAACGCATATTTTGTAAATCATTGTGTTTTCTGACCAATAAAAGTTATTAAGATAAAAAAAAATATAAAAAAACAAGATTAATCCTTCACTGAATAGGGTTTACTCCAGTTTACTATCAAACCCTCACTCCAGTGATCTCTAGGCAGCAGATGCAAGAAACTGTGTAAAGAATGAATTGGCTTGAGAAAGATTGCCCCCCCCCCCTCCCATTAAAAGAATGTGTAAAGGGGCGGAGCATTGCGTATACCAGGGAGGTGAGACTCACTTCCCTGCGTATACTGAGCAGTGATCTCCCAAAGGGGTACTTTGGGTTTAGGGGATGGGTAATGAGTTGGACTTGTTTCTTTTGCACTAAGTCGGAATTCGAAGTGCAATATTTAGGCTTATTCTAAATTTTTGACAGAAAATTATGAGATTTTGAATCACACTAATATTCCATCACTTTTATCTATAAAATCACGATCACGTTTGCCAATGAAATGGAGACGGACATTGACTAAACCAAAAGGGGCTAAGATTCTAGGATTTGCTGAAATTTGAATCTTCTTGTAGTAAAAATGTTAGGCCAATTGATTTTAATTTTTTTTTAAACAGGATAATACGTATAGCAAAGGAGGCTTGGTGGTTTCCCCTATACGTATGGTAAGTAAATTCGCCCTCGTAAGATTTCCACAGTGGAATATAAAGCAAATATATTATTGCATGAAAAATATGTGTGGAAAGGGGGTCCTAAGAAAATTCAACATGCAGTTTAATTCTTCTAAAGATTTTTTTGGTGTTTTTTTTTTTGTTGTTGCTACTCTTCACTCTAGGCCGGGCTTGCCTTGATTGGTGCTCTTGTTGATTATTCATCTCATTTATATATTGGCAGCATGACTGAGACATACAATATGAATATACAAACAATTATAAACTTAACAAAGATTGGCTGTTACATAATCATTACGTAATTTCCAACCAGGTGTGAGAATGTACTACTTAAATTTAAATCAACCAATAACAGATGAGGATGGGAAGAGGTCATGTGATAGAGGAGCAAGGGCGGCGATCTTGGGGGGACGGGGGGACACGTCCCCCCTCAAAATTTGAAAAAGTGCACTTACAAAAATGAATAGCAAATACTGACTAAAGACTGCAACACATTTTCAGGCTCTGCAACACACTTCCAGGCTCTGGAGAGCCCCACGAGTGCAGCGTTTAGAAAAATAAATCTTCTCACTCGGTAGCTACGCTCCCTCGTATAATACCCTATAAAATGTACAAGTAAATACCGAGCAAATTGAAGTGTGAAAAAAGTATATTGCTTGTTTTTATACTAAGGTTTTGCTAAGGAATGTAATTTTTTAATATAACAAAACTTCAAATACCTGTGAGGGGGTAGGCACTTCCGTTACCTTCACCCTCTCATTTACTATGCTCCCTCGCAAATGATGATGATATGGCATAATTTTTCCCTGAGCTTTCGGGGGGCCTGCCCCCTGGACCCCACCAAGGGCCCTAAGGCGGGCCCCTGGTTACTCATCTGACCATAATTAAATGCCTAAAACGCCTGAGCTTCCAGGGACTCTGCCCCTGGACCCCGCTAAGGGCCGTAAGTCGGCCCCTTAATGATCAACATAATGCTCATCTGACCGTCATCAAATGCCTAAAATCCCTGAGCTTCCGGGGGCTCCGCCCCCAGGATGCTCATCTGACCTTAATAAATGTCTAAAACCTATGAGCTTCATGAGGCTCCGCCCCTTGACACCCTCCGGGGCCTTCCCCTGGACCCCAAGTCAAATTTACGGTCCACTTTGCTTGGCTTGGCTCTACCTGAACGTAAATACTTTAGCCCCCCCCCCCCCCCCCCCACTTTGAAAAACGTTCCCAGGGCCCGCGTAACATGTAAGAGTTGCGGTGATGCGGATTTTTTCTTTTCTTCTGCCCCCCCCCCCTCAAACATTTTTGCTCATTACGCCACTGATCCCTAGTCCCTCGTATTTCGTCCCCCCCCCCCCCGGTCGTGAAAAGAAATCGCCGCCCCTGTAGAGGAGGGAAATGAAATGTATATGTACAAACTAGCTTCTTACAACACTGTCTTCCTCGAAACGATAGTCCTCAATTTTTTACAAGAGAAGTGTATTATAATTACGATTTTCACGATACATGCGTGTATTATAATCATCTTTATAGCTTTACCTTCATTCAAGCAAGTACATATATTCCAATATACATTTTGTATGATACCTTAAAGCATCACTTTAGATAATATTTTAAAGTAGTATGACATCAAATAATTAGTCATTAAAGCAACTTAAACTAAGTAAAGACCAATATTGAAATGTCCGTACAAACTAGCTCCTGGCAGTATACTAATTTAACATACTTTACTTCTAGAGCCCTTTTCATTATACAGGGGAAATAATACGAAAAGAGATGTCTACAGTTGGTTTAAGGATTAAGAATTATTAAGAATTAGAAGATTCGTGGTAAGCCGCTTATTTCAAGAAAGGTACATTTGACATCCTTCAACTTGATTTGAAAATCAATTTTTGTTTTCCTTCAAACTTTCGCTTAATACGATCAAAAGTGTAGATTTTCATTCCGACACCTTCAGCGCTCAAAATACACGGGGCGGTGGGCGATTCGCCCCCGTGAGCTACATAATCGCACCCGTCAGGTTGCTCACGGGGGCGATTGCAAAATTAAAAATCGCCCCCCGTGGAATTATAAAATAAAGATTATTTTTTCTGTTATTACTTTAGCACAATATTGAGTTTCAATTTTCAAACCTTAAACCAATGAAATGGAACTTAGATTAGCGTGCAAGATTTCTTGTTTTATGAGTAGGCCTAGTTATTACCGATTCAGCTCGCAGTGCAGTGCTGCCGTCATCAGTGGTTATAGGCCTACTGCGCCGTTAGTAGCGGTACGTGTGCACGCTGCCGCACCATGTCTGCTGGAGCTGGAGGCGATCGCGCAAGGGCAGAAACATGGTCATGGAGAAGTTTTTCGTTGTGAAAGCGTTAACCCGCTGAAATCTGGTGATTTCAAATGACCAGCAAATAATGAAACTCGACCAGTAAATCAATATTAGGGACTTTTAGATTTGCACGATGAGAACGTGGACTGCAACGTGTGACCTAGCTCCTTTTAAGGCAGTGCCAGTGCTTAAAAGGACGTGACGTGTGGCTGCCAGTGCCTTAAAAGGACGTAACACGTCCACGTCCACGCAAATCTAAAAGTCCGTATTGAGAAGAAGAGGAAGACCAAGATGTCGTGGAATGATATCGTAACATGGGCAGATCTAGGGGGGTTAGGGGGTTTAACCCCCTCCTCCCGGCCCCCTTGGGCTGCCAAGTGAAAATGTGACATTAAAGCGGGGGTGGGGGAGAGATGCTGGAGAGGAGGACTACTAATCTATTTTTTTCAGGGGGGGGGGGGGAGAGTGAAGCGCCGTTTTAGCATGACTTTCTTTTTAACTCTTACTTTCACCTATCTCAGATAACCCTAAGTTTTTGGTTGCTGCTTTATATGTAGTTGATAATGCATGATTAAAATAAAGAGAGAGAGAGAGAGAGAGAGAGAGAGAACCACCATCATTTTGCAATGGTTCAGGGTTCGTGTAATGTACATTTGAAACCATTTCTTAGCGTCTCAACCCTAAAAAAATAGCAAAACTATTTTTAAGGAAAAGCATTATACTGAATTAAATAAAGATTAATAGCTTTATATTGGATCATACTAATACTGATACGGGCTAAAGACAATGTGGTATTTGTATAGAGGTATTTCAAAATGACATTCTGATAATCAACATTTGTTCTGGTATCATAATGTATATACGCATAATACAACTGATCTTTATGATTTCTTAACGTGACATATAGCTTCTTCTCCCTCTGCAAACAAAAAAGAAAACAAGGTTATTTAATAAAAGGATCATGTGACAAATAATCATTGTGATTCAAATTGATGCAAGGATTTTTTTTGAATAAGCAATGCTTTTCACCAGAATCTTCTTTGTAAAAACGACTTTTACAAATCTCAGCCATGCATGCAAATCTGCCACTGTGTTGTAAGATCACTTTTAGATTAGGAGAAGTGTATTCTATAATGAATATTTTACATTGAATGGAACGTCACAACTCAGAAAGCATGGATGAGATTTGTAAAAGTTGTTTTTTACAAAGAAGATTCGGATGAATAGCAGTGCTTATTCAAACAAATATTCGCATCAATTTGAATCACAATCATTATTTGTCGCTTAATCCCTTTTAATGACCTTGTTTTCTTTCTCTTTTGCAAGGGGAGAAGAAGATATGTCACATTAAAGACATCATAAAGATCAGTGTTGTATGCGTACTCTCTTAAAAAAAGAGAGTGAATTTTCACTGTATTTTCACTTTCTTGGGAGTGACGTCCGTGATCACTTGTTTAGGAGTGAAAATCGATTGATTTTAGAGTGCTCTCTAAGAAGAAAAGAGTGAATGTTTACTCTATTTTCACTACATTTTCACTCTCCAGAGGAGTGACGTCCGTGATCACTCGATTTTTTTTAGAGAGTATATATTATATACACAGGCCAGTAACAGCTATGTAGCTTGTAAATTTGTAAGAGGGAAAATGCTGATTGAAATGATGATGAAATAGCAAATAATTGAGGAGTATCGTAGGTACCAATTCAATGGATATTTGTATAAAAAAGAGCCCCCGTGAGAAGGCTCATGGGGGGCTCTTTTTGGGGGGGAAGAGCTAGCCCCCGTGGACAAAAAATTAATTTGAGCCCTGGACACCTTGTAAAGCCATGAAAGCGGCTTTGTGGTCATGTGTTAATCGGGGAATTAACAGAGGATATAATAATAGCAATACAGATTACCAGTCGTTTCCAGGTGGTATTATAATAGATTTCTTTATTGATCATTGGGGAATCCTTCGCTTGAGTGCGCCTCATCAATGTATAGGGGACTGAAAGTATTTGCACTTCACATTTTCTGTGTCCTGTGTTCAGTCTACAGTCTACAGAGGCAGGCTTTTGTTCAGTGGAGAACAGCCCGTTGAACTGAACAGAGGTTGTTTAAATACAAGCAAACGATATGATGAATGTGAATGGCAGGATAGTGGCGGGGATCAGCGTAATTTGCATGGTCCTGTGCGGGATAGCAGCGGGGCAAGAAGAGCCACCGGTCCGCTACGATGGGTAAGTTTGACCATTTCGGCGCTGGGGGCAAAAAAAAACATTGAGTACTCTGAGGAATGAGTTGTGGTGGTCTTCGTGATGGGTGTGGCGGTGGGTGCGGTGATGTTGGGCGTGGCAAGTATAGCTAGATGCAAGTGGTAACGATGGTTAAGATGTACAGTCATTTAAGATTCGTAGGCTTCGCTGGTATTAACGTACATGTAGGCTACGAATGTTTGAGGGTTACTGTTTGACAACAGGTGTGCAGAGAAAAGAGATTGAGGATATATACTAGGAAGGGGATGCATAGGGAGAGAGGATGCACCTTCGGCGCCCAAAAACACTATAGACTGGTATAATCATCAAAATGGAGTGAAGGAGAGGCCGTTACAATACCATATACAGGGCGTCCCAGAAAAACAAAACCGAGAATTATCGATGTTTTATCATAACTTAATCACATTTATAATTAATAAATGACACATATTTGGAAAGCTTAGATCCTCCTCTTTCATTTGATGCAACTCATTATGATGCATATTTCATGAATGAAAGTCTTTCGTCTACGGCTAATTGTCAACGAAACAGAGTTAAGTCTTTGTTAATTTCGTTTGTTGATACGGCAGGCAGCCAGTGAAAACGAATTCGTTTAATACAATTATGGAAATGCAAGCACTACTTTAAACAAACAGAACTTTGTTATTCCTAGCTCATTTTTCCTGACTGAGGTGTCATATGAAAGGGCAGAAACTCAACTTTCTAGAAATGTGATTTTCTCTTTGAAATTCAGATATCGTCCGCCAAATGACTTTTTGTTTTCCTCTCTTCAAATTGATTTTAATCACTCATGCGTGAAATATGCATTATATGAGTTGCACCAAATGAAAGAGGGGGATTTAAGCTTTACAAATATGTGTCATTTATCAATTATAATTAAGATTAAGTTATGATAAAACATCGATAATTCTCGGTTTCGTTTTTTCTGGGACGCACTGTATAATAATTGTAGGCCTAGTTTTTGGTAACTGTAGTCTATGATCATGATTTCAGATAAGCGTTAGGAAAGTTATTGCATATATTCTTCATCATTATTTCCAGGCCTAATAACTCCAAGTCCCGTGATGAATCATAAACGGTAAACATATCCTTGAAGCACAAATACATCCGATTGGACTTTGGGATCTCTCTCTCTCTCTCTCTCTCTCTCTCTCTCTCTCTCTATATATATATATAGAGTTCTCTCTCTCTCTCTCTCTCTCTCTCTCCCGCTCTCTATAGCTCTGTCTTTCTGTCTATCTCTCTCTCGGTATATTTTATTCTCTCTCTCTCAGAGACCCGCGGGATATCTAAAAGAAAAATAGATCAGGTCGAGATCATTTTGTTGTTGTTCTTTTTCCTTTCCTATAGCAGACGCGATTGATTTGGATCCAGCATGCAATTTCAAGAGTCTAGCTGTACTGTATATAATCCATTGATGACCATTTATAGTTAGTCTACAAAATAGATTACTAAGTTTAAGCAAAAACAATTACTTCATAAAATGCGTTCAAGCACTCTTGTATATTTGTATTTTTTACAGATTCTCTTTTTTCTCTATTGCAGGCTGTATTTACACTAGGCCTACTGTTTTAGCTAGACGACATGAGCTTGCATGTATTTTTCTTCTCCTAGACTGAGGGATAGGGCTTCGGGCAGCCAATTGGCATGTTCGTGCTTTCCAATTGGAATATTTCTATTTCCGATAAATTATATTTTACTTTATCCATTTTAATTTACGGTTAAACACGTATACAGGTACACCTATAATAGAGCTAGAATGTACATTTAAATTGCATGTACTACTAATTGTGTTTCAATTGTCAGAACGCGAATTGCATTATTGTTGCTCAGTAGGCCTAACATTGGCTTATTTGGAACGAGGCAATTAACAATTAACTGTACATATATATCTGCACAAAAAGTACGAAGATACACCAACAACATGGTGGCCTGTACTTCAACAGAAGAAGAGGAAGAAGAAGGAAAAAGTGTGCATTAAACTTGATTAACTTACGAAAATGGTCTTTTATCACAATCCCACAAACATGGTATTAGTCGCGATTATTCTCCGTGAAAATTGCCCGTGAACATTCCTAAATATTATGGATCCCACAAAATTAATATGAAGAGAAATAATATTACAATGATGATGATTGCTTGTTATAAATTATATAGTGCTCATAATTTTAAACAAAAATCGCTTGAGAATGTTTCGTACAATCCTCTAATAACTATATAGGAAATGCAGCGATTTGTAGTTTCTCTGTATGGGCAGACACAATAATGTTGATTTGTCCATACCATTTGGAGAAAGCGGACATATTTGATTTGAACTTTTTTAGTGAAAGACCACGTGATTACTGCCTAGTCACGCTGGTGTACTGTATTGGTTTCAATTTGAATGAAAAGAAGTTGTTCTGAAGGGAAAGCAAATACACAAGAAGGGACACGAGACAACACTTATATAATGGCCCGGTCCCACTGGCCTATGCACACAACACGTATGCATAACGGACACAGCGGACGAGCAAAATTTCGCGGGTGGTTCCATCCGTTTTCATCCGCTCCAGAAATGAACAAAATTTGCGAAAATTTGCGAAAATGGAACGGAAAATAACGGACGTGGGTAGTATGTAGCGGGGATGTTAAACGGATGTTCATCGGAAGCCTAGCGGATGAAAGCGGATGGAAGTGGATGACAGCTTTGAATACTTTATATACGAGATGCATACGCTTACATCCTTTCTATTTCCGTGCTACTAACGGTGTATAGACGTTCCGTGTACCTTATCTTTCCTCCCTCTTTCCGTTTTCAGCTGCAGCGGATGTGAGTTGCGAGGATACCCGGAGGATGCAGAGAGGATACAGCGGATGTTTAACGGATGATAACGGACATAGAACGTTTGTTGCTCGTATTTGTCGCGGATTTATATCGTACACGGCGGAAGTTCATCCGTTCTAAAAGTTTTGTGCAGCTCAAAACTTTTTGCGCGGATGAAATCACAGTGGACGGATGCTCGATGGATAGAGCGTATGAAACACGTATGCAATGAGTACACAACGGATGCATAGCGTTTTCCAACGGATGGCAAGATTTGTTTACGCTTTTACATCCTCTTTGCATCCGTAAGTGCAGTGGGACCGGGCCTTAAGGCTCATGTGACAATAATCGATCCAAGCGCCAGCCATCTACCTACATACTATAATGCTAATCGAATGCCCAACTTCAAACCTGGACCAGACACAAAAATATTACCAGGCTTAAACCATGGACCCTCCGTGCTTAAACCTTGCCTATAAACTACGATTGCATCCCTAACCATTATTATAAAGACGGGCTAGTTGAGCCTTTTTTTGTTATGTAACCAAACGGAATGCATACGTCTTTGCATGTGAAGTGCCGTGATACGAATGTTATGTCATCATCGTAAAGCTACAGTCCCATATACGTCCCGGACCGTCCCGGACCATCCCGGACCCCATCCGGGTTGATCCGGGATTCGGTCCGTGTTGACACCGGGTTGGCACCGGGGTGGTCCTGGATGGTCCTGGATGGTCCTGGATGGTCCTGGGCGGTCCGGGAGTCGACCCCGGATGTTTTTGACGGTCAAAAACTGCCGGGGTGGTCCGGGACGGTCCGGGACAATAGTTTGATCCGGGGTGATCCGTGTAGCCACCGTGCTGGGTCCGGGGTCATCCGTAGTGGCGCCGGGGCGGTCCGTGTTGATCCGTGGCAGTCCGGGAGTGAGTTATTGACCGCCCAGGACCATCCAGGACCATCCAGGACCATCCAGGACCACCCCGGTGCCAACACGGTGTCAACACGGACCGAATCCCGGATCACCCCGGATGGGGTCCGGGATGGTCCGGGACGGTCCGGGACATATATGGGACTGTAGCTTAAAAGCATCACACTTTTTTTGAACAAAACATCCCGGACCATCCCGGATCACCCCAGACCATGGTCCGGGATGGTCCGGAGTGGTCCGTGCTCGTCCGTGCTGGTCCGGCTTTATATGGGACTGGGGCTTAACTGCGGCAAATAAGCCAGTTTCGTAATGTAACCAAATTTAATGCATACGTCTTTGTGAAGTGCCTCAATACAAATTATTTCATTCACCTGATAAGAATAATAGTATTTCAATAGTCAGAATGCAACTGCATATATTAAGTGTTGCTAGGTAGGTCAAGCCATAATGTTTGTCCAACCTGGCAACAACTTAATATATGCAGTTGCATTCTGACTATTGAAATACTATTATTCTTATCAGGTGAATGAAATAATTTGTATTGAGGCACTTCACAAAGACGTATGCATTAAATTTGGTTACATTACGAAACTGGCTTATTTGCCCCCTGTTTACCCGTAATTTGGAGGGGTGTGGAAAGTGAGGTTTTGAATTGCTTTTATGCAATATTTATTTCATTTCATTTCATTTATTTTCATATTTCTCATGTTATATAAACATTTCAAAATAAAGTACAAGTTTTTTGTGGGGTTTTTTTGGTGATAAAAAAGCAATCAATAATACAGAATAAATAACATAAAGATAAGTTGTCAATATTGAGTACTGATGAGAAATATGATGGGACCTACATGAAAGCAAGCTTGTAAAGCTGTAGGCCCCGGTGAAATAATTTCAATAATAATGAAAGAGACAATATTTGTTATTCCATTATATATTAGTATTCTACGTTCATTCACCTTTCCACTGATATAAAGTTGTATTTTCATCGGAAAGTGTCTTCAAAGAATTTTGCATTTAAGGCTCTCGGTGTAGACAAAGATTAGCCTCTGGTTGCGGAAATAATTCAATATATTATATGAAAGATGTTAGATTTCCATAGCTTAATGATGTTTACCCAGATATATCACATAATCTAGTGGAAATGACCGCAAGGTGAATTGCTATGCGTGTCTACAGAATTGTAGAGCTAATGTTATTTGACTACCCGAACATACTGCCGAAAGCTGATGATAATAATATTATAAGCAAGAAGGTCTGTAGCAGGATTCAGTGAAAATGGGATGGACTATTTTATAACATTTGCGGACGCAACTTTTTTAGGCATTTCTAAAATACACACACCCACAAAAAAAAATCGTTTTGCCTAATTCTCATATATCCTTTTTTTCTTCCGGAAACATGCCCACCTATTTTAGAATCCAGGATCCAATCATGCCTTTCATATTGTGTCGTTACCCATATCCCCTCCCCCCCCCCCCCCCCCCCCCCACCCCCACCCAATGCCACTTGTCCTTCTTTCTCTATCTATTTCTCTCCCACTACTTAAAATATTTTCATGTTTATCTTTGTATCTTCACAGTCATTCAGATAACATGTTTCTTTCTTGTACATGCATATACAGATATCAACTATGGCGTGTAATACCGCGGTCAGATGTGGACTTAGAGGTTTTGACTCTTCTCTGCGATAAACACAACGTAAGTCACCTGATATTATAATTATCATATAGAGTAGCAGTTAAGAAAGTTGAACATTATTTTGTTGTCAGTTTTATGTCGATGGCCGACAACTCGAGCGACGATCATGACAAGTCTGACTTCGAACCCGTATCCGGAGTTGTGGGCCTTCTCCTTTTGTTTTGTTTTTCTTCTTGTTTTCCTCTTCCTTCTATTTCTGCTTCTTTTTCTTTATCCTCTTACTCTTCTTCTCTTTCCTCTTCTTCTTCTTCTTCTTCTTCTTCTTCTTCTTTTTCTTCTTCTTTTTCTTCCTCTTCTTTCTCTTCTTCTTCTTCGTCTTCTTGGCTTCTTCTTTCCCCTCTCGATCCTCCTCTTTTCTCCTCTTCTTCCCCCTCTCGATCCTCCTCTTTTCTCCTCTTCTTCATTTTAATCTTCTTGCTTGAAACAGTTGGAAACGTCTCATTTCTTATTTAATACGTTTACCGACCTGAGATTTCAGTATATCATCGATGACTGTATCAAGCTGATAGTTGTAGTCGAACTTGAATCGGACAAAACGTCACGTAAACACTTACTATTACACGTCAATTTATGGACACAATTCCATAATATAATTCAATAATAGGGACCTATACCTAGTATTCAGACCTTCAGACAAACGTGAATGTGTTTACAATTCACATGTACTTAATTAAGTACTTAAGCTTGTCAATTATATGTTGTTCCTGTGAAATCACTGTGAAGCAAGATTGTAAATGTAAATATAAACAATTATCCTCTATAGACAAAATAAAGAAATGAAATGAAATGAAATGTATCAAATGAGGCGTACCTTAGACATGCCTGTTTCTATGTATGTAATTGAATTTATCAGGAAAATACAGCCAAATGAAACTATAACAACAACGAATCTCTCTTTCCTGTTTGTAGCTGTCCTTTTGGCTCGAACCATCATCTGTTGGTAGACCAGTCGATGTCATGGTATCTCCCTCCTCGGCAGAGAAACTTACAGCTTACTTCAAAAGATATTTCTCTTCATTCGAGGTAAGATACAAGTGATAAGTCTGCTTTTGTAATAACGCAGTATCTTTACCAGCCACATTTGATTATTCTTAATCTTTATATATCATTTCTAGGAATTTTATATGCACTAGTAACAATTCTTATTACCACTTTGAATTTGAAGTATATTTACAGTACTCTTGTTTGGCCACTCATGATTATTGTTATTCATATAAATATACTTTTACGGCAGTACTATTCTATTGTTATTTGTTTTTTATATAAATATCTTGATCCTTTTATTTCTTGTTTGTTTTAAATATGTAGTTTGATGTACCATTGTCATTTGATGTATATTGTAAATTTTATGTTTATTTGATGTATTTACATTGTTTCACACGGTCACAATAGAAATCAATCTTGTAACTATTTGGGCTTTTTTTTTTAACCGTGTATAAATAAAGATATCAATTCAATTAAATTTAATACTATTAAAAACATTGTCAAGATTGAAATTAGACATCAAATACGATCGCAAAGACTTTCGAAATTAATCAACGTAAGGCGATTACAATGTCAATGGCTATGACTTTTATTTAAATGTGCGAACAGTGCAATTATCATGCTCGAGACTGCAGCCTAAATAACCGTTGTCACCACTTCACGCACATGTTTTTCTTCTCTACCCTAGCTGTACTAAGAGTGTGTAAAATATTATTCAATATACTTTTTATTCCTTCTTTATCGATACCGTAACAGTTATCATATACTTTCACAAGTCTAGAGAAATGATGTGGGTAAAAAGTCTTCCCATGCACTCTGACGATTTCTTTTTACGAGGACCGGAATCAATGACATGGCATGGGTCCAGTGGGGAGGGGGCTTTGGCATCATGACGGGAGGGGGGAGGGGGCATCGGTCTTGACATGCAAATTAACAAGGCTGCCGAATATTGGAGAGGATGCGGTAAGGGTAAAATTATCTTCTTTTCTCGCCCTTTTTCCTTTCTCTTTTATTTTCTCTCTTTTACTCTCCCGGCTTTTCACCATTCGATGGGGAGCACATAACCTTCATGACCACCCCCCCCCCCCACCACCACCACCGTAGGCTTCGCCACTGACAGAAACTCTTCTTGTTGTTTTTTATAATCCTTGTACAGGTCTTACAGACGGACATTCAGAGGGTCATTACAGAACAGTACATGGACAGGGCCCGACCCGGTTTGGAATTTGAATATGAACAGTACCATAACCTTGATGAGGTATATAAATGAAATCTATTTAATACTTACCGCGCCTGCTGAGAGTCAGGAGGGCATTAACTCTATTAAGGATATGAATGGATGCTGTATTGGTTTTTAACTTTTTTAAGTCCGTGCACACGAGGCGTCATTTCGCTTGCGTTATTACCGGCGCTATAATGAAGTGCGTCCCAGAAAAAACGAAACCGCAAATTATCAATGTTTTATCATAACTTAATGGCAATTATGATTAATAAATGACACATATTTGTAAAGCTTAGATCCTCCTATTTCATTTGATGCAGCTCATAGGATGCATATTTCACGCATGAGTGACTAAAAACAATTTGAAGAGAGGAAACCAAAAAGTCATTTGGCGGGCGGTTTCTAAATTTCAAAGAGAAAATCACATTTCTAGACAGTTCAATTTCTGCCCTTTCATCATATGACACCTTAAACAGGAAAAGAGCCAGGAATAACAAAGTTCTGTTTGTTTAAAATAATGCTTGCATTTCCATAATTTGATTAAACGAGTTCGCTTTCCTAAAGAAGACGAAAGACTTGACGCATGGCTGATCGTCAACGAAACGGAGTTAAGTTTTTTGTTGCTACGGCAGTGAAAACGAACTCGTTTAATCAAACTATGAAAATGCAAGCACTATTTTAAAAAAACAGAACTTTGTTATTTCTGGCTCATTTTTCCTGATTGAGGTGTCATATGAAAGGGCAGAAATTGAACTTTCTAGAAATGTTGAAGAATAGGATCCATATATGGTGTTTGTTCTCACGATGTTTTATATTGGCATTGGGGTCTCAAGGGACGTACAAATCATGGTCACAAATCTACAGAATTAACTTTTTTTATAATGCATTATTAAAGCTTATCTGCCATAGTTTACAGGAGGGATTAGACCACCCTACAAGGTCACTGGACAGGTGGTTATCTCATCAACTCAGCTCTCAGTTAACATAAGAAAAAGAGGATCATGGGGGACCAATGGTCACCGATTAGGCATTGTTTGTTATATAGAGGGCACAACTAGCTACAAGTAGTGCAGAGGGCATTTAAAGGAAAAGATATTGTCTAAAGATCATTATAATGAGAGCAACCAGTGGCATAAATGGCCAGCCATAGTTAAGTCCAACTTAAAGTCGATCTTACAGTCTTTGTGAAACACCCCCTGGAGTGCGATATGATAATTGCAGTGCCTGCATGAAGAGCAGTATTAGTACAGATATGGCTACTGTATTTATGACTTGTAATGTTTGTTATGATGCATAATAAACTGAAATTTAAAACTTAAAAAATGTATTGAATTGAAACCCTGGGTAGATAAGACCAAATCATTATTTGTTTCGATTTTGTGGTACAGTGGAATCTTCTTATAACAAACTCATCAGGACCAAAGAATTTACCTTGTTGTATCAAAACCTTGTTTTATGAGGACTAATATCAATATATAATATGGGAGCATACAAAGGAGGGGGACCAGTAAAGTTACCCTGGTACATTTTTTGTTTGTAACCAGCGGTGTTCTTAAATAAGGAGGCTATACTTTTATTTAGTAGTGCTCTAAATCAAAGATTTTGTGCCAATTCACAAACTTTCGACAACAGTTTCTGGACTTGCCTCGAACAAGCATGGTCTAAAAAAAAAATTTATGTGTGTGTTTGTTTGCTTTTATTGTAGATCAATGCTTGGATGGATACTATGGTGAGCAAGCACGCCGATCTTGCCACCAAAATAGCGATTGGTACATCTTACGAAGGAAGGACGATAAGTGCGCTAAAGGTAATATACATGTTAGGGTACGCGTATGCTTGTTCCCTCTCTTTGAAAGCACCCCCCCCCCCCCCCCCTATCTCCGGTGTAAAAGTCAATACGGGCCGGATTATGTCGCGCGAAAAAGTACCCCTTTGCCGGAGATTTTGGGAACACGAATGTGGTCCTTCGGGGGGGGGGGGGTTAAATACAGGACACCCTAGCCCTCAAACTAACTTCCTTTGTTCAACCCAATTTTTAATACAAACCTAAACCCAGCGTCGGTTTTAAATTATTGATAGAATACGGGCCCATGTGGTATGCCTTCAGTGCACATTAATTCGAAAAATAGAAATATGCCCCTAATGCCCCACCATCATTTTATTTCCCCAAAGGTGCTGAAAAGAATGATAACTGCCTTATTTGTCCCTGCGTAAGATTTTCGGATTTTTGGACATCTCCATTTGGTGTAATCACTTATTCTTTGCAGCAAAGTCACTTTCTTGGACATTTTTGTTTAAAGATATTAGAAAATATCCTTTTGTTTTTGTTTTCTTCTTTGTAATTGAATTTGTTGTTTTTCATATCATTCTGTAATTTACTTTCTTGCCATATAGATCAGCGTTCCCGCCCAGGCATCACGTTACCATAGCAACAGAACCAACGCGGGTAAACCCTCCATCTTCATCCAAGGGGGAATACACGCGAGGGAGTGGATCTCTCCCGCCACTGTAGTTTACATGACCAATCAGGTATGGAGATCTAAAGACACAGCAATGGAGATATGGATTTTATGAAATACTATAATCATACAGCATATTCCAACAATTATTGTACAAAGTGCCCAAACTTACGTAGCTATTTTACATGACAATTTTTTTTTTTTTTACTTATATTTTTATTTAATTATTTATTTATTTATATATTTATTTATTTATTTATTTATTTATTTATTTATTTATTTATTCTATTTTATTTTATTTTATTTTTTTATTTTATTTTTTATTTTTATTTTTTTTTGGGGGGGGGGGGTAATAATTGTATAAGTATGTGTATTACTTTTCTGCCTTGCATTGCTCTGTTCATGTAGGCATTAGCTAACTTGTTGAATTCAATGTATAAAGCATGTGGCAATAAAACAAAATTCATTACAAATTCTTCGATACATCGCATTGATAATGATTCTATTCTTTTTTTGTTAAAGTCGTTTTAAAAGTAAATGGCTACAATGAATGCAAAGCAGGACTTCCAAGTTTGGTTAGGCTTATACACTTAAACACTAACTCTTGCAGATAACATATAGCAATTCATTTATGTCATTAAGAAAATGCATTGTGTTCAAGTCTATATGGGATATATTTTTTCCAGCTATTTTCGAAAACTAGATACGATTCCATTTTCAAATAAATTTTCAGGGTAGACTCGAGTTAACTTGTAAAGATTGCTAGTACCGCAAACGTCCAGTTAACCAAGTCAAAAGAAAATTTACATTAATTTTTTGTTTTTGTATAGTTCTTTGGGTATTAGGGGACTCGCGCTGGGATAAATGTAATTAATAATCTCTGTTTTGCATGTTGATTAATAAAGTGTTCTTGTGATGCTAAGGTTTTATCAAGGCATTATATAGAACAAGAATACCATAGGGTATTGTAATATATGTTGATTTCATTTCAAAATATTAAGCGTTTAATAACGCAAATTTGAGAGGCATATCTGCAAAGCCAAAGTAAAATGCTTCTAATATGTACAGAGCCGACCATGTAAACCAGCGTTAAGTTTGGTGACCCAAAAAAATTATACCATGACATATCCGTAAGATGATTTTATCTTACCCATCTCTTACACGTTTTCATTTTTTAAGATATCTGTTGTCTTTTTAATCATTAGCTACTGAAGCAGTATAAAACGAGTGATGATGTCAAAAGGATTCTTACTGCATTTGATTGGTATGTCTTACCGGTCTTCAACGTCGATGGATATGTCTTCACGTGGACTACGGTAATTATCTAGAGCTTCTATTATAATGATGATAATAATAATAACATAATAATAGTGGGTTCTTGTATAGCACTGACCTTTTACCCATTTAGTATGGCTGCCATTATAGCGCTCTAGCATTTCAAGGAATTAATTCCTGTCATGTAGGAACCAATTTACCTCACTTGGGTCGAGTGTGGCGATTGTAGATTAAATAGGACAATGGTGCCGCGGTGGGACCCGAACCGCGAACCATGCGATGGGGAGTCCGGTGACTCCTCACAAATTACTCTCGCGTTATTTGACATACAACGTGATGATGATAAGTCGCTGTTTAATGGTACCGGACAGAAGAAGTAGGTGGCGAAGAAAGAATGTAGAAGAGATGCTGCTGCTTCGGATGATGATATCATGATAATGATGGTGATGAATGATGATGATGATGATTATTATTATGATGATGATGATGATGATGATGATTATGATACGGATGATGATGATGATAATGATGGTGATGAATGATGATGATACGGATGATGATGATGATGGTGATGGTGACAAGAAAAAGAACGAGGATAAACAAAGATACGAATAACAAGAACAAGGAAAAGGGAAAAAGATAAAGATGAGAAAGATAAAAATTGACAAGGAACAAAGAGAACTAGGATCGAAGATGCTACAGATAATAGCTATATTTGGCATATTTCCTTTCATTATAGATGTTAAGTAATTTATAAAAAAAAACGAAGACTACTTTGAATGATTGACTTGAAACTTTACGTTTTCCACAATTATAGAGCGAAATACATGTAGGTCGATATAATACCCATGATTACGCTTACAACTTGAATATAAAATACATTACGCAACATAATAACTGATTATATATTTTTTTAATAACTTTCAACCATGCACTCGAATGTTTTATTTTAAATATACTTTGGGATACTTGTAAAATACCTCTTTTGTCCAAATTTAGATCACCTTTTAATTTGCGTTTGTTTGTTTGTTTTGTTTTGTTTCTGTTAGAATCGCATGTGGCGCAAGACCCGCTCTCCAACTTCCAATCCCTTGTGTAAGGGAACAGACCCAAACAGGAACTGGGACAATCATTGGTGTGGTATGTACGGTTTATTCCCATTTACATGCTGTGTCCTGGGGGACACTAATCATCAAGTTGCCAAAAAGGGCGGGGCGGAGAGGGTAGGGGGGGGGGGGCGGCGGTAAAAAGGGAGATCAGTCAGACCATTTGAATCAGTGTGCATTTTATGGCAATTCGCTCTTCAAATACATTCTACGAGAGTACGAGTGTATTAACCAATTATTTTAGCAATCCAAATTTAGTATTCCACGTAGCTTAGCATTCAACTTTAGGACATGTCAAGTGTTCGTGTTTGATGTGCTTTTATCACATCGAATGGAAATAGTGTGTGAGTGTGTGTTGTTCGAGGGCATTTCCGGAGATCGAAGTCAAGGCCGTCTCAAGTTTCCTTTCATCTGCACTTCACAATATTTCACAACTCTGCATGTTTTACTGTGATTTAAATATAACTAATTACTATTACATAATAAATTATATCCGATTTGCTACCGTTTATTATTTCAAACCGCAGAGAATGGAGCAAGCAGGAATCCCTGCAGCGAGACATACTGCGGGAAGAGTGCGTTTTCAGAGGTTGAAGTCGTAGCGGTCTCAAGTTTCCTTTCATCGGGAATCAATTTTGTCGGGTTTATCGATTTTCATAGTTACTCCCAACTCTGGATGACCCCGTACGGATACACCTATTCACTTCCAAAAACGAGCGATTATTTCAAACAGGTTAGTACTCGATGATGGTGATGATGATGATAATGATAATAATGATAATAATAATAACGCTTTATTTACCCAGGGTAGCCACTTCCAGCGGGCCCTGCATAACATAATGTGTTATTATTACTACCCTTCTACAATCTTATATGCTGAGCGCCTAGCTAGGAGGCACAAGGTTCCATTGTTATAAGTCTTTGGTATGACTCGGCCGGGGTTCGAACCCACGACCTCCCGTTCATGAGGCGGGCGCTCTAACCACTGAGCCACTATGATGATGATGATGATGATGATGATGACGATGATAAGAATAATGATAATAGTGATAATAATTATGATGATGATGATAATAATAATAGTGACGATGATAATAATAATAATGATAATGATTAATAAAATAACAACAATGATGATGATGATGATGATAAGAAAAGAAGAAGAAGCAGAGGAAGAAATAGTAACAACGGGCAGAAATAGCAACAACGGGAATGAAATCCGTTGGTTAGATTTCAAATTTACCTTTTAGAGTAGACTCCAGAATATTTCCTAATGAGCATAAACAGTCAAACCAACAAACAAAAATATTACCAACAAACTAAAATATTGTTTACCCACGGAAGTCCCAGCAGCATTCTCGAGGGTCCTGCCATACAACCATGCAGTTGTCAGGTACCCATTTACACCTGGGTGGAGAATGGCAAATGTAAATCAATGTTTTGCCAAAGGACATAAGTGCCGCACCGGAGTTCGAACCCACGACCTTCAAATCTCCAGTCAAGTATTTAAACCACTCGACTAGCACATCTATCATACTTTATGTACTTTTAATTCTGTTTTATTTTATATTCTAGAATACGCAGAGCGAGAAAAGTGTACAAGCCCTCGAAGGCGTGCATGGAACTCGATACGAATATGGAACCATTTCTAATACACTATGTAAGCTATTCACCATCAACGATTTTTACCATTTTAAACTTATGCCCAAACTCGCATTATATTGGCAATCTCTAGGTGGAGTCAGTTTCTCGAAAACGTCAGAAGTCTAAGTTCGGGGACATCCCATAGAAAACGCGTTTTATTTCTACAGGATGATTCTGTGGGATGTCCTAGAAATTAAGACTTATGGCGGTTTCGAGAAACGGCCCCCGCATTATTTTTGTTTGCGAGATATCTATATCGACAATGAAATAGATCAAATATCTTCAGGAGACTCGATTCTTCCCCAATTTGTTCTCAGATACATGTATTGTGAGCAAGCGAAGCGAGAACGCAAAATGTGTATGACTCAATTAGACTACAAATATAATTTCATGATAACTGGATATACTCCAATACTCCATATGAAAAAATAGACCTAGAATATTGGTCATTTCAAAGTTCCTGAGAGGCTGCAGCCTCCCAGCCCCTCTATCTCAACACACCTGTATGGATATTTACGGAACAACAGTTAATAATGCTCATACTTTCATTACTTGCATAACTTATAGTGTCTGTTTGGTTGTTTATTGGTTATGTCTACATGTTGCCGAGAGCACACGCCCACAATAAAACAAATATAAGTCAAGTCCAAGTAGATTAATAAAATACTTTTGTATGTGACTATATTAAAGGGTTTCATAAAAACAGTCTATTACATAAACTTCTCCCCGGTTTCACAAATATATCAATTACCCGACACAAATACCACTTCCCTCGTTTTTTTCTTCTTGATGTAGACACGGCTTCGGGTGCCTCGGTCGATTGGACGTACGACGACGCTGGCATTCTGTACTCGGCCACGGTCGAGCTTCGTGACATGGGGCAGTACGGCTTTCTCCTCCCCGCTAATCAGATCATCCCGACAGGCGAGGAGACATTTGCAGGTCTCACGCAGTACGCCCTCTACATCCTCAAAAACCAGTGATATGGGTCTACTTAATTACGAACCACTGACAGGCAGGGGCGTCGTTATAGAGAAGGGTGATCTAGGGTGACGCCTACTTAAAGAAAAAACCTGTTGGCAAATTTCCATTTACCACCAAAAAAAGCATGACCCTTCTCTTCTTTTATTGTTTGTCTGTTTATTTGTTTTGTATTGGTCGTTTGTTCATTTATTTGTTTGTATGTTGTTGTTTTTTTGTTGTATTTTGTTGCGTTTTTTTTCTTTTTTTTTCTTTGGGGTGGGGGAGGGGGTATTTGGGAAATCTTTCGAAGCCCAGCAACATCGGCAGATTTGAAATCTTACTGACGGTATTTATCCCCGTCGTTGCTTTATTCTATCATTGTTATTATTGTGGTTATTATTATAATTATTATTATGAAATCATCAATATTATAATTATTATTGTTATTGTTTTAATTATCATTATTATTGCAGCAGCAGCTTGTTGGGGGAGATCTGCCTCCTCCCCTTCAAAATCGTTTGACAACGTTCTTACTCTTTTGTCTCCATAGGCATCATAATAGCATTTTTAATGTTTTTAATGTTAAAGAGGGCAGCCACGCGTACATTCATATACTATATAATAAAGTGGTGGTTTGGAAAGGGGATTGAACAGTTAAAAGTTCGAGAAAGAAAAAGGGGAATGTTGGAGTAGAATAGGAGGGTGGATTGCATTTAACAGTACGACTTATAACAAAGAGGAATTATGGGGGGGGGGGGCTAATCTAGCAGAAAGGGACAAATAATTTGTTGGTGAATGTACAGTCTTTGAAAGTCAACGTATGTGTAACATATCCGACAGTTTATATTATCTTTATAGCTTTCATGCAGGGTACCCATTCACAGGCATAACTTACAAAGGCATGAGGACACAACTTTATTCTTTATTCCTTATTGTATTCATATGTGCTGTACTTTATTGTAAATTTTCTTCTCCCTAAGCCAATTTTGTTTCTTATTAACAAGTTTCCTGTGATGTTATAGTTATTACTCTTGTTGTACATGTACATGTAATATAATTAATAAATATTTTAATATTTTTATGATTTATAAATCATATTAAATCAGTGTCATTGCCTATTGCTACATTTTTATAATTCATTATATATATATATATATCACTCATCATTTAATAGTTATTATTTTCATAATTATTATTAACATTGTTATTATCAATATTATTTTTACATTCATGATACTGTGATCATTCCAATTTATTATTGAATCATTACTTTCAGTTTATCATCCATACAACGGTTACAACCCTCATGTTTCTTCACAAATGTGATTTGAATGTATAATAAATATATTACATAAGTTCTAATTATTCTTAAAAACAAATATCTTTATAATGAAATTATAAGTGTATATCCTTTTTATTATGATGTAAAATATAATTGTTCATACGCACTCTCATAATCATAACTGACAAATTGTGTAGTGTGCTTACTGTAAAGTCATGAGAAAATGATACCTGCAATATATTTCATACAATTTTATGGTACATCTTCCTTTCTCTAGGGTGATAAAAACAACACCGCAATCACTATAAAGTCATCCTAGACTTTGGCCTGTGTAATTTTCCTTGTGAAACCATGATAGTAATGATAATTTATGTAGCACAATTTTTACGGTAAGCATTTGCTTAATAATTAAAGAGTGTGTCAATTTTAAACTTCTTTTTATAATGTCTCATAAGATAATTGTGATAAACATGATTTTATCTTTCATCTTTTGGCTGTTTTTGTAAGACAAAAAAAATGAAAAAAACATGTATTTTTTTTATAATTTCTTTCATTTGAATTTATTACTTTGTTGATTTTTTTATTTAAGATGAAAAATGGAAATAAAATATAATTTAGGTTAAGCCACTTGTCTTTATTTCCTTCTCTCTTCAGTCTGTGGTTACATTTGATATTTGAAACGATACTCGTGGCGATTATACAATCGCAGATGACTACATTCAAGGACTAGTGTGGAAAGACCGTCCACAAATCTATTTAAAAATGCAAATGCAGGACTCATCAACAAATCTGTGCATAGTTGAATGAAGCTGCATACATTAGACAATTTTACAAGCGCCATTATGAGTGATCATTACTGAAGAAACGTGCATAATTTGTGAATTTATTTTTTGGTATTCAATGTGTTAAAATTCAAACCTTTTTATGATTCATTATAACTTAACCACTTGTTTACCATCACTCAATGGCAGGCTTCAATAATAAAAGATGTACATGGAAATAGTTATTTAGTGACTGGATATAAAACTGTACCAGAAGTTTTTGGTGGAAATGGTGGATCTAAGAGATCTTATTTTAAGACTACCGGTAATCATTGGCACAGTTGACAACAATGACAAAACTACTAGGAAACAATAGGCAATTCTCGTCCAATTTTAGTAATCAAATGTTCAGGTTTGACAGAATGACAAATTTACTTGCACTAGATCACATGATTCATACTAATAGTACACCATTTATGTACAAAGTTGGCTACATAATGGAATACAAGTTTCTGAATCTTGATGAAACGTACTACTATTAATACATTTTTCGTTCTTCCATAGGCATAGCGTCATTATTATTAATTGCTCTATACTCTATACATTTTTAATTTTTTTTAATGACAGGAATTTCTCTCACAACTAAAATAAAAGAGAGAATGGATGGTACCTACCTAATTTGAGTATTTTGGTTTCAAATAAGCACACGTTTTTTAAAGTTATGAACATTTTATTCCTAACAACCTCCTGCTTAGTGAGAAAGTGTGCGTCCGTGTTTAGCAAAACGGTGCAACATGCTTTTGCCCTTTTGCTAGCCGCAAGATAATTTGTCTAAATGTAGCAGTCATTTATCCAGTAGTCAAGCAAATATATTGGAATCCATCCACAGTCAGAAAAATCTCCTCACTGGTCACATGTTGTCATTGGTAATCACATGTTCAGGTCAGTTTATGGTCAATTCTTTCCTTTCTGTAGTGAGAGAAGCAGACTTGACAAACTTCCAACAACACCAAACCTTACATCTTGACCGTTATTAATGCTGAGTTGTGGTCCTTTCTCCGTTAGCTCTCCGATGCTTCTTTGTTCAGCCGAGTCTCGTTTGATTCAGCAAACTTTTGAACCAGCTCGGACAAGGACAAGTGAGAGGTCTTGAAAAGAAGGTTCTGACCGTCAACTGGGAATTCAAGGACAAGCAAAAAAGGAAATGACATCTCTCATTTTACATTTTACATAATATCTTTAATACACTATGCTAATCATGATCATGGAATTGTAAAAAAAAGAAAAGATGATGTTGTAGACTTATTTGAGTTTGCAAGTTCGGTCAGCAAAATATCTGTTAAACCCTTTAAATACACTCTTTTCCTTATTGTTCTTTATAGCTTATGAATGAAGTACTGAAACATTTTCTTTCCTTAATTAATAATCATACAGAGAAACAGAAAGCCACAACACTGGATATTAATCAATCCAATACGCAACAGGATTAACAAAATGACTTATGAGACATCCTACTAGCTTACCATAGTTGATGTGGACTGTTGGATTTGTTCCATCATGCTTTATGCTTGTCTTCAAAGTGCACTTTTGGTTGGTATTCCTCACTTTGCTATTGCCAATGTAGCTAAGGAATTGTCTGAGAATGAATTCAAAAATTAGAAGAAGAAAAACGAAAGGAAAAACATGAGAATTAAGATAAGAAAATTATCATGAAATTAACTTGTCTAGGCCTATAGTTTTGTTTTACCTCATCACCAAGAATGATCACAGAGATTTGTACAGATATTCATTACATTATAACAGGTTCTAGATCTATTTCTAGATCATTGTGATCATCTGTTACCAAGCAATCATATTGTTAATGTTAGATCTAGATTACTAGTACTAGGCCTAGATCTCATGATCTAGTCTAGACCCCCTAGACTCTACTATTTTTTTTAATTTCCAAATCAAAATTATTGATACAAATGATAGATTACCAGGATACCAAAATACAAAACATCGAAATGTCTAGGTTCAAATAGTTCCAACTTGGAGTAGACTCGTCTATTCTATACCTCTACCTATACTATTGACTACATGTAACTCAAGGTATCTCCTCCGCCGCCGACGCACAGTGGGCCAGGGAGGGACCAAAGTGCGCCAAAACTATTTTTGGGAGATTTATTTTTTTCAATTTTTTTCTTGCCCAGTTGAAAGGTAATACATAGAGGAATACCTCAGTGAAATATTTAATTCCGGTATGCACAATAAGGGTATAAATTTACCACTTCAATCAGCAAAATCCTACATATTCACAGTTTTAGTGCAAAAGTGACCTATTTTGTAAATCTTTCAATTCAACATGAAGTTTTTAAGTTATTGATATGAAATTGCTCTCACATATTCCTGATAGTTCATTACGTTGAATGAATGGGTTAAAATTAATAGAAACACAATCTTCATGATATATTATAGGGTAATTCACTGAAAAATGGACTAATTATCCATGTTTTTTATAAATCCAGAAGAAATGTTTAGATCTCCACGGTGTACCGCTTAAATTTTAATACCACCCTTTCCTCTGATGTCTAAGCTTCAAGTTGATACCAAATTTGGCTGCCCAAACTTGCCCATTGTTATGTTAGAGCCGATTTCCCTTGCCACATTGCCCCGAAAATGTGGGTTTTTGGGGTCCGCGGATGAATCATGAAGGATTCGTGGTCATAAATCACGGCGCGAGGGGGCGCGTGACACTTGTTCTGACACCGCACCGCAGACCAAAATAAACACATTCTTCGGGGCAATGTTGCAAGGAAAACAGCTCTAACATAATAACGGGCAGAATCGGGCAGCCAAATCTGGTATCAACTTAAAGCTTAGACAGAGAAAATGTTGGTAATACAATTTAAGCGAAAATCCCTGGAAATCTAAACATTTCCTCTGGATTTATAAAAAAGAAATCCCCAAACATGAGTTTTGGCGCACTTTGGTCCCTCCCTGGCCCACTGTGCGACGGTGCAGTGTCCGTGCACTCCGGCGGCAGCGTTATTCCCGCTGCTGAGTCGGGGGCTACATATTTAACCACGAATGGGACCAAGCCGAGAAGACACCACACTATGCACTATGCCAGAGTGACGGGAAAAAACCTTTATTCAAAGAAAAATACACCGGTAGCATAACTGATTTAATAATTATTAATTGACTATTCATAAATACCTGATAGATCGCACATTTCTCTCCCACGGGCAAAATTCGACAGTTATTTGTTTCACAAATCTCAAAGTAATGAGTTCACCAATGGGCGCTGCCATCTTGACTTTTTGCTGAATATTGCGGCCAATTTCTTCATAAGTCTTTCATATATGGTGTATGGTGTACCCGATGGAACAAATCAAGGAATTGCATGGATTCCGACTTTATCTAGCACCAAAATAATACCATGCGTGTATATTTAGTACATTCATATTATACTATAGATCTAGGTCTCCTTCTACCTCAATAGAATCATTTAATAATCCATTTTCCTTCAAAACCTGAAGATGTCCTGCTGAAGAAAAAATAAACATCACCAAATTGATTAAATGCCTTTCAAATTGAAGCGAAACTTCGCAATTATGTGACACAACCATTATAGTGCCCCTTTGAGGCTCACACCATCGGCTTTTAAATTCAATTGAAGCCTCCTACGGTCCCCAATCACGTCTATATCAGACAGCATTCAAAGTGAAAGAAGAGGATAAAACCATAGTAATGTTGATAAAAAACAAAACATTATGATCAAACACGAGTTACAAAATTTATTTGACAAGTATAAATTAAAGTTGCATGTGAACGGATGAAATTCTGAAATCGGCGTCAAAGATTGGGGTTATAGGTGCGTGTTGAGCCTATGCGAAAGTTTAGGGTTAGGGTTAGGGTTAAATCAAGACCCCCTTTTTTTTTAAAGCCCCAATCTGTGCCGCAGAAAAAAATGACGCCGTCGGCTACCCGCAAAAAAATTCCATTGGCAATACAAAGCTCTAGTACGGCCTGTACGACCTGAAATATTTTTCCTCGTCCATTAACTTTTAAATTAGCTTTCAAAGGATTTGATAATCTTCTGCTTTTGCTGCCTTTCATATATTTTGCTCTTCGCCTTCGTTTTACATAATCATAGATAACTATAGGCAGTCGATCCACGTATCACGTTATAAATCACAACATAGGCCCAAGTAATTAATGTATCATTTACTCAATGGGATAAAGGGGATGACCAAACATGTTAACTTTTTGAAATAATTTCAAATGAACAAAAACAAACGCTTATACCCTGTGTGAGAAAACGGAGAGTACAGGAGGCTATACAGGAGAAGTAGAATTCCTTTTTCGAACTCCAAATATTTCTAATTCACAAGAGCAATACATATAAAGAAAACAGTAAAATGTACATTAAATTATGCTTTTATTTCTCACTTGATTTACACGATTCGATTTTGCCCTAATAAATTCCAAATGAATATACAATACACATTATTATCATCATACAGAATTGTAACTACAGGGTGGACTAATTTATATCTCTCGAATAACATAAATAAATCGTCGTATAGATTTTTTGTTTCGAAGCTTATTATAGGCCTAATGGAGACGCACAATGTCAATAAAATGCTTAATAATTGGATCATAAAAACTGCGAGACCGAGAAAAAATGGAGAGTGGGTGTGATATAACAAGAGAAATATAAGGAGAGTGTGTGTGTTGTTCGAGGACCAACAAGCATTGGGAAAAGAAGGTACCAGGCTAGGGTAGTCATATTATGAGTGCTTGATAAACATTGACAGATTCAATCGTCCTAACAATTTTTTTTTTGTTCGGCCTATACATAATTTTGCTCGGATGCATAATGAGATAAAAATGTAATGGAGCTCTGATAATCGACAATAATGTTTAGCTAATTTGCGTCTCATAAGCATGCATGAGAGCTTTATTTTCATTCTCGTTCGGCACATTGGGAGTTATCATTAAAAAAAAGGAATTCCAGAGGTCAGGCTCAATATGATTCATGGATCGATGAGCAATTATCTGCTTTCATGCAACTTGAGCATTATTTCCTGCACTATGGCATCTTTCGGGTGCTCGCATCTCATTTCATAAACCATTTACAATGTATACAGTATATGTATTGTATTTATTAAACTTCATTGGTGTACATCAATATTCTGTTTATAAACATATAAATCAATTTACAATGTAATGTAACAAATCAATGTTCTGTTTGTAAACATAATATCATATAAATCAGTTTGCAATGTAATGTACCAAATAGTCAATTTCTGTTTGTAAAAATAATATCATATGAATCAATTTACAATGCAGTGTATATAGCAAAACAGAAGGAAAATTATATATAGCAGAAACACTCTTTTTTCTTCTTGTTATAACATTACATGTAATGCATAAAGTAAATAATGTAATGTACCACAATACATCCGAAGATTTAAATACATTAAACCTAATATAGCAATTTTCTAAATAAATTATAACTCATGCTACATGTATATACAAAATAGGTAAATGAGGTACATGGAATGCCTAAAATAAATGACGTAGTGTACTTACACATAATATATGCGAGCTACTGTAAACTTAAACCAAAAAAATAAGATTGTACATTTTTTAATTGTTATTACATAGTATCTTAAAGTTTCCCCTCACTGCAATTATGTTTTTGGTGAGCGAAGAGTTTAAAAATATTTTGTTTAAACTAGCATCTCAGTCAAACTGACAAGGCCGACACTAGACCGACAACCGATCGAACATGGTGGTGTGACTGAGGCTTGAAAAGCGCTTGTTAAGTTCACTCGCTCCCATTTTGTGTTCGAGACCAGAATTATAATGGGGTCCTTTTTACAGGCGCATTTTCAACGATAAAGGACATTTAAATTCATTTCAAATAAAATAAATAAGTCAAATAAGTATAATCACATAGCTAAGCCATAACTAACGACTCAAACAATAATTGTCGAGCGGCTTTCGCTATTTCTCACTCATATCTTTATATTTCCTACTCTGCTGTACGCAGATTGGATCAACCCAAAGCATTTTTGATAATCGTTTAATGCAGTGACCTCTTACAACGGATTTCGTTCAAGACATGTTGTCCCCACGTTACCGATTCACATTATTTTGATCTTTTAAAAGCATTTTCTAGCAATCTATCACCTTAAATTATCACACATTCTTTTCCCCTTTCCTTTATCTCCCCCTCTCTACCCCCCCCCCCCCTTTTTTTTTGCAATTCGATGGGCGGGGGGAGGGGGCTCGTGCACCCCTGTGCCTACCCGTAGCTACGCTACTGGATATCGTTAATAATTATTGCGAATCAAAAAAGGGTAATACACAACGAACAAAGTAAGTTGGAAATTATATTTTGGTGCTGTCTTAAAACAATTGCGATCAACCTGGATTGATTGTAAATCCTCCGATTATCTCTAATCAATGGCAAACTTATAACATCCAATAACATAAATAAAAAATAAAAAAACTTATAACATCCAATTCTATATTCATTAGAAAGTTGCGAATTATATATAGTTACAATCGATTTGAATCAATCGCAACTGTTTATAAGATGGGGACTGATCTGCTTTGGATAGGGGCTGTAAGAAATTTAGAGTTTCAGTTATACAAAGGCTACATGGTATTGTTGTAGTTGACCGTCGAGTTCTGGGTGTTGGTACTTTTGGTATCGCCTTGGCTGGAGGTTGCCTCCTTCCGTTTGATACCAAGCTTCTCCTTCCAGAGAGCAGTCACACGCTTGTTGAGGCCGAAAGCCAGGAGGACGAAGACCCCCTGGAGAGAGTTGACTGCCGTGAAGATGTACCAGAGTTCTGGGATGTTGGAATACTCGCAGACGAAGCAAAAGATCCAAGTGAAACCCATCACGCAGGAGAGCTGAAAATATGAGCACAAGGAAATACTTTTTAAGTGGAAGCTGGCGAAAATTCATTTATGATTATGTTTATATATAACTAAGTTCCCGGGAGATATCCAATGACTTTAATTGATCAGCTTACTCCACCCTTATCATGATAATGTCGTAATGTACTTAGACGCGTCGACACAGGGCGGGAGTGATACTTTCTTTGTAAAATTGTAAGGTAATTGTTCCGTTTGTAACTTTTTAAAACAAATACTTTGGGGTTGGGTTTGACGGCAAATTTTGACATGTACTAATCCTTTATCCAAAATAACGCCCCTGATTAATGGATAACGATCGAAAAGAGGTTTATAGAGATATAGGAAGAAACCAGTCAGATTTATGAAAAAATCAAATAAATAAAACATTGAAACCACTGCATATCTGTTCGTTTTCAGAAGGGAGTGAAATCTTTATAATCAAAACATAGTCTTTTACCTTGATATAAAGTGACAGTTCTTCCTTTGCTCTAGTAAGAGCCGGTCTTTCTTTAAGAGCCTTCTCCGATGCCTTTTTCGTGAGTCTGATTCCCACCACAGTGTCGCTGAAAAGAATTGTGTTTAGAAACAGCAATGCAGCCAGAGGTACGCCAAAACCATAGAGAGTGGCGTCTCCACTGGAGAGCCAACACAGTCCTTCGCTACCATACTCGAAGCTCAGGTTTGTGCATTCACAAAGGTCGATGGTCAAGCAGGCGCCAACAATTAAAGCTGGCGTGCCCCAGGCATACAGGGAATACCAGACGTAGAAGATCTGCGATTTGCTGCCAATGCGGATCTTAGCTCGGGACCCGAAGATGCGATTCAGATCAATGGCCAGCGCGTTCATCCAGAAGAAAATCGAGAGCCAAAAGAAATGGGAGGCGGCTGATACAGCCTTGCACAAGCCCGTGCTCTTGCTGCTGACTACTCCCAAACACATCAACAGAAAAACCATCAGGAGAGCGACGGAGAGAGCTAGAACTGATTTTCCTGCCATGTTCCTAAGCTTTGGGAAAACCGTGTACGTGGTGATAACAGCCAGTACAGAAATGATCGATAGAACAGTTCCTACTATGGTCATGATATCCAATCCCTTAGGTAGGTTTCGGTCGCTCTGTGAATTTTCTTCAAGACAGTACTGCACCGAACCATTTGGCATGCGCTGAAACTTTCCCTGTCCAATGACGGTGTTGCCAGTTCCTACGCGTATGGCATCCTCAAAGTCATGTGTAAACTCGAACTGTCCTGGATCAGCCCGAAGGTATCCCTTGCAAGTTAGTATCAGATGATCACGGCAAATGTATTCCCCTGTCAAAGCAGTCATTTTATACGCTCCTGTCTCCCTGGTGACCTGAACCCTGAAAGGTGGTAAGAGGGTGTCATTGGTCTGCCCTGAGAAGAAACTACTG